TTATGGATTCTACAGGCCACATTCTGTAAGAAAATTTTTTTTCCGGGTCGATCTGAGACAATTTTTTTTTCGGGGCTCAAAAAAAGGCAGTGTATAACCTTCCTTTTTTGCCAAAAATCGACTGCACCAAAATTTCTCGGGAAAACACTTTTTCTTATTAATTTTGGTGCGTAGAATCCAAAACAATTCGTACTTTTTCGATTAGACTTCTGAATCAAAGGTTATAGACTAGAAACCAATTTCGAAAGAAAATTCAAAGGGCTGTAACTTTTGATCCAGTAGCCCAATCTTGGAACTGTTTGAAATTATTGATTCTACAGGCCACATTCTATAAGAAAATGTTTTTTCCCGGTCGATCTAAGAAAATTTTTTTTTCGGGGCAAAAAAAAGGCAGTGTATAACCTTCCTTTTTTTTTCAAAAATCGACTGCACCAAAATTTCTCGGAAAACACTTTTTCCTATTAATTTTGGTGCGTAGAATCCAAAACAATTCGTACTTTTTCGATTAGACTTCTCAATCAAAAGTTATAGACTAGAAACCAATTTCGAAAGAAAATTCAAAGGGCTGTAACTTTTGATCTAGTAGCCCAATCTTGGAACTGTTTGAAATTATGGATTCTACAGGCCACATTCTATAAGAAAATGTTTTTTCCCGGTCGATCTGAGACAATTTTTTTTTCGAGGCAAAAAAAAGGCAGTGTATAACCTTCCTTTTTTGCCAAAAATCGACTGCACCAAAATTTCTCGGGAAAACACAAAGTCCACATTTTCACAATTCTCTTTCCCAGAAACGTTTAAGCTTCCAAAAAACACCCTTAATATAGAATCCGTTGGAGGTCTTTGACGCTATATCCAATTTAACCAATACAGTGTGATTGATTTTGCGCGTCCAAGTGTGTATATCTTTTATTATTGGAGATAGGAAAATATGTTAGAAGCAAAAATAGTCTATATATATACTTTCATTTTTTGATAAAGCTACTTACATATTTAAAAAAAAAGCAAGCGATGTAAAAACAAAAGAGCATCAGAAAACAAATAACTTGAATAGAGCGGTTAAATTTTCTCTGCACTTTCACTTTCAAAAAATAAAAAAGTCCGCTCTTGATGTCTGTCTGTCTGTCTGTCTAAGTCACAAAGGCTACGGCACTACACTATCACTTACAGATTTGGTATTGGGGTCATTCGATCGTATTTGTATACCTTCACAAAATGTTAACCATTGATACAATTTACCCCAAAACGCCAAAATACAGCAGGATCTTCGTTATATGGTTGAAAATTAGTCAAAATTGCGGAAAATTTGAATTTAGTTGATCCAAAAGACATCTTTTATTAGATGCACTGCTAACGAGTATATAATATAATTAATTCGACTGCAAGAAATTTAAATGTTAGCAGGCATTCCAAATACCTTCTAAAAGCTGAAACGGTAAACTAAAAAGAACAAGGTAGGGGATGAAAAATTGTGACATTTATTGACCAACTGTATCTAAACTTGACTGACAATTATTCGTCGTAAGAATCAACACTGTCTAAACTTTACCGACGTTATTGACAACAATAAGTCATAAAACTGTCGACACTGTTTGAAAATATTGGACCTCGTTTTAACTAATGCGGAACGCTCCCTAAAGCGTGGGTACAAAAATAGATGGGAGCCGTTCTAGAAGCGTAAGAAATTGATACAAACAAATAGTGCTTTGATTAGCTACAGTATGAAAACATTTTTTTCCCGTTTAGACGCATCAAGCGTGTGGAAATTGGGTATTTGATTTGTAAATTAAATTCCGAATACCTAGTCAACGGAGGTATGAGAAGAACACAAAATTTCAACAGCCTCAATCATTGACGATTATCATTACGTCTACCATATTCCATTCTTTGTAATTAAGATCATGTAGGTAAAAAAAATTATCGCAGTATTCAATTAGCCAGTTTTGACTCCACCATCAATAAGACCTTGTACAAGGCTACCACATTCCCTTTGTGGGTACCCACGAGACACGAGAAAGAGAGAGACTACGATTCGAGCATTTTGGGCGCCCAAAGTCGACTACCCCTCGAAGACGCGCGCCTTGCAAAAGGTCGTTAATTCCGCCTCTAAGAAAAAAAAACAAAATTCCGACCAAAACTGAAAAATCACAACGTAGCAAATCCACGCTCGGGGATGGCACCCAAGGAGAAACACAAAACAGGTGGGAGATTGAGAAGGGATTCAATTTCAAAGGATGGGGGCGACACCAGGCGACATCTAACGGAGGAATTTTACAACACAACTGCAGGATGTTTCCAAAAAAATTGACATTGCCACTTTTTATATTTTCTTACACATTGTCCCCTCCTCGGAAGGTCGGGAACGTTGGGGTTACCTCAAGCTGGAGTCGACGCCTCTTTTGGTCGTTGCAAACTTCAATTCTTGAAGGGGAAAACGTGGTATGAAAACTGCCTTTGAAGCTTGGAACCAGTGTCCCTAAAACGTATACTGAAGGCATTTCCATCCCTCACTATATTAAAAAATATGAAGATTTGTTGTCAACGAAATGAGAAAAGTTCCCCCCTTCAGGTTATTATCTGTTCAAAGTCCCAGATAAATACAAATAATTTAAAAGAACAGAACAAAAGGATTTTCGTAGTGAATTCAGGTGAAAATTCGACTCTATAGGTATTAATAGAATGAAACTTGTGAAATGTTATTACAATTACGGTTACGTATTTGGAAAATGAATTAGAGAAACCAGAAACCTATACAAAAATATTGTTTTTGTACATCAAGATTAGCTTTACACCCTACACAGTGTTTTCGTAGTAACGCAGGCTATTGTCATATAATGAAACGATATACAGTTGATTCAGTAGCATAACCGACGACCCCATTATCTTTCCAGATATGCAACATTATAGAACTCTCCCCCTTTATCGGGAAAAGCGGGAGTCTACGTAATAAAATAGATTTTATCGTCGAAACTTTTATTGTTAATGTAAATTTTGGCTTGTTTGTTTGAAAAAGATTCTTTCTGCAATCGCGAATGCGTTAACAATGATCTCCAGAACAAATTTTCTTTCGTCCGATTCGAAGGAGCAATTGCAGTAGTTTTAGAATTATGGGGCAATAAAACGAAAGTGCACCCCATAAAAATATAAAATCATTTATGATTTCTTCCAGTTTTGTGAGCGGAACTAATAAGCGTCAGCTACTGGCCTAACCGGTACCTACGCTTTAAATAACATTAGGTATACCTACCCTAAAACTGTATTTTAGGGTTTTAAAGAACTGTCAGCGTCGCAATAAAACTACATCCACCGAAAATTATTTTTATACGACCATATTATTAGCCACTTCACTTAGTTGGAAACATAATTGCGGACGAAATAGTGCAACCGGTTAGTATCGATTGAAAAATATATGAAGCTAAATTAATGATCTGGAAGAGGTAGGTAGGTAGGTATAAAGTGACTAAAAGAAAGGATGAGAGTTATTTACAACCCAATAAGAGCTGGTGTTGGTGGTGTGCGGTAATGGCAAATCCCGGAAGTAAATTAACTGATCGCCCCGATTTATTGGGGCGTAAATAACAACCAATAAGTCTATCACGGTTCCCTATTAACTTAAATCTTTTCAAAGTCCAATATAAGAATGTGTTTTAATTTGCTTTTAGCCGATGAAATGAAATTTCTAAAAAGTAATTACTTACTTAAATCTTGCAGTATCCCTTACAGATGCATATTGTTATGAAGATATGACATTCCTGAAGTCGAATGAGGGTGAGTACACCCCCAATGTCAAAACAGTTGTAAATGAACAGAAAATATTACGTTTCCGTTAGTTTACTTCAAGTCAATTTCAAATAAATCCTTCCATTTCGTCAGCTTTTTTTGGAAAAAAGAAAACTCGAACAACAATAAAAACCATTAAACCCTTTTACCTACAACTAATGACTGGGGGATAATTTTTGGGGCGTATGAGATGGACCAACGAGCAGACAATTTTTCATCTTGGAACAACTAGAACACGTAAAGGACAGTGCGAAATCAACGAAAAACGAGACTCATTTGTTTTCCGAAATAAAAACAACTGAATATCACCTTATTATGGAAAATAAAATGTTAAACAACTTTTATATAGAAAAATGTTGTATACCGAGTAGATAAGACATGAAAAGACATGAAAAGCTGTTTGTAAGTATATATTATTATGTTTCTTTGTTGAATAAATACCTACCCTATCTCTATCTTTCTTCATATCATGTGTGTGATTGTGGGAGCGATTTTAATACTTAAGCCTCTCATTCCTCATTCTCAACACCAAGGGAACACTACCAACGGATATAGTCGTGGTGTGGAAGACCCCCTCGATTGAGGGTGAAAAACAACTAGCATTGTTTCAATAAGCACTTCAAAGGATATATACCCCTACTGAGGCGCTTCACTCCTATCTTTTGCAATTGTAGGATGGGGTGCAAGGGGCGGTGCACTTGTCCAAAAGATAGGACTTAAATTTTCGACAATTGGTATATCTGAATTCAGAATTGTAAAGGCCAGGCGTGCTCCAACGTTCCTGTTCAAGAAGAAGCATTTACCATCCCTCATCCTGTCATCCATTAAAGGAAGAAGAGGAGGGCCTCAGCAATGAATTGACGAAGAGGAGACTGAATATTATGCAGAAGATGGTGGGATAGAGCACGATGTTAGCGTCAATCGACGCAGAATTTAATTCTATTTAATTGGTTTTAGCTATAGGATGTGTTGTTAAGGAGTTTGGAGGTGTTTGGGACATTAAAAGTTATTCTCAACCCCTGGAGGGGTACAAACTCAAATTACTTTTTTTCAAGAACGATTTCCAGCTTTCTCCATCCCATGTCGCTTTGAGGCACCCCTTTTTGTGGGGATTATATTAAACATCAGCGATGCCTACCGCCATCTATGCAGTTAATATGACATTACGAACGATTAGCGAATCGTTTACAGATTTCTTCTTTCTTGCCACAGATGATCGTCAAATGTGGTTTATCTGGCTGTCACCTTTTAGGTTAGAATTGTATGCACGTGTGAATCGTGTGTAATTATTTAGTATTTACATCAAGAAATACAGTTAATAGCACAGCCAAAATGTCGCTGTACAATTTTAAGAAAATTGCGGTTGTCCCAACTGCTAAGGTAAGGACACCACTAAACCTCTTACGATATTTAACCACCTTCCTCTTTCTAGGACTTCATCGATATTATGCTATCGAGGACACAACGACGAACACCGACAGTCATACATAAACATTACAAAATTTCACGAATTAGAAGTTTTTACATGAGAAAGGTGAAATACTCCCAGCAGAATTTCTTCGATCGCCTCTCGCAAATATTGACCGAATTTCCCAAATTGGACGACGTGCATCCGTTCTACGCAGATCTAATGAACGTCCTCTACGATAAAGATCACTACAAGTTGGCCTTAGGTCAACTAAATACCGCTAAGCAGTTGATCGTTAAGTAAGTTCGATTTTGTCGATATTTGGAGATTACGGGTTTAATTGCAGTGTGTCGAGGGATTATTTGCGACTGTTAAAGTACGGCGACTCTTTGTATCGTTGTAAACAGTTGAAACGGGCTGCGCTCGGACGAATGGCGACGATTATGAAAAGGCAAGGTGCCAATTTGACGTACCTCGAGCAGGTTAGGCAGCATTTAGCTCGTCTTCCGTCCATAGATCCGTATACGCGTACAATAATTATCTGTGGTAAGATGTTTGTGGCTTCTACAGCTTTTTACAGCAAAAATTTGTGACCCTTTTGTGGTATTTCGACATTTTTTTATACAGGGGGTCCCATTAATGTGACATTAGGTGATATATCTCTTGACAGGCTATTACTACAAAAATAGGTGTAATCATTTAATAAATTATTCTGTAGTGTAATGCAAAATTGTCTGCTTGTTAATGTAACGCAAAACTATTTTTGTATGTGCAGGTTGCTCCATAAATATGGTGTGAACCACAACCTTGTTATTTTAAATGGAACTTTTTTTCAGCATCATGTACAGGGTGGCCAAATAAGAATGCGAGGTAATGTATCTGGGAACCTGTCCATCGTATAGGCTTGCGGTAAACAAATTTATTACTAAAACGGTCACGAGAAAAACCTGGAAAATATTTTTAAGTTTGTGCAATGGCCGCTAGGGGGCGTAACTGCAATCTGGAATCTAAAAAAGTGATGTTTCTATGAATTCCGCTATATTAACCTAACAAAAAAATGTCCGGTCTTTGAAGTTGAAAATAATCTGAACCTTTTTTGTTTGAAAATTTTTCTTGTATCTCTAAAAATGAAGTGGTGGGGCGTATTCAAAGGTTTCCGTAAAGAACACCCTGTATCTTCGAAACGGCTGAGCCGATTTAAACAAACTCGGGTTAGTTCCAAAGATCTATTCTTCAGCTACAAATATTATACTACATATTTGAAGTTTTGTTAGTTTCACATATCACCGCTTAAGGGCTTTTTTCGACGAAATGGTTAATTTTCTCAAAAAAATGAAATGCATTGGTTTGATTTTTTTTTCATGAAAAGGTAGCTAAATGATGCCTAAACAAGCTCGCGAAAACAGCATCTCGATATCTTGAGATATATATATATATATATTTTTTATCGTGATGACCAGCATTTCGAAGATTTACGGCGGAATTAAAAGCTTCATTTTTTAAATCGACCCACCTTAGGGGCACAAATTATATATATAAAAATAATTTCGGAAAAATTAGCTTAAAAAAATAAAATTTTGAGGGTATAAAATTTTCTTTGACCTAAATTTTAGGTTAGGAACAAGATATCGAGATGCTGTTTTCGCGAGCTTGTTTAGGCATCATTTAACTACCTTTTCGTGAAAAAAAAATCAAACCAATGCATTTCATTTCTTTGAGAAAATTAACCATTTCTGTCGGAATGTCGAAAAAAGCCCTCAAGCGGTGATATGTGAAACTAACAAAACTTCAAATAGTATGATGAAGAATAGATCTTTTGAACTAACCCGAGTTTGTTTAAATCGGCTCAGCCGTTTCGAAGATACAGGGTGTTCTTTACGGAAACCTTTGAATACCCCCCACCACTTCATTTTTAGAGATACAGGAAAAATTTTCAAACAAAAAAGGTTCAGATTCAAAGACCGGACATTTTTTTGTTAGGTTAATATAGCGGAATTCACAGAAACATCACTTTTTTAGATTCCAGATTGCAGTTACGCCCCCTAGCGGCCATTGCAGAAACTTAAAAATATTTTCCAGGTTTTTCTCGTGGCCGTTTTAGTAATAAATTTTTTTACCGCAAGCCTCTACGATGGACAGGTTCCCAGATACAGTACCTCGCATTCTTATTTGGCCACCCTGTAGATAAAAATCGATTTTGGAACATTTTACAGGGTGTTTGCACTACTGTCCATAAAAATAGAAACTTCCCCTTCTTTTTTGTAACTTAAATTGTTCACTAAGCAACAACTGCTACATAATTGTTAATTCAAAGCAGAATAAGTGCGGGTTAAACCTGTGCATCAGTTTCAAAACAATGTGTTTCACCGTTTTTCAGATGAAAATGGTGCATAAATTAAAATTTGTTCAAATCGTCATGAAATCTCAAATTATCTTGCCCCCAGTAAACTTCACTCACAAAGTAAAGTATTCTAAGGACGTTTAGGATTACATAATTCATTACATTTGTGAATCTGCGCATCTCCACCAGAGCAGACAATTAATTTTCTCATTCTGGCAATTTTTGTAGGATTTCCAAATGTGGGAAAGTCATCTTTTATTAATAAAATCACACGAGCCGACGTTGAAGTACAACCGTACGCGTTTACGACCAAATCGCTGTACGTCGGTCACACAGATTACAAATATTTACGTTGGCAAGTAATCGACACACCTGGAATTTTGGATCATTCTTTAGAGGAGCGTAATGTTATTGAAATGCAGGCAGTAACCGCCCTGGCGCATTTACGAGCGTGCGTCTTGTACGTCCTCGACCTTTCAGAGCAGTGCGGCCACTTGCTCGACGAACAAGTACGCATTTACGGTGTTTTAAATGAAATTACCACGTGCATTTCAGGTGAAATTGTTCGAGTCGATTAAGCCCCTGTTCGCGAATAAGCCGTTGATTGTTGTCGCGAATAAGACGGATATTGTCAAATTGGAGGAATTGACTCCCGAACGTCGTGCTCTACTTAAGGAACTCGAAGAAGATCCCGAGATACCTCTTTTGGAAATGTCAACAGTGACTGATTATGGTGTAATGGAGGTGAAGAGCCAAGCGTGTGAGAAGTTGCTCAGCTACAGAGTTAATCAAAAAATGAGAACCAAAAAGGTAAGATAATTTGACCTAATTTTTATTTTATTTTTATTTTATTTTATTTTTATTTTTTTTATTTATTTTATTTTTATTTTATTATACCTCTCTTGTTCTAATCACTTTTTGACATCTTTACTTAGCATGAGCAGTTGCTAGTAATAGTTATTTATTATATAAGACGATAAAGGGATATTTTCAGTTTACGGTTTCCATTATCGTCTTGTGTAATAATACAAATATTTATTTTATAGAGAAGCCATGTAATCATTGTAAAGCTTCTGACAATTTTGAATTTAATTTTGGGACGTCAAAAATAGCAAGCTTAGGTTCTGCCGTCGAGGTCATTTCTATAGAAACAACATTGTATTATATTCTGAACTTCATTTTATTTCGTGCTACGCGTTCCATTTGAAGAGCGTACTAATATGCACTTTAAGTTTGAAGAGGCCAAGACGCATGAAGGTCCACTAGATGTTCTCTAATTGTTGACGATAAAATCATAATATTGTCCAGGCTTGCTAAGACGATATTATCTTTTAATCTCGACCGTAGGCGATCTGTTAATCTCTGAAAAGTCGAAGGCGAGTTCCCCAGCCCAAACGGCATTCGCTCGAAACGAAAAGTGACGTAAACGTGACGCGATCTACTTCTTTTACCGGAATCTGCCAATAACCGTCAATGCGCGTTAATGGATAACGATCCGGCTATGCTCATTTGTGGGTTATTTGGTTTTTCACAGGTTCAGTACACACTTCGATTTCTGTTAATGTGAAGGCACTACAGTTGGGCCCCAATGCGTTTTTTAATTATTGTGTATCGGTGCAGGTTGATGGAATCTTAAATAGATTACACGTTGCACTCCCCGAAGCTAGAGACGATAAAATACGTCCTCCCTGCATTCCCGAATCGGTCCTACTGAAAAAGCAACAGACCGCGGAAAAACGTAAACGCAAACTCGAAAGAGATATCGAATTGGAAGAGGGCGACGACTACATGCTGGATCTTAAGAAACATTACGTCGAAATACCAGAAGACGAGAGATACGACATCGTACCGGAAATATGGGAGGGTCACAATATCGCGGATTATATTGATCCCGAAATCTTTGACGTAAGACCCGGTTTTGGTTTAAAGTAGAGCTTAAACTTGATAAATTTGCAGAAATTGGAGGAGTTGGAGAAGGAGGAGGAGTTACGTGACGCGTCGGGTATGTACGTCGCGCCGAAGATCGAATTGGATGAAACCTTGAAAGAGATTAAGGCGTTGGCAATCAAAATTCGTGAAAAGAAATTTATACTCAAGGATGAGGCGCGGATTAATAAACAGAGTACTAAACCTAAACTTCCGCGTACCGCCGCTGCTAAGGTAAATATGCTCTTGTACTTCAGTAGATAAATTGTACGTAAATAGGGCCGCAATCGCTCCGTAACACGGCTGCGTACACAAATGTCCGAACTTGGAGTGGATATGTCGGATACCGCAGGTGCACACTTCACAAGAACAAAGTCGCGAGGTCGATCTGCTGGACCAGTTGCCAAACGTATGAAAATGGACGCAACAGATCCAAGATCAGCGAGCAAAAATAGAAGCGTTTCCAGAACACCTAGAAACGAATTAGGTGTTAGAGATGCAGTGGTATGATCATGTTGCATAATACAATTACCTTTCATTAATTACCGTTTATTTTTGTAGATGCAAAGAAAGGCACATAAACTCGCCCACCTTGCAATAAGCAAGAAAGTTAAGAAATACGGTCTTAAAGGTGAAGCAGATAGATTTATTGGAAACAAAATGCCAAAACACTTGTTTACTGGCAAACGTGGTATCGGCAAAACAGATCGTCGTTAAACATATTTATTGTTATTTAATATATGTTAATACTTTTTTGAGAAGTGATGTAAAAATAAAGTTTTATAGTAGTATGACCCATAATGCTCAAAATAATTTATTTATATCATTTCTAAATCATTACATGGAATAATTAATCTAAAATGTCAACATCGATAGGTAGGCGGATTATCTATAAAGATGCCAGTATAGTCTGCTCACATCTCACATAGAGATTTAATGGAGACAGACCCATGGGGCGTTGAAGGATCAGTAAATCATTTTTGTTAATAGCACCCAAGCTTAAGCGCAAACACTAACCTCAAAAATTGGCTTACGTTTTGTTACATTGCGTCCTTTCGTTGCTAAAAAGTTCGCGTCATTTCATTGATAAAGCGGAGCAAATGAGAAGAGGGTAACGTTACATTTTGAATCGTAATTCTGAGGTAAAATGGTCTGAGCTTCGGGTCCCTTTTTCAGACGGCCGATAATGTGTGTCAAAAGTTTGCGCCCTTGTTGCTATTACATGGCTTGTTGCCTACCTTATGTATGTACATGAGCTAATACTCGGAAGCATTCTGAATTTGAATCTAGGATGAAATTTGAAAAAATATATTCGAACACCCTGTACAAAAAAAAACCTAATGGAGAAATTCGGCAACGTTGCTTCTTATGTTTACATGTATTTTCTCTGATTGGTGGAACCAAACGATTAGATTTCCGTTTCCTACGGAAGCGTTATAATCTACGTTTTAAATTTGAAACCTTTGTTTACACAATTTCAATTACTTTAAAAAGTGTGTATTTTTAAAGTACTGCATCCCGTACAAACCGTAAAACTCGTATTCATGTCCGCTTAATTTCATCGAATGAACGAAACTCGATACCTGATGAGTGTTTAACAACATTTTGTGTTGATAACTAAAATGGACGCTATAGGTACACTTTCGTCTTTACTAGTCCGCCTAAGAAGTTTTGCCAGTTTAAAGGTAAATTACAACTTATTTCGCTACAACAAATACATGTATCTTCTTAGAGTTCCGAAGAAATCCCCTTTGACACAGTTCGAGCCTTTAGCGTAGATCTCTACGACTTCTACTACTTCGCCTGCGAATCCCTGCACGATTACGACGTAATAAAACTCCTTAAGGATTGCAGCGTAGAATACGTGAATTGTGTCGATAGTTTACTGGAAGCGGGTATAATAGATGAACGTGACGACATTAAGCTTTTGTGCGATAGATTGGAAATACTTCTGGTGCGGTGATGCGTTAGTTAAAAATAAATTACTCAGCGGTCATGTTCGATAGGTACTTTCGTCAATCGAAGGGATCAAGGATGAGTATGCGAGGTTGGTCGTTGTGCCACTGATTGAGAAAGCGAGCGAGCCCGACGAACGCTTGTACTTCAGTAAGGAGTTGCTTAAATTGGTCCTTCTAATGGTGGAGAAGGTTTGCGGTGAGGTCAAGGAAGCTATTGTGAACGACAATGCCCTACAGTTGTAAGTGAATTTCTGTGCGTTACTGCTTTTTGGTAGTACCTATCATTTCAAATTTTATCAAAAGTACGTCGGAGAAGTAAGTATGGTGCAAGTTAGTTAAGTTCAGAATGTGTTAGACACAATATTAAGTATCCTATATCCTATATAAAGTTTGTTAAAATCGGCTCAGTCGTTTCGAAGATACAGGGTGTTCTTTACGGAAACCTTTGAATACCCCCCACCACTTCATTTTTAGAGATACCGGAAAAATTGTCAAACATAAAAGGTGCAGATTATCGTCAACTTCACAGACCGGACATTTTTTGTTAGGTTAATATAGTGGAATTCACAGAAAAATCACTTTTTTAGATTCCAGATTGCAGTTACGCCCCCTAGCGGCCATTGCAGAAACAGAAAAATATTTTTCAGGTTTTTCTCGTGGCCGTTTTAGTAATAAATTTTTTTACCGCAAGCCTCTACGATGGACAGGTAACCAGATACAGTACCTCGCATTCTAATTTGGCCACCCTGTACAAATGATAAAAGCAATGCAGAGGGAATTTTGGTACCTAAAATAGAATTTTTGGTAGAGACCAAGAGAGTAATGCACGCGAAAAGGTTGCGTCGCTGTATTAAATCTGTGTAAATTGTCTATAATAGTTATTTACATAAAAGTAAGGAAAATGATATATTACTGGCGAGGAAATATTGAAGTGCGAGGCCCCTTAGGGGCCGAGTACTTTAATTCCCGAGTCAGTTAATGACATTTTACTGACGAGTTTTGTATTAAATTTTACCCGAAATCGTCTTTTAATACAAAATTTCAATTTTTATATAGAACTTATGATTAAAGTCAATCTGTCAGTGATGACAGGAGTCATGATCGACATTTAGAAATGTCAAAAATGTCGCCGGTAAAGTGGCAATCGGCACGAAACGTAGTCTGCTCTGCCTCTGTTATGGAAACTAAAATTTCCTGACAGAAAGTAGGCATGAGAATGAAGGTTTCAGGACGATTTTGGGTAAAAACATTTACTTGTTGTCAAGGAACAGTGCACAGTACCATAGTGCAGAAAGTATTTTTATATTTTTTATTAGTATAGTAGTAGGAATATTATACAGGGTGTTTTTTTGGGACCTTTACGTTTCTGGGAAAGTGAAATAGGTCGGTTTTTGTTTTCCATTTTTATAAGGAACTAAAATATGCGTCACGGTTTCTCCCGGATGGATTAAAATGCGATGAGGGACGAAAAGTGACAGTACACATTCAGTGTACGGTTACCTTTATACAGGGTGTTTTTTTGGGAGCTTTAGTTAAACGTTTCTGGGAAAGTAAAATACGTAGGTTTTTGAAAGTTTGTACTTAGGAGTTACTCTGAAGGCCGAATCTATGTAAAATATTTTCAAAATGGCCGCACTTCCGGAAACACCGGAAGTAGATCGTAACTTCGTTATTTTAAATGGCAACCCCTATTTTTTATTGCATTTTTGGATTCTACGTGAAATTTCAATTCTTTGATACCCATATGTCGATATCTGCCATTTATGGTTTTTAAGTTATTTTGACTTTAAGAAAAAAAATGGCGGATGCAGATGGTACCTTCATAATTGATTACTTGAAAAAGGTTATAGTCATGGCAACCCATTTTTATCAGTGCATAGAGAATGAATAGGGCTTTCTTTTAGTGTACTTCAAAAAAAGTTAAGTTGCGTACAACCGCACCTATGGAGATCCAAATTTAAGAAACTTCAAAGTCTATAAACTCAGTTTTTTTAAATGGAATGACCATGTTCTTAATATTGCATGAGAGAGAGAATCGAAATTGGCATATTTTGATATTACATGTTCTGATTTATCTCATTTCATTGAATTGATTTCGAAATTGATGCCATTTTTTTCGTATTTTCTTTTTAGTAGTTGGCCATGATTTTATAACAATCGAATTTTAAACAAATCAAGGAATGGATTCTTTAATACCATTGATTCTAGTTCTAGTCTAAATAATTCATTAATAAATAACTCATTTATTAAGGATAGTATAGGACGGAAAATTTTTGAAAAATCTAAACAGAGTCGTTCAACTGAATTTCTTAAACAACGCATAAGTCTGGAAATTAAGAGAGGTAATGCGATATCTGTTCTAGCAACAATTGCATACCAAAAATGTTTCAACGAAGTTTTTTATATTTTACATTGAATTTATTTTGTTAATCTTGCATTTGCAATTCAATTCATTTTCTTAAATATTCTCTTCTAGAGCTTTGTATCACTTGTGCTTCAACGGTTTGTAGTGCATTAGGGGTACAAAATTTCCAAAATTCATACAATTTCGAAATGAATGTACGGAAAGCACGCGCCGCGATTCTGCCCATTTCACCATAAATAACAATTAAATTCCAAAATAGATGAAACCACTGCGAGTCATTTTTCGATTTTTGAAAAACTTATGTTAACCTATAACAGTGAGTGATGGATTAGTGTCACTAGAATTGTTTAAAATTCAATTGTTATAGAATCATGGCCGACTACTAAAAAGAAAATCCGAAAAAAATAGTGTCAATTCAATAAAAGTCAGAAACTGTTAAAGATAGCTATAGGAACATGTATTGTCAAAATATGCCCATTTCGATTCTCTATCTCATGGAATAGTAAGAACATGGTCATTCCATTTAAAAAAACTGAGTTTTTAGTCTTTGAAGTTTTATAAATTTGGATATCCATAGGGGCGGTCGTACGCAACTTAACTTTTTTCTAAGTGCACTAAAAGAAAGCCCTATTTATTCTCTATGCACTGATAAAAATGGGTTGCCATGACTGCAACCGTTTTCAAGTAATCAATTATCAAGGTACCATCTGCATCTGCCATTTTTTCCTTAAAGTCAAAATAACTTAAAAACCATAAATGGTAGATATCGACATATGGGTATCCAAAGAAGTAAAAATTCACGTAGAATCCAAAAATGCAATAAAAAATAGGGGTTTCCATTTAAAATAACGAAGTTACTATCTACTTCCGGTGTTTCCGGAAGTGCGGCCATTTCGAAAATATTTTACATCGATTCGGCCTTCAGAGTAACTCCTAAGTACAAATTTTCAAAAACCTACCTATTTTACTTTCCCAGAAACTTTTAACTAAAGCTCCCAAAAAAACACCCTGTATATACATTTATAGTTTCGTGCACCAAATGTTATACTTATACCGTTTTCCATATCTTTTTGAATTTGGGATGCAATCATCGCTATTTATATCTGCTTCTACTGAGTTTTGGACTATAATTTCTGCACGGTTGTTTTGTACAGGAACCTTTAAATTGAATTAATTAAATCTTTGTAATGTAGACTTTGCCATTGAAGTTACTGTAACTGATTACCACAGTACAAAAAATTGCTATATACCACAGGACTACAGTGGGTCTCCTTCGGGTGCTGCATTCTTGAGCTTAAAACCCACACTTTTGGGCCCTTGGTATATACTGAATATACTATTATTATATACTTTTCTTTTTAGTTACAAGCTAGTGGATATGTTAAGCATGTGCGCGGATTATGGCCATCAGTTCACTATAATGAAAATCATTTTTTGTTTATTCTCCGATGAGCAATTACAAAATCGTGCCCATATAATGTTCCCCGGATCTGATACGGCAGCAAGTGATTTAAAGAACGTCAGCCTTCAAACTTTCAATAACGATATCAGACACTTTTTGAACAATTTTAATTCGAAGAGTCGCCGAATAAAGTCGTTCAAATTCGATTTCGCATTTTTGGATTCGTATGTGATAACTGCACCCAATGTAGGTAGCCGCACAGATGAGTATAGCTACTCATTTTTTTCCTTGTAGGTTCTCGATGATAACATTTGGGTGGATTTTAATCTGGCGATTAAATCTATTACAATTCTTTGTAACAAAAAGTCGTTAATTTTCAACACTTCTATTGAAGATGACTTTGCCCTAGAGGAACTCACTGTTTATTTCGACAATGTGGAAGCAGTCGATATAGTGAAGTAAGTACAAGTGTAGCACTTGACATTAATTGCTTGCCTTGCTTTAAATATGATACTTTTTCAGCAGTCTAACTGGTGCGTCAAAATTGCATTATTTCAGTTTCAAAATGTCTGACTTTATTGGGATACAATGGAAACAAGCGCACGTGTACAATCATTTGTTTTTCATTATTCGTGTGTATTTATCAAATAATTTCGATTTTTCTTTCACCCGCTTCACATTTCTAGCTTATCTGAGCTACTCAAGGGCGAATGGGATCATAAAAAATAATTGAAAAAAATTAAATTAAATTAGTTGCAAAAAATTAGATCAAGCTATTAGTAGTACTGACCCCTATTCGCTCCTGCTTGCATTTGAATCCTTTACCTATTAAAAAATATGCTTCATTATTTCAACAAATTTGCATTATTACAGATTGAAGAAAACCGAATCGGGATCGTTGGGGAACAAAATACGATTTAAGCTCAAAACCCCATATGCTGTCGTTCACAGTTCATCAGAAAATGCCGCAAATGCTAATTATTTAAATTTAATCCTTTTCGATAGTACCGAGTTAAATGAGTTAGCGAAAGAAGTGTTACCATTGATTTTTGCCGACCATGAAGAGGTAAGTAAAATTTGGCGGAATGTTTCCCACTCAAAGAACCACTACTCAAAAATACGTGCATATCATCTGCATTAAAATAAAACGATTTTGTTTTCGAAAATGTACAGGATGAACCAACAAAATTTTACTTTGGTAGTGTTTATAATAATAATAATATTTTATTGACGGCCAAGCCAATTTATACATAAATTATTAACAATAACAATAATATTTTAATTAGTATAAGAAGATATAGATATTAATAAATAATACAATAATAAATTACCTACACAATAGCAATGAAAAACAATTAGTGAATATAATTTGTATCTTAAATTAGAATAATTTAATGACTATAATATATTTAGTTTATATTTATAATAGAAATTTAGATTTTAAGGTAGACGTGATGCATTTGGTATTAACAATAAATATAATGGGGAACATTTGAATAATACAATTTATACATTTTCAGGACAATGTGTGTGAACCAAAGAGGCCAGATCATTTAACGGAAAACTTTAGTTGTATACGTAGGTTACATGCACATCTCTTGTAATTTTGTAATACTTTCATTGCAGTAACAAATAACGAAAGATCACCAGTGGGGGAAACATTTGAAAATGGGTTGAAAAAATCAAGACGCAGTGTAGGTTCCTGCAGTACACTGACAATGCCAGATGGAATGGTAAGTAACATTAGTATAAGAAGCAAATTCCCTCATACACAATTTGTTTAGAGGCTAGTAAGGAGAGCGACGGAAGTAGAATATGAACATCCTAAATCTCCAAGTATTAAATTAAGGCGAAGGGTAAGGCCTACTGGTCCTTTAGCTTTAATGTTTAAAAGTTACATTTCTAGGCAATTTTACAAAATATTGCAAATTTTGATTCTTCCATCGGTCGAGGAAAAGGTTCAGCTAGCTCCCGTCAATTGTTGGAACCAAGCAAAGTTTGCAAACTTAAAAACCAAACATTTGACCTTGAAGCGACTGGAGATATTTCTGTCAATGAAGGTATTAAATCGCATGGACAATTTCTCGGCAGCCCTCTTGAACCGCACGACATTTCACAAGTAGCCCTTGTTAAATCTATAGATACAACAGTAATTGGCGAAGAAACCAATTCTGAAAGTGACAAAACCAGCATCGATTATGTTCGTAATGAAAATCTAGTAACAATTATTACTAATGACTCACAAAACATAATTGCGGAACAGTCGCAATTGGCCACCGTTGGTGGCTGTAATGAATCTGCTTCATGTTTCACGATTAAATCAGATGAGTGTGTGTCGATATCGAGTGATAGTGGATCTTGTGATATTCACTCTCGCAGTACAATCATTATAACACAGTTCAGCGATTCAGAATATGAAGCCAGCACAGTTATAATAGACTCCCCTAATAGTAGGAGTGACACATTTTATAGCAAAGTTACTACCAATGACTTGGAGCCAAATAGTTCAAAGCTAATTATTGGTATTGAAACAGACAAGATTCATGATCATTGCTCGAAACAAACACAAGAAGTGGATCGTCAACAAAGTTCTGAATATTTACAATCCAATCAGTCACCTACAATGAGAATCAATAACAACAAAGCGTTAGATAGAAACAAACAAAAAGAAGATGTTGTTAGCATAAAGGTAACACCCGAAATTCCGAAACAGATTGGCGTGGAAAGACAGAAAAGTGAAACGTCATTATCAACTCCCAAGAAAACTCAAAGCTTCGTAAATATTGTAGATGACGATGAAGAAAATGAGGAAGGAAAAAATGCAAATATAATTCAAAAGAAAGAAAAAAGAAAATACGATGAAGACAATAAGCTACTGTATAAAATGTCGAAAAAACAGAAGAAACAAGATAAAGATCTAGATACCTTATTGTCCCCTGCCTCAAAGTTAATTAAAAGTAAAGAAACCAGAAAATACAACGATGAAAATAATCCAAGATACCAAAAGAAGGAACAATATAAAACTGTCTCGCCATTAATTGCCCAAAAAATTGAACCAAGTAACGTTGATTTGTTTGAACCAAGTGAAAGCACCAAAAAGATACATAAGAAAATGATAAAAAACTTGAAATATTTAAAGGTGGAAATTAGCACCGAGTGCCAAAATATTTTAAAGGCATATATGAAAAAGCAAAGACGGCTTAGTAGTTTGCGAAAACTATACAATCCAAATAGTATGTTTACTCCGAACTGTGCAAGTGGTATTAAAATGACTACTGCGGCAGAAATTAAAAAAGACAATAGTCTAAGCGAACCTTCTATGTCAGGAGAAGAAGACGGTACAAATCCAATCCTGCTCAATTATGTAAATGAAAAAAGTATCAACATATTGCAAAACATTGTTATAAAAACTGCAAATACAAACAATGTTGCTTCTACATCCACTCCATTGGATATTGAAAGGTCCTCCGTACCTAATGCGAGACAGCACAAACACGTGAAAGCTCCTCCCAGTTCGCTAGACATTGACAGATCAATGGTATCTAATGTGAAACAACATACGAAATTTGTGTCTAGTCCATTAGCTATTGAATCTCCAGTACTTAATGTGGAACATGTAAACATTACTCCCAGTCCATTAGACATTGAGAGATCTCCGGTACCCAATGTGAAACAACATGCGAAAGCTACACCTAGTTCATTAAAGAATGGAAGATCTCCAGAATCTGGTGTGAAACCTAGGTCTAGTCCACTAGACATTGAAAGATCTCCAGAATCTAATCAGAAACATGTGAAATCTACGCCTTATAGTCCATTAGATATTAAAAGATCTGGTGTGAAACAACACAGACAACATGCGAAAACTACACATAGTTCATTAAACATTGAAAATGGCGTGAAACAATATGTGAAACCGAGGTATACTCCACTAAACATTGAAAGATCTCCAGGATCTAGTGAGAAACAACATGTGAAACCTAGGTCCAGCCCATTAGACCTTGAAAGTTCTCCGGTACCTGAAGTGAAACAACACATGCAACATGTGAAATCGACGCCCAACCCCTTACATATTGAAAGATCTTTAGTATCTAGCGTGAAACAACAACACAAACAACATGCGAAACCTACGCCAAGGCCATTAGACTTTGAAAGATCTCCTGATGCGAAACAACATGCAAAATCTAAGCTTAATCCATTACACATTGAAAGATCTTTAGCATCTGATGTGAAGCATCGGAAACAACATCTGAAACATCCATCTAGATTTGGAGATTTAGATAACCGTGATGAAGATTTAAATGGCTCAGAATTTATGACGTTGTTGAAATCGCTACACCAGACGATAATAGAAGGCACTAAAGCTTATGGTCCAAACAAGAATCGATCATCGACGTACACAAAAGGAAAAAGATCTGCAAACAAAAGAAAGTATCCTAAATTAAGAGCGCAAGGGACATGCTTCGATAAAAGTAGTAGCGATGATGATAGTTCGGAAGTGATTTTGAAACGGTACAGTGATGCTTGCAACAAAGTTGGCAAGTTCTTGTACAGTCACCAAAAGAAAGGTATGTTTAACATATGTACTTTCAACACTTACGTAAATGTTGTTTTTCAGGATCGACTCCGCACTTTGAGAGGTAAGTTTATGGAATGTGACCAAGTGTAAATTTATTTATACAGGGTCATTCAAAGGTCTTTTTCATCATTCTATTTTTTTTTATTGCGCCTAAGGTTGTTTTGGAAAAATTCAGTTTTGATTGTCCTCGTTTGCTTTGTTTAAATGAATTGTAATTAATTTTTGTTTAGAGTATCACGAGTAATTCTCCAAGAACATAGCAAGATATATGACCGAATGCTGGATGTAGATCAAGCATACAGAACGAATTACAATCTGAAAGAAAGCCTTGTAAATACTGAATTTAAAAGATACTTACACAAATATGTTAAGTAGGTAATTTTATTTATTAATGACTAGTTAATGTTTTGTTGAAAAATTGTATTCTTTTGTTTATAATTTACCTACGTATTTGTAGGCTGTAGACAAAATACCATAACATAATATGTTAAATTTGGGTAGGTAAATTATGCTATTATGAAGTGATTATTTAATTTGTAATTTATTTAAATATCAGAACATTAGTAATAGTGTTTGAGTTAAACACCATGTAATAATAATAATCCAATAGTTCAATGTTTCTTAGTTTAGTTTTTTTGAATTTATGTGTTGTATTCCTTGTTACTTCTGTCTGTACAGTCTGAGATCTTGGTTGTTTCATAAGAAACCACGGTTTTTAGCGAATTAAAAAAATGTGCTATTGTTTGCGCTCTGTCAGTCCGTCTGTACGGACCCACTTCTGCCATGTTGAACTACTTTTAGGGTAGCCTATACCTTGAAGGTGTGCCAGATGGCCATCAAATTTGGCCTTAATTCCCATTGTCTGTTGCCTACCTTCTTCAGAAATGGTTGATGCTTGGACTTCAAAAGCGATTGGATAGAAGAAATAAAACAAAAAATACCCTGTATTTGTTCTTTAAGAATTTTGCAATTATAGGTGTAATGATAAATGAAAGGTTTTGTGCTACTATTTTATTCATGAGGAACGGTTGGTTGCCTAACTAACTAGGCGCCTCTAAGGGCATGCTAAAGCTAATGCGACAATAGGTCCTTTAACAAAATTGAAATTAATTCCTTCATAACAGGTTTAACTGTAAGTTTTGCGATCCAGATATGCCCGAAATGAAACCCCCCCAACCCGCTAAATTTAATCTCTACAGTTTCGCCAACCTTAGGCAGGTGCCGAACCGAGTTAGTCGGCGGCATTTGTGATTTTGTAGTGGTAGTGGAAATATGGAGAGACTAGATGTGTATATTAATTTTGTGATTTTAGTGTATTTATTAGTAACTTTAACAAATTGTATAAATGGAACTTTAGTACATAAAAAATTTGAATATAAATACTCGTTTAAACCTCCATATTTAGCCCAGAAGGACGGAAGTGTTCCGTTTTGGGAGTACGGCGGCAGTAAGTAAACACATTACTATAGTACACGTAGTTGTTTTTGGCCTCTATTAAAGACATACGTACGTCAACCTTTTTCTTTTTATTATTCAACAATTGTGCTCTCACTTGTAAGTAGGCAGGTCGCGTACGTCCACGTGTTTTGGACACGTATCTAACCTGTACAAAGCAGATGTTATCTCTAATTATTGTTTAGGTACCATTTCTCATCTTGAGAATACAAATTTGCATAGACCTCCGTAAGCAAACCCCGCACTTTAGACTGTAATCTCGGCATATACCTACCTACCCCATGATCATTCATAAAGCATTCAAATTTTCTAGAATGAAATTGTCTCGGTGACAGTCTGAGTGACCTGTGGCCTTCCTGCATTTGATAGTAACGACCTGTTACCCAACACTTACATTTTAACAGAACATTATATCTGGGTATCGTACTCGGTTGAATCTTAAAAGTAGTCATGAGATCGTTGTTGTAGTACGTAGAAGAGGAAGTAAATCGAGTTATAAAGGCAAAGGCCGATTGGCCATACAGTACAATAGGAATAGATTACAGCCCTTGTTGGAGGAGCTTCCGACAACGAACCGAGTCGATTACTATCTGACTAACTAATGTGAATAAATTTCTGATTATTTGTACATTATGAGTTTTTCTTTGAGCTTTTTATATAATTTGTTATATAACGGAACAATGTTTCAGACAATGTTTCTAACAAAATTGTGATATTGTTTAAGGGTCATGTATACAACAAGATCTGAAGAATCGCATACGATTTTCAGTAGGGTAATTTTTTGCCACTCAGCTCGTATTCATATTCAATAACACTGATCGTGTAAACGCGTCATAAGAGATCCGGGGGGGGGGATTTCAAAATGGTCCTATATTTTCATAGTTACGAGTAGGCATGGGAATTTTTTTCGATATATCGATGGTATCGATAGTTTATCGATATATCGAATAACAAATAAGGTAGAGCATTACAAACTGAAAAAAAAAAATCGATATGAATCGATAGATGATAACTATCGATATATCGATCTTATCGATAAGTATCGATATATTCGATACTATTCTGATATGTCGATAACTATCGCATGATGTCGATAACTATCGATATGTCGATAACTATTGATATAATCGATAAACTATTGATATAGTCGATATGGTCGATAACTAATCGATATGTCCGATAACTATTGAATATACGATATGTCGATAACTATCATATATATCGATATGTCGAATAACTTATTAGATATATCGATATGTCGATAAACTGTACGATAAAATTAATGTATTGTTGAGATTTCAACGAGCGCTACTAATTTATTATTAATAAAATTTCCATTTTCGGGTTTACTCTCAGTGTAAATTTGACTAATTTTAGTTGGCTCGGTACGTTTCGGAAACTTAACTTTGCTGCCTTTCTCAAGAGAAGCGCTACGTCAACATGCATTCATCCATGCCAAAAAATTAAACGCAGTAATAAATCTTTAGAAAATAAGATCTTTTCGTCTTACTGACGATTGCTCAAAAAAAGAAGATCACTTCAAAAACCTTGAACAAATGTTTGCATCAAAATGGCTACTCTTTAGATAAAATAAAGAAGACAATCAAAGGGTGTAATCATGGCCTATGTATCGGTATCTGACTGATGGTTACAGAGGACCAGTCACAAAAAACAGAAATGCTAAAGAGCCCTGCGATAATTGCACAGTTAATATGGTAACTCCATTAAAGTTGCAAGAACTGCATTCGGTTATTTTCATATTTTGTTAAAAAGAGCCCTCTTGTCTTGTCGGGCTCTTTCGCCAAAATATAAAAGTAAACTCATGCAGTTTTTAGACACGCTTTCAAAAAAATTATCGGTAATATATCGATACCTATATATTAAAAACTATCGCCATAACGAGAACTATCGATATACCGATACTTATCGATATAGCGGTAGTTATCGATCTTTCGATAGTTATCGATGTATCTATAACCATCGATATTTCGATAATTATCGACATATCGATAAGTAAAATATATCGATAGGTAAGTACCCGATACTTATATCGATAGGTGAAAACAGTTATCGCCCATCCCTAGCGATAACTATCGACATATCGATATATCGATAACTATCGATATATCGATACCTATCGATAGTAATCATATATCGATAACTATCGATATATCGATAACTATCGATATATCGATAACTATCGAAATATCGATAACTATCGAAATATCGATAACTATCGATAACTATCGACATATCGATATTTCGATAATTATCGGCATATCGATAAGTAAAATATATCGATAGGTAAGTACCCGATACTTATCGATAGGTGAAAACAGTTATCGCCCATCCCTAAGTAGTTACGAGACAGAAAAATAATATTATAGGTATTAGTTATAATAATTATTGAATAATCTGTCGTTTTCAAAAAAGTATACAGGGTCAGGTAAAAAAAATATCGGGCCTAACCTCATTTTTTTAAATATAACATATATCTTGAAATTGGAACTGACTGAAACGCAACTCGGTTTGTTTATACGTGTAGCAAGCGCCTCACATCCGCTTTCGTCTCTTATCGCCTCTACTCCTTTATGTCGCCTTGACGTCTTGGGATTTCTAGAATAATAGTGTTGATAGCACTAACAATTACGGAGATACCCTATAAAAGTGTTGAAAATGGGACACCGTGTACTTGATCGGTTACAATTTTGAAACAAATCCGGTCATCAGGTCATTATGCACTGTAATAACAGAGACAGACTGAGTGTACATGGGCTCGGGTGGCAGCAAAGCAAGGACTCCCATGAAAAATTTGTATTGTTGAAACATTTCATTAAATGGTGGATTTTTAGAATAACAAATAACCGCGCATCCTGTCAGCACACGGCCTGCTAGATTTCATATGTTTTCTAAATATTGAATCACGAATTTTTCCACTTTATGCATAAATTTATTCTCAAAAAGACATTGAAAAATATGCGAAAAATGGTATGGTAGAATTCTCCAAACGTATGTGCGTTACAATAAACTAAAGGATTAATTGGTTGATAAATTTAGCAATGGTTAAAACTTTTGTCCTCACCGAATTAATCCGATAATCCCATTGGATTATCTTAAATCCACATTTAGTTGTATCAAATTTTGTTTTGACATTCCATTGTTTACTGTGACTTTTTCAAATCCCTCTTTTACTTTTAATGTAGAAAAATACCTACAATCTCGCACTTTGAAAATGGAATTTGACCATTTTTGTAGAAGAGGCGTTGTTTAAGTTCATAAAAGGTGAAGTGCGCGATTAACTTTTCTGTAGAGCAAAATCCGAATTCTGTAATTTGCAAAAGATAAGTTCAGGGCCGCCATAATTACAACAAAATAACGCACTTTCTTGATAAGCCATGTATTAATTAAAATTCTTTAAACAGATGCAATTGCCAGTGCTGAAAATGTAAGGCTCGCGCCTTCGCTACGAAGTCAAAAAGGTGCGATTTGGACAAAGTCGCCCCTAAATTTTGATTGGTGGGAAGTGGACATTGTCTTTCGGGTAACGGGCCGAGGAAGAATAGGAGCAGATGGCTTGGTAAGTTTGGAACTGCACGCCAGTAAATTAATAACGGAACCCTATTTCAGGCGTTTTGGTATACACAAAGTAAGGGCTCCTACGAGGGTGACGTGTACGGATCTTCGGATAAATGGGTAGGGCTTGGTGTGTTTTTCGATTCGTTCGACAACGATAATAAGCATAACAACCCGTACATCATGGGCATGGTTAATGACGGAACACGATTATTTGACCACCAGAAGTATTGTATACATTTCATTTGTTTAGTGTATTAAATCTGTTATTTACACAGCGACGGTGGTACTCAAGTGATGGCCGGATGTCTCAGAGATTTCAGAAACAAACCGTTCCCGACGCGCGCGCGTGTGGAGTACTATCAAAATGTATTAACCGTGTCATTCCACAATGGTATTACAAATAACGAGGGCGACTATGAGTTATGTTTCCGTACTGAAAATGTTATTCTACCCAAAGGAGGATATTTCGGTCTTTCTGCCGCAACAGGCGGACTCGCCGATGATCACGATATTCTCCACTTCCTCACGTCGAGTTTATGGCCGCCGGGTCAACATCCCACAAGTGGAACTCAAGGTCAGTTCTTTGTCAGTTCTATAAAAAATATCACCTGTACATTTTACAGCATCAAGTGCCGAGCAGCAAAAGTTGACACAAGAATACCAGGAATATCAACGTAAATTAGATCAACAAAAGGAAGATTACAGAAAAGAGCACCCTGATGCTGTAAGCATTACTATTAATTATAATTTTGTCAATTCTTCTTGTTTTTTGCTCGATTTTGATACCCTTTTATAGTCTGAGAGCCAGTGGCAGGCAACCTTTATGTAAATTATAAGATCTTACCACTCAGGTATCAAATTCTTGACAGAACAGCTTTCTAGCTCAAACCAAAAATTGCGCTTTGAGAAGAGTGTGGGGAAAAAACGTTTCCCACGAAAGTGTATTGTATTCCAATGTAGAATAAATCATTTTTTGATATCCCCGCTAGTTTCCGCAATAATCGACTGTCCAATAAATCATCCCCTGAAACTGATATCTTTTCTAGACAAAAATGCTTGCTACAAAACTATCGTATATTCGTTCTGTTCATTGTTATACTCGAACAAAAAAGTTTACCCTTAAATTGTATTGTGTGTGTGAGGGTAGGGCAGTGTAGCCTTTAAGCACCTAATCCTCTAAGGATGTGTTCAGCCTTTTTATCTGCCTGTCCACTCTGGCGGAACTCTATTATTATATTCTATTCATAAGGGCAGCAACAGCGAAACCTTACCTACTGCATATGCATATGTTTATATAGGATGTTTTCGCGAGCTTGTTTAGGCATCATTTAGCTACTTTTTCATGAAAAAAAAATCGAACCAATGCATTTAATTTTTTTGAGAAAATTAACCATTTCTGTCGGAATGTCGAAAAAAGCCCTCAAGCGGTGATATGTAAAACTAACAAAACTTCAAATAGTATAATATTTGTAGCTGAAGAATAACTCTTTTCATTTAACCCGAGTCTGTTCGGCTCAGTCGTTTCGAAGATACAAGGTGTTCTTTACGGAAACCTTTGAATACCCCCCACCACTTCATTTTTAGAGATACAGGAAAAATTGTCAAACAAAAGAGGTTCAGATTATCGTCGTCTTCAAAGACCGGACATTTTTTTGTTAGGTTAATACAGCGTAATTTACAGAATAATCACTTTTTTAGATTCCAGTAAAGTCACTAGTACCGCAATCATCCGCCATTTTTGGGCAAATTTGCTGCCAACTTAAAACAATTGACAAATAAAATCTCAATAGCTGTAATTTTTTATAACCTAAATTCATAGTACTGTCATGTTTTATAAAAATATACAGATATCTCAATGAATAAAGAATACCAGGAAGGAGCATTAATCAAGTTGTATACGAGAGAGAGTGCGACGGAAGTCGGCCATTTGCAAAAGCCACTTATGAGTCATTTTTGTTGTGGCTGTTGCAGTGACATAAAAAGAATGGTTAGTTGTTGTGCTTGTAGTTGCTCCAAAACAGAAAAAAATAAAACTTTGGGAATTACATTTCATGTGTAAGTATTGATACCAATATTATTTTTACATAGTACATGTAAATTTACAAATTTTTTATCGGAATGTAGTTTGAGGTTAGTTAAACAAAAGTCATAGGTGGAGTAGACACATGGGGGTTTAGATTGTTTTCGTGTAAAATTCTTTATAATTGTATCCTTCTACAACTGTAAGGTAGGTACGCCACTGGAACAGGAAACTACTGTCCGCCATTTGCAAAAGCCATCGCGGTCGCACGTATATTGTTGATATTCTCCTTCCTGGTATTCTTTAATCATTGACAGATATCTCCAAACAGGTGGAACAATCCCTAACATTAAAGTTACTAGAATCTGGTAACTTCCGCCATTTTTGGGCAAAAATCATGCGTTCTCTCTCTAACACACGAGCCCAATGGATTGCGGTACTTTCTATATTTAGTGACTTTAGATTCCAGTAAAGTCACTAAATATAGAAAGTACCGCAATCCATTGGACTCGTATTCTTTATTCATTGGGCTCGTGTGTTAGAAAGAGAATGCGTGATTTTTGCCAAAAATGGCGAAAGTTACCAGATTCTAGTAACTTTAATGTTAGGGATTGTTCCACCTGTTTGGAGATATCTGTATATATTTTTATAAAACATGACAGTACTATGAAGTTAGGTTATAAAAAATGACAGCTATTCAGATTTTATTTGTCTTTTTTTTAAGTTGGCAGCAAATTTGCCCAAAAATAGCGGATGATTGCGGTACTTTCTATATCTAGTGACTTTAGATTCCAGGTTGCAGTTACGCCCCCTAGCGGTCATTTCAGAAACTTAAAAATATTTTCCAGGTTTTGCTCGTGGCCGTTTTAGTATAATTTTTTTACCACAAGCCTCTATGATGGATAGATTCTCAGATACAGTACCTCCGAGAGTACCTCGCATTCTTAGTTTGGCCACCCTGTACTTGTATTACGTCCTTCTAATTAGTTTTTACTTATTTGCTTCCTTTCAACAGAAACCGAAAGATCCAAATGCCGAAGATTGGTTCGAGTCCGATAACCAAAGAGAGTTGCGACAAATATTCCAGGGACAATCGCAAATGTACGAAGTAATGCGCGATCTGAACCGTAAACTGGACGAAATAATTGGTCGGCAAGAACGAACTCTCAGCGTTGTTTCCATGATGCAGTCCGGCGTTGCGGTTCCCCAAGGACAAGCGCCGCCGGTGGGACAAGTTCCGCCGCCATCGGGCGCTGTGCCCTCACTAGGTGAAGGTATTAGAAAGTACGAGTTTGACGCAATGTACAACAATGTTGTACAAGTAATGACATCTATAAATCAAATAACGTAAGTGGCGTTATCTCGTTTTGTTTGTTGTATCGTTGTGTTCACAGGCAATCTTTGGGAGATCTTCATCGGAAAACTGAAACCGTAATGAGTAACCAAGCGAAACAGCCCACTGCACAAGTGCAATCGGTGGGTTACGACATGCAGTCGCTTGTTTCCGAAATGAGGGACGGTCTTAACCATGTTAAGCAAAACGTCGCCCAAGTTTCTCAGAAAATGGGTGGTTCCACTACTACTTGCACAAGCTGTGTATCACTAACGGCGGTGCTCGTCATCACCGCCGTTCAGCTAGCAATATTGCTAGGATACTCGATATACAGAGATAGCAAAGAGAATCAGGCGAAGAAGTTTTATTGAGGATCGGCAGTTGTAAATGAGTGTATAAAAAAGGGCATATTTGTACCGATTTTAAATTTAAATTATTAAATAATTTGGACTTTCGTTTTACTCATCATCTTTTGATCATCTTTCGGTTTTAAACATTTTGAGTACAAACTACACTCGCACTATTATTTAGTATGAGGATAAGTACATGTAGGTAGTGAATATAACTTTTTGTACTTGGAGCATTAGTTATTGTCTTCCATTTCAAAACAATTCCCACATTTCTATTTTTGTTATGTAGAGATACTGAAATTTAATAAATAATTGTTGGTATTTGTATTACTCTCGTTATATACCTAAAAGCAAACGTCATTGGAAATTAAACTAATTTTAGTAACGTGATAAGCCCACGATGAAAGAGATGAAAGTACTAACAAATAATCACTGGTTGATTAATTTCTTCTCTTTATTACTTACATGTATGTTGTGTTGCCTATGGATTGAAAATTTCTACGAGTAAAACGTAGGAAAATTTAAATTATTGAATAATTTGTCAATCTTCTTCTGAAGAAGAGGCGGGAATATCCCGCATGGTCCTACATTCATAAATGGGCTGAACGTGTTAATAATAATAATAATATTTATTTCAATCAGCTACAGAGACGTAGTTTGGAACATGTCATGAGCATCTTGATCGGCCTTACACTTTTTGCCCCGTGGCTTTCAAAAGGATCTTACGAAGTTTTTGAACTTCAAGGAGACCCTTTATGTTGATCACAGAAGATCCTCATTTAGACCTTCGAATATGGTCCTTATACCTGCACTAAGCCATCTCGCAGGCAGCTTGGTTCACATATGGTCCTATTAAAGAGTCTGCGAACCTCCTTGCGATTACTCCTCAATGCTACTACGCAACTGACAATATTTAAATCAAATTTTGGCGCGCTTCCTCTGCGCATCAACCGATCTCGCCATGCGAGTGGTTGCGATCGGTGGTGAGAATTAGTGACTTGCAGATGTGTTGCATATTGACTCCCTCGGTACTGCGTAAACGCAAGCGCGCTTAAATTTGAATTTGCGTAAAACTGTCAAGTTTAATGTGTAAATAATAAACATAACCTACAAACGCTATAATTGAAGAAAATTTAGTTTACCTGCTTACCTATTGTAAGTAGGTGTAGTAGGTATCGCGTTTATCTTGTTATGATCGTTCTTATTTTCAAAGAAAACGGAAAAAAGCTGCATAGGAAGCGTAAGCGGCTTCAACGATAAACTAAAAACTGGGTCACGTGACATTACGCGATGACGTAGTAGGTTAACGTCATCGCACGTGACTGATTTTAAAAAATGGTCCAATCACAGCGCTTTTAAAAAAAAATTGGCATTGTTGATAAAAAGCATTGTTTATTTATCACGGATTTCACACAATTTAGGAGAAAACTACTTTTCTTTTGTGAAAAACTAATCAGTGATTCTTATAATGAAATGCACAGAACAAATTATAAATTCCGTTGACGGAAATTGCCATCTTATAAGTAACCCCGACAAATTTTAGGGGCATGATGATTCATAGTAAAAAAAGATAATTTGTTTATGATTTAGTTATTAAATTTGGGCATCAGATTTAAAAAAAAAGAAGGAAATTATAACGCACGTTATTTGCAATGGTGTAGCCGCCAGGGAATCTAGAGCCTTCAGGAAAAAATGAAAATAGTTACTAAAGGTCCCACAATTTGGAACAGATGCCGTAGGGTTGAATTCTAAAAGGACAATTGAACGTCTGCAGATGTTCATGTATAAGGGCGACTCCTAGGCTACTCAGAGACCGATTCCAATACAGGGTTACAAAATGTGGTAAAGGGCTCTTTAAGAAACATTTGCAATGTCTTTATTAATTTTTTCCATCACTCTCGCAATAAACCTACATACTGCTACCTCAGTACTCTAGGTATGTACACCGAAACGAAAGTACACAAGTTCTACTTTACGCTGACCATAAGACCTATTGTAGCTGCTCTAGACTTCTACCACTTGCAGTCCAATAAAATAAATAAGAATAACACAGGCCATATACAAATTTCAATTCGCTACCTCGCCTACTACCATCTAGTGAATGCAATCTTGAGTCGAGATCTCACTTGATTAGAAATTGCAATCTCACATCTCGGGTAGTTTTCGAAAAAAAAAAATTGTTTATATTGGATAATTAGAAAGAAATGAAAGCTACTAACATAACATGTGATTATGAGGTTGATCAACACTGTGGCACCAGGGTGAGTAAACTATTGCAAAAAGCTACTCCTTGTTTCCCAACACTCATATACATCTATCATCATCACGTCTATAAAAAATGGAGCACAATAGTTTATAGCTTGGTTTATAGTCATTTATCTGGTAGAATATGTTAATTTATTTTCCGTACACCATGAGGGTTTTGATTATAATAAATAATAACGTTACAATTCTTGTTGTTTATTCCAAATTATGTTGTAAAGGATCATGACGGTTGTTGGGATTATAATTTATAATGTAACTGGAATTCACAGTGATGACCGAAGGCTTTATTAATTCGAGCAAATTCAAATTTAAGCGCGCTTGCGTTTGCGTAGTACCGAGGGAGTCAATATGCAACACATCTGCAAGGAATTAGTGTCAAATTTTGTTCTACAGTTCAATAACATTAGGTAAATAAATTTTCGTTAATAGAAATTGTGTGATTGTCTCGGAGATTATACTGTAGTAGAATTTGTGATAGTTTCATGACTGTAGAAACGAAAAGTAAGTAAATGACGTCCTTTGGCATTTAAATAATGTGGATCTTATTCGACCTCAAGTGTTTTGTTATGCATTTGAATATTGTTAGGGAATATACTGTGTGTATTTGTACTGATAAGTTTGTTTTAAACCTGCAGATGAGTAGCAGCCATCAGTATATGCAAGCAACAAATTCGAGTGGTGTTTCTTCCAGACATGGTGATATTGAACATTTGTCGCAGCTTTCAGATAACTTGTCATCTTTGTGTGTTAATCAGGAATACTCTGATGTTACGTTGATAGTAGAGGGACAAAGGCTTCATGCACATAAGGTTCGTATAGTAAATTTTATTAACCACGGTTTCTGCAACAAAGGACTTACATTATCAATGATTGAAATTTTGATTCTCAATTGGTAAATTTGTTTTATTTTATTTTTGTGATTATTTCTAAGTAGGCTGCTCTACCAACCTAACCCAACCCGCTATACATTTATAAATATCCATGGTCAAACCCAGACTTAAACCTGGGACCTTCAGTACCACACTCGAGCTTCCACTGTGCACTGTGGCAAGCGGGCTCGCATAATTAACAAACAACTAAACTAAAATGACTGATAGTATTCTTTTCAAGCAATTGTAATTGAAGTCCCAAAATAATATGAAAACAAAAAAACAAAATAGAGAGAAAGAAAAAATATTAATATTAATTAAATTTGTAATATTTTTCACAAAAGTGAACTGACACTAATTCGTATATTTGAAACAGGTTATATTGGCTGCTAGAAGTGAATATTTTCGAGCACTCTTATATGGTGGCTTAAAGGAATCATCTCAGGTAAGAATAATTTAAATTCCGTTTATCAAATTTAAAATTTACATTTGAGAGGTACCCCCCGAAAGTCCCATATTTTTGGATAAAATATATTCAAGTTGGTGGCCATTTTTAATTCTAGTTTTGGAACCCCCTGTATTTCTTCATAGGTAGTCCACTAAAGCAGAACCTCTTCTAAAAGGAACTCTGTCTCAATTAAATAATAACAGCTCTCGTACAGAAAAAAAATCATTAATTTCCCATTTTTATGTAGTATGGTTGCTAAGTAAAAAAGTACCAAAAATATTGAAATTATGGGACTTCTGGGGACAAATGCATATACACAATTTTCTTACATAAATTACTATTTTAGTCTGAAATTGAACTGACAGATGCACCCTTAAACGCCTTCAAGATATTATTAAAATACATTTATTCCGGTAAGTAGCAATGCGTTCGGCGAAGATGCCATAAATCGATTTAAAAATCTTACAGGTCACATGTTTTTAATGACTCTCAGAGAAGACGTAATTCTTGACACCTTAGGTTTGGCCCACCAGTATGGCTTTCAAGAGCTGGAAACGGCAATTTCGGATATCCTACATCAAATTTTGGCATTGAGAAACGTGTGCGCCATTCTCGATACCGCTCGGTTGTACGGATTAAATCAACTAATTAAAGTTTGCCATTCTTATTTGGACAGTCACGCATCGGAAATCTTATGCCACGAATCTTTTTTGCAGCTGTCGCAGGTACATAATTTGTTATTGTCGGAGCAAATTGTAGGTAGACTCTAGTTTGAGTAATAGGTAACGCAGATTTAATCAGCTTGATATCAAGATATTTGAGCGTCAATTTCTAAGCGCGAATTTGCGATTTTGCCAAAATCAATGATCTTTAATAACAATCAACTTTTTCTGTTTTGTTGAAATCCTAAATATTTATTTTCATATCGTCCAGTGTTTCATTGTTGAGTGTCTGTTGTTCTGCTTCTTTCCTATAAGTAGCATCTTACATTTACTTATTCCAAATTCCAAGACGATGTCTTTTGTTACTTGCTCAGTTGTTTTGAGGAGTCTAGTCATTTTTTTTAAGTGGGAGGATTTCAGTCAATCACCTACTATACATTTACAAATATCCAAGCACGAACCATGTAGAGCAGGCATGTCAAACACGCGGGCCACATCGCCATTCTGTAACCTGCAGCCCGTCACGATGTTTGCAAATTATAAATTAAAAAACCTGCCTATTTGAGATATTTTTACGTAGAATCCAATGGCGTAATAAAGAAAACTTTTGGACCACCCATGCTGAAATTTGACCCAAAGTTGGTATTTTTTAAATGCAACACCCTGTATATCTTAACTTCATTTTTGACATTCCTTTTCCTGTTTACATTAATGTAGCACATCCTATATAGTCCTAATTAATCTCAAACTTGAACCTCATACTTTCAGCACCGATAGTAAGTGACAGGTAACAAACTGATCCCATTTCAGGCTTCACTAGTCGACCTGCTACAAAGAAATTCATTTTTCGCGCCCGAAGTCGAAATTTTTCGAGGAGTATGCGCATGGTGTAGAGCAAACGAAGACTGCGACGATTTAGTGATGAACTGTGTCCGATTGCCTTTAATGAGTATTTCCGATTTGCTCTCTGTGGTTAGACCGGCCGGTCTAGTGAGACCCGACGCCTTATTGGACGCCATTGCTGAACGAACCATTGTGCGGAACAGCAGTCTACCACACAGAGGACAACTAGGTAAAAATCATTAACTTCGATATTATTTTTGAATGGACCACCCTGTATATTTTGAAACTAAATCTATGAAAAACTGAAAAGTTGGCTAAGACCGGATGTTCTTACAGCAATGGACGAAAACGTGGCATCCCCTCGAATGGGTGCTAAGGTAGTGGCGGGTGAATTATTGGAAGCGCTATTAGACGGCGATCACACAAATTATGACATGGAACGTGGTTATACAAGGCACGCTATCAATGGTCTTGGCGATCAAGGTATTATCGTTAAACTTGGCACACCTTCCATTATTAATCACATTAAAATGTTGCTATGGGATCGTGATCTTAGGTAAATTGATTTTAACAAACGGATTAAGGTTGATTCATTTTTTTTTAGATCATACTCGTATTATATTGAATTGTCCATTGAACAAAAAGATTGGGTGCGTGTCATAGATTACAGTCACTATGCGTGCCGTTCTTGGCAATATCTTTACTTTCAAAACAGAGTCGTACAGTATATACGGATTGTTGGCACGCACAATACTGTAAATAAAGTAAGCGCTACGAGCTTCTGTTACTCAATTACTCAATGTACAGTATATTTCAGGTTTTCCATCTGGTTGCCTTTGAGGCAATGTGCAAGGTCAAAATTCCAAGAATGATAAATGACATAATCGTACCGCAATACAATGTTGCCACTTTAGACTGCAGCGCTTCTGTTATAGAAGGTGTAAGGTAAGGAACCAAAATTGATGGTGTCTGTTTTTAAACTCGAATTCGGTCACAGGATAGTGTACCACAAGGGTATCTGCTTGGTCCATTACTTTTCAAATTGTAGACATGCATTTCATTTCAAATAAAAATTAAATTAAAATTAAAAATAAAAATAACTCTCCCAACTGAAAAACAGTTCGACCTAATTTTTTTGTTATAGTTAATTATTGTTTTCTTCTTTGTTACACAATTTTAAATATTTCGTTTAACTAAAGTTTTATACTCGGAAAAAAAAAATAAGAAGACTGGAAAAAAAAATAAATAAATGTTATAGAAGGTGTAAGGTAATGAAATGCTGAATAGTAATATTAGTCACTAAATTTCAGCCGAAAGCCGAATGAGTTTCAAAACATTTCTGACACTAGGGCTAATAATTCAAATAGGGATCATGCGTAGTAGTCTCAATAATCCGAGGGTATTGGGGTGGCACCTCAAATTTTGAAATACTCCCTACGTGGAAACAGTGAAATGGGATCCGCAGCTAATAATGCAGTGAAGAAGTTTTCAAGTTTTTCTTTGGGACCTTGGTTAACATGGAACCTCGGATTATCGTCACTTTACTGTAAAGCCAAAATTATTATTAATTATTAGTATATTTCTTATGGTTTTGTAAGGTTTCTGACACCCAAATCATTGAGGTAAGAGACGCCATTACGTCTTTATCTAATAGTAAATGTCGAGACATATATGATCTGTCTAAGGCTTTTATTGTATTACCACTAACAGTGTTAATTAATGAGTGTTTCAGGGAAGGGCCGTTCCCAAAGGCATTGAAACGGTTTATAATTTTACCTTTGTTTAAAAAGGGTGACAAAGAGGATGTTTCAAATTATAGGCCGATATCAATACTTCCCATTTTTTCAAAAATTTTTGAAAAATCTTAAAAAATCGCATACTGAATTATTTTGAGGTCAATAATATTTTTAATAATGCACAATACGGTTTTAGATCAAAAAAGTCAACGACGGACGCCCTTGTAGATCTATCTAGTACAATCTTAAATACATTTAATGAAAATAATTATACAACAGCAACTTTTCTAGATTTAAGCAAACCTTTGATTGTGTAAATCATAAGATCTTGTTAAATAAGTTGCAAGCATATAATTTTGATGAAATTTCCATTAAACTCATGCAATCATATCTCGAAGAACGTTCTCAAACTGTTAGATATAACGGTTTATTCTCAAAAGAAATATGTGTACAGTCTGGTGTTCCACAAGGTTCCATTTTAGGGCCTGTGCTTTTCTTAATTTATATAAATGACTTGCCTTCTACAGTTAATGGTCATTTCATATTATATGCCGATGACACTACAATACTAAGCTCTGGTTCTAGTCTAGAAATAACAAATATAAGAAGTAGAGATCTTCAAGGGCAGTCCAAGCCTTGGTTCCACTTGAACAAGTTGTCTCTAAATGAAGACAAAACAGAAGTTTTAACTTTTACGATGAGAAGGGACACTGGTAATTAACCGAAAGCCGGTGAAATTTCTAGGCGTCTATCTGGACTCCTCACTTTCATGGACACGCCATATTGACGAGCTCTCCTCAAAACTGATCAGAACTGTGTTCTTACTCTGTAATTTAACAAACCATGTTTTTCGGAAATTACGTGCACTGCGTACTTTGGATTATTCCATGCCATAATGAATTATGGTATTTTAGTATGGGGTCACTGCTCCTCTGTATCTAGAATCTTTAAAATACAAAGAAGAGTGGTTAGAATATTGGCTAACCTAGACTATCAATCTGATTGCAGGCAAGCCTTCACAGATTTGAAAATATTAACCTTACCCTCACTTTACCTATATACCTGTATGATTTATATGAAAAGTCTTTGCCAAAAATTTAAATGCCACTCGGACTTTCACAATTATGATACGCGAAATATGCATAATTACGTACCTACCTATTTACGTCTTAAAAAAAGTCAGTACGGCCCTAATTTTTTAGCCATAAAATTTTTTAATATGTTGCCCACCGCTCTTGAGCATTGCAATGAAATAGAGTTTAAATCTAAAATTAAATCATATCTAATAAAAAAGGCTTTCTATTCACTAGAAGAATTTTTGACGAATAAATGTTGTGATATAATGGAATAGTTTGTATAATTATTATCTTTGTTTGTAATTTATTATATTCATTTGTCTCTTACATTGCATACTTGAAATGACTTGTGTAAACACCATGTGTAAAACATCAATAAATATTATTATTATTATTATTAATGTAAGAGGGTAACATGTTTTTCAAGAAAATTACTGAAATTTTCAAATTGTTTGCTACCTCAATTTGGTAAAATGAAACTAATGTTCTAGTCGATCAAGAAATGCCTTACTAAATGGTGACACGAAACATTACGATTGGGACTCCGGCTATACGTGTCACCAGTTGGGTTCCGGAGCCATACTAGTTCAATTAGGTAAAATTTGACACTTTTGTTCTTATGTTTTTCACAGTTGATATTTTAGGACAACCGTACATAATATCGAGCTTACGACTGCTATTGTGGGATTGCGACGAAAGAAGTTACAGCTACTACATCGAGTCGTCCGTAAACATATGGGACTGGGAAATGGTCGTCGATAAAACCAGAGAGTCGTGCAAATCATGGCAAACGATACGCTTTTCGCCACGACCTGTTGTGTTCATACGAATTGTCGGAACACATAATACGGCGAACGAGGTGAGGCATCAATTATTTACTTCCGTCATTTGTTAACGAATTTATAGGTTTTCCACTGTGTCCATTTTGAATGTCCGTCTTGTGATAAAGAAGACTTAAATAAGTGGACTTCATCGTCAAAATCTTCCAGTGATCTAATAAATACTGTAAATTCCAATGACGCAATTCAACCGACAGAGACTGCAACTGAAGCAGAAGAACTAACTGTGGACAGTGGCGACAGTTCCGATTAAATTTGTTGGTTTTTGATACTTAATTTGTTTTTAAATTCCGATTACTCGTAGAAATTAAATTGTAAAGATTTGTTCCTTATAGTTTATAGTCGAGCATCTCATTTGGTAGGTCCCATTAGTGTTCACTGGCTGTACAGGGTGACTAATAAAAACGCACAGTAGATTTGATTAGATTCTAAAAGAGGGGTTGTTTTGTAATTTACTAGAAAATATTTTTATTAGTACCCGTACATGAAAAATCGAAAGCGTCTACAGATTTTTTGTCTGGTTTGAAGAATTGAAGGTTGTTTATTTTTGATCTGCTGTGTCTTTATAAATGCAAGTGCAAGTTTAAGGTAATTTAAAAGTCATAATATTATTTCACAAATCTGTAGATTACTAGTACATTAGAAAGTTCACCTCTAAATATACAAAATCAGACAATTAGGATTAGAAATAATAATTGACTTGATTTAAATTTTTATTTTGATGTGATTAAGCCTTACAATTATAAGTGCCAATTTCCATATGCTCTGACAGATTATTTTACATTAAATTCAAGTTTTGTGTACAATTCAGGGAGCAGCTCGTAAAATGGGATAACGTTAATGCAATAAAATTAACTCGTTTAAGAAATGTGAGAACCTTTGTGATAATTTGACAGTATTTTTTGTATTTTAAATGTTATGTTAGATGTAGCAATTTATATTATTGCAGGCAGATAATGAAATTATTAAGTTTTTTTAGATTTATTTGATACGTGTACCTACATATTATCTAGGAAATTTTGTTATAATTAAAAGCTAAATATATTTGTAGTTTATGGACATTATTTTAAGATATTGTAAAGGGTAAGATACTTTTGGAAGGGATCAATTATTTTTTCCCCAATAAACCAAGGTGCTTTGCTAGCAAAGGTCAACCACTCTCAAAACATGCTCAAATATTTTTATAATTTACAATAACTTGTGATCAAAGTCGAAAAACTCGCCTACCAAAACTGGAAGGAAATGCTTACACTCTCCACACAGGATTGAGAATGACGGTTGCTAGCTGTTACAATACGCATCAGCGCCCTCTGTGGTAGAGGTATTTTTTCTCGCCCGTACACAGGTAAAACCATGTCACTGGGAACAATAAAAGAAACAAGGCTAAAGCGATATCCCCTATCCCCAACATATAAATATTTAAATCCTCTCATATAAAGTGATCACTATGGTTAAGGCAGCACCCCATTGTTTTTATTTCAGAAAACAAATGAGTAACGAAAAAATTGAGTTTTTTTAAGACAGTGCATCTTCTCATTCATTTGATAGAGATTTTTTTCTCTTCCATGATATACCTAACATATTAGTATCCTTATTCAAGAATATTTTAATATAATTAAATCAATAACATTAATCCAGATATACTACATTATAAACTTTTGTCGTTCTGGTCTCTGGACTGTGTTACACAGTGTAAGGAAGGAACCACAACGAAAAAGCTTAAACTGGAGGACTAGTAGTGGTACAGACGGACAACAGCAGTCAGGGGCGGGCGTGGCGATTGCCACCTGGCCTGTAGATCATAATGGCCCGTTGGAAATTTATAAGTATGTGCTGTATTTAGTTTCTTGCACTATTAATAAATTATTAACACGTTTTTCTAATTGGGGTTGATGTTAGGTTGTTAAAAAATTCTGTTTTAATTGAAGTGTTTTACAATGAATTCATCATTTTTTGTCGTAGCATGAAAGTGCTGAAATACAATGATAGGCGACGCACCTCGTGTGGATTGTATATTTTGTTACTTTTAATTATCAGCTGCAATTTAAAAAAAAACTGTATGGTAATTGATTTTCGAGAAAGGGAGTACTTTAAAATGTTTTTGTGGTGCACCTCAGAGCTAACCCCCCCGCCACCTTCATTACTACACTAATACTTTAATGGCCCGTAACCTATGCAATTCCACCTGGCCCGTAAGTACCCCTGTGTATAACCTTCCTTTTTTACCAAAAATTGACTCGAGACTCTCGAGAAAACACTTTTTCTTATTAATTTGGGTGCGTAGAATCCAAATCAATTCGTACTTTTTCGATCAGACTTCTCAATCAAAAGTTATAGACTAGAAACCAATTTCGAAAAAAAAAATTCAAAGGGCTGTAACTTTTGAACTAGTAGCCCAATCTTGGAACTGTTTGAAATTATGGATTCTACAGGCCACATTCTATAAGAAAATTTTTTTCCCGGGTCGATCTGATACAATTTTTTTTTGGGGCTCAAAAAAGGCAGTGTATAACCAGGGGCGGACTGGCCCGGGGTGGGGCGGGTGGCGATTGTCACCTGGCCTGTAGATCATAATGGCCCGTTGGAAATTTGTAAGTATATGCTGTATTTAGTTTCTTGCACTAAAGAGCTCCCCCCCCCCCCCGCCACTTTCATTACTACACTAATACTTTAATGGCCCGTACCCTATGCAATTCCACCTGGCCCGTAAGTACCCAGTCCGCCCCTGATAGCAGTCATTTGCCTTTTGGAAAATGCTCTAAAAAAAGAAGAATCGCGATGGGACTCCTTATAAAACATAGTGCTTTTATTTCTAAGAGATAAAAATGAGCCAGTCATTTTACTGAAAGCGGTTTCCCTAGCAAGATACTGAGACACAGGGGACTATGCGAATATCACTGCAGCAGAGGTAAGCACAGTTTACGTTAATAACCAATTTGAAATCAGGCACTTTCCTCTCCTCACTGATAGAGAACATAAAAGGAAAATTTTCAAGGATTATTCAAAGCACTTCCCATGTAACCCAATTTGTGTCTCTTACCGCTTCTTGAATGCTCATAGCGGTCCTAGGTACCTGTTTGTATTTTTGACATAAAACATATCGAAAACGACTACTTAGACAAAGTTGCCTAAGGTTACCTCTAGGTGCATATAAACAAGTTGGCATCAACTTTCGGTAGGTATAGCCGAAAGTGCCACCAACATGAAAGAAACTAAATGAATTTCTCTTATCGGCATTATAGTGTACACTGTACCCAGGGCCGGACTGGGTGGGTAAGGGTCCCGGGCGCTCCATGACCAAAAGGCCCGCAAACTCATGGACCCCTCCCCCCCTCCCGAAAAAGAAGACAAGGGATTTGCAGATTTTTTAATTGTATTTCAAACAGCTTGCTGCTTAGGGGGGCCCCGCGGCGGAGGCTCCGCTTCGCGGTTCCACAAGGGCCCCGGCTGGCCTGGCGGCCTGGGCCAGTCCGGCTCTGGCTGTACCCTCAAATTTTGAAAATATTTCGAGATTCAGACAGCCTTTATTACTCGTGGGACACCCTGTATCACTACTTACTAATTATTACTAAATGGTGTTGTTACTCAATTTCCTAATTAAGTAATTAATTTTGAACTTGATTTCATGTTTGTGGTTGAAATACGATTTTGTGAGAATTTCATTTTTGAGTGCTGTACACATCTACGAAAAATTCGTGTGCAATGGAAGGCTTATTAATTCGTGGGGATTAAAATAGATCGCTTTAATTTATTCTATTCGAACATATTGCAAGACGCAAAAGCTATAAAAAGGTTGTATGCATTAATGTATCTGACAAGGACACGCCGGAGATTCCAAAAGAGAGAAGGAACTATAACCTGTTATATAAAACAAGGACTGGCGTGTGGTGAAAGCAAGATACGAAATAGGAGATTCCTATACATTTACCCACGCATTAGAGGGAGAAGCCCAATAAGAGGAAATTCCGCTATAATAAAGTGAGCACGACGTACAGTTCGGGCGATCCCAACATGTGCATGTGATGCCCGCCGCTTCTGCGAATTCGAATCATAGCAAGCCGTACATACGATTTATTAAAGAGTCTATATTTAGTCGCTGACAATATGCTATCGAAAACCACGTCCATCGATCATTCGTTAACTGAAAGTGAATGAGGAAAAGTCGGGTTTTAACAATCGTCGGTAAAATTTGGATTATATAACGTTAAAAGACAATCGGACCATATGGTGGTAAACAAAGACAAAAAATTATGTGAATAGCACTGCCTACTAAATTAGACTTTGAACTTACACAGTCAGTTGTTAAAAATAAGAGAAACCAACAACAGAAAGAGAAAGCATGACGCACGAAAATTGTAAGGTGAATCCAACACCAGACAAAGATGGTTGCTAAACAGGTTTGAAAGATTTCAAGGAATGAGGTGGAATAATAAATAACTATAGCGTAAAGTGAGAGGTGAATATGGTATTGACGCGTTAGAAAAGAACGGCCGAGTTGTACTGCAAGAAGCTGTAAGTGAACCACACTTTAGTCACTATGTTTGTTGGACTGAGACAGAATAAATAAACATGGCGCCGTGCTAGCCAGCATATCATATTTAGTGTACATTGTAAACGCAGTATCTTCTAGATTTATCTTAATTTCACAGTAGATAAGTGCGAATGTCGTATACAATGCTAAAATGGGTGATAGAAACCGATTTTAATTCAAGTGCCAAGTGTTAATTAGATTCCTATTTACGTTATCAGCGAAAATCCATGGTACATTTAAACGCGGCTCGAAAAGTACGAATTCCAATGCCAACTTTCCTGAAATGTAAACATTGGGAGAATCTGTAGATCGAGTGAGTATTGTTTTTATTCAATTTTTTCGTAAAATGCCCGCTAGCGAATTCTTGCCGTATGTACGTGAATTAAGAATTTTTTGCACGGTATTGTACTGTGGCGCCTTGTTGACTATCACTTTGGCGTCATAGGCTGTCTGTCTCCCGATCGTTTCGCTCCCCCCCGCGCCCCGCCTTCGCCGAGATTCTTTGCTCTACATGTCAAATACTTATGACGTCGCAATAGTCGAATGCCAATGAATTTTTTATTATTTCCAAGGAGGACATACATACATACTAATTGCAGTCAGCGTCGACCACAAGCAGGAAACAAACAGTCATTCATACAAGTATTATTTACGGTGTGGTCATTCTTAAATGCAAAATTGTTTGTTATGTATATCGTGGGTGCTGCCGTGCCGTGTTTTCATTTAAACGGGAGTTCCTGGAATGTTTCCTTTATTTCTGGGATAGGTACACTTAAAATCTTCATTCTTAAAATATCACGAGTGCGTATTTTTGTAAATAACATTGCGCGACCCCTGCCCGAATTTATCAATTCTTTGTGAGACAACATTTTTGGCGGGTAGCGGAATAATTTCGATACTGATTCATCGCATTTCTAGGAAAAGTATCAAGGTGATTACGTAGTATATTTAATTTAGTGTTAATTTGTTTTTTCCAATCGTACCTACCTACAACCTGCATTTGCATAATTTTTAACCATTAAATCCTGTACGTTAATCGTAAAAAATGCGATGATGTAATTGCGGCGCGCGTCCAGATTTTTTTGTGCCGAATTTTATTTCCCAACAGCAATTTGTCTTTATCGATTTTAATTTACTTTACACCTAAAGAGAAATCGCTGTGTCAAAAAGTTTAATTAAAATTGATTATCGCTTGCTGGTCGCTCGTCTCGGGCGGCCCACGTTGGAAAAGTCGCGTTTTCCGTATAGAAAATGCGGGTTTTCGATGCCACCGTTCCAAAGGTCTCCAAACAATTTTATTTATTCCCACAGTTAAAGCAGTGCGGATTGTTCATAAGGCACAGCAGGCTGTAACCTATGGGCCCGTAGGCGATATAGTAATAAAAGCATACGTCAGCTTCTTCGGGGCCTGAATATGATGACAATTTAGAAGAAAATTGCATTAGATTCAATTAACGAAATTTTTATACATCGTAGTTGGATTGTTTTGATAGCGGTACTACTTAATTAAGAAATTTGGAGGCAAAAATATTCCCTTACGTTTTTAATGTGTGGGCAACTTGTTTTCCTAATTATGAATTTTCTTGATTATGGAATGCAAGCGCTATTTGGACAGTACCCAGTACAAACATATCTTTAAGTATAAATCTTAAGTACCCAGCAAGTACTAAATAAGGTGCTGTCTGTTTATGCCCTGGTACAAATACTATGCGATCAAAAATGAGTTGCTGTCGAGTCACCTTTGGAATTTTTGTTTACATGAAAAATCGTACTTAACTTGAACTTCCAAAGGCGACTCGACAGCAACTCATTTTTGATCGCCCGTTATTCCGTGTTCCTACTGACCAGTACAGTCATACCCTAAAAGGTACCAAACGAGGTACCAAATAACTGATTGCGTACCTAAATATACAGGGTCCCGCAACAGTGCGTCGGTTTTTCCCGAAGTTTTTCCTAAACTCATATCTGGTAAAAAATATCAAAAAACCTATTGTGCAAAATGTCAACCATAGATGCTTGTGATACAGAGTGTTCATAAAAAATAATAAAGTTTCCAAATTTCAAAGTGTCATAAGTCATAACTATTTTTTTCACATGAAACTATCACTCTATTTTATTTCTCTATCCGATGGTTTATCTATTATGTGCGTGTCAATTTGTATAAAGCGTGTCCTGTAATTTTTAGTTATTCAATTCAGGAGTAGGCCGTGATAATAAAAAACCAAAAAAATGCCAGACGGTAAACAAGTGCCATAAATTTGCTGCAAGTGTACTCCTTATTTAAATAGTAAAATAGGATTCTTTAAAAAGACTAGTTTTCTTTCTCAAAATTCGGATTTTTAATTAATCTTATTTTACTACGAAACAATAGCAGCAAATCATAAATTTATGGCGCTTGTTTACCGTCTGGTATTCTTTGGTTTTTTATTATCACGGCCCACTCCTGTATATAAATATGTAATTAATCTCGTAATTAATTAATGTGTAACTATTTTTGTGAAAAATATTGAACATAAAAACTATGGGGTTTATTCACAGTACACTCTTTATACAAATTGAAGAGCACACCTCGGAGCACACAAAAGACTATTGAATTGAAAATGGTGGTAGAAATTTCATGGTATTCTAATGAAATATATATCGTAGCGAATATCTTGAAAACGAAGTCTGGACAATTACTTAGTATTGAAATAATATTTATGACAATTTTTGTTTATACATTTATAAAAAATAAACAATTCAAGTTGTAAGAGCAGTTATACCCAACATTTACTGATTTAATATTCTCGTAAAAATTTACTAAAAAGGAGAGACAAACCCTAAACCATCTCAACCCAATTCTATTTGCGCTATTATTATATTTATTGAAAATACAAATAAAACTACTAAAATAATAACGATTTAAATTTTTCTCTCCTCTATAGAAGAAATAACTACTTAATATGAATCTTGTAAATAATAAAGAAATCCAATCAAATAAAATTGTGTCAAAAACAGGTGATGAATTTAAACTTAATAATTCATATTCAATTATTATTAAATAATTCTGTTATTAAAAACTACAACTTAATAACAATTTTTTGACGACTCACTCTATACAGAAAATTTGTGCAAATTAAACCAACATTTTGGTTCTGCACGACTTCTATACAGAAAATTTGTGCAAATTAAACCAACATTTTGGTTCTGCACTTACGTAACGTTCGTTATTTTTGCATATTTTATTCACGTAACGATTTGAACTTATTTGAATACAAGGCAGGTGAATATTTAAACATTACTTTATGCAAAATTCACACCAGTGAACTTTGTTCTAGGTAGTGTCTCAGTTTCGTGAAAAAAGACATCATTGTCTACATAAAAATGAATCAAGCATAGTAGGCGATTTGAGTTGTTGGTCACACAATAATTTGATATGGGTATTTCCTTGGTCGTGCTTCATTGTCAACGTTTGGTTGTGCGTCATCCAATGTGAATTTTGTCAGTTCTCCAAGATACTATAATTTGCGAGATCATTCGCGTAGGTACACAAATAAAAAAAAGTTTTTACAACACAGAAAAGCTGTGCTGTGCTGTGCCAAAACTACTTTGATGCATAATTCGGACAATTTTATCCACATTTTGATGTACGGGATCTCAAATTGTGTTTATTAATTCGGTAAACCATAATTAAAGAGGGAAAAGGGACCTGCTCATCCATTCCATTCGCAACGCCTTTAAAGTCTCTCTAAGTGACTTTTACTTGGTCATCTTTTCATCTATGGATTCCAATCTGTAGAAATTCAGAATGGTTGATACGCCGATATTTATCGGTATCGGCCAAAAACCCCCTCACGACAATGAAAAAGAGTGTACAGGGGCGGACTGGGTACTTACGGGCCAGGTGGAATTGCATTGCACAAAAACATTTTTTTGCTTCATTTTAGTACTCCTTTTTCGGAAATCAATTACAGTTTTTTTTTTAATTGCAGCTGATAATTACAACTTTTGATTGAGACGTCCGATCGAAAAAGTACGATTTGTTTTAGATTCTACGCACCAAAATTAATAAGAAAAAGTGTTTTCCCTTTGGTGCAGTCGATTTTTGGTAAAAAAGGAAGGTTTATACACTGCCTTTTTTTGAGCCCGAAAAAAAAAATTGTCTCAGATCGACCCGGAAAAAAAATTTTCTTATAGAATGTGGCCTGTAGAATCCATAATTTGAAATTGGTTTCTAGTCAGGGGCGGGCCAGGTGGAATTGCATAGGTTACGGGCTATTAAAGTATTAGTGTAGTAATGAAGGTGGCGGGGGGGTAGCTCTGCGGTGCACCACAAAAACATTTTTTGCTTCATTTTAAAGTACTCCTTTTTCGGAAATCAATTACAATACAGGTTTTTTTTTAATTGCAGCTGATAATTCAAAACAACTGTGGCAACCAAGGGTAGAATCATTGAATGACAATATAGTGTTTTATTCAATAGTAGAATGTAGATTCTTTGGACCTGAGAGCGAACTTACACTATGACACATCCATGCGCAATAAATTTTGAGTTCTGCTATTTAGGTGCAATTATTCATCATTCCGATACACAGTTAACAATTATCTCTAGAACTCGATTTCCATTTAAATATTACTCAACGCGAACACTTTTCTTTTTTACTTCCTTTACACTGAACGTATGCGGTTTACGATTATAAACAATTCATTTAAACGTATTGCTTGCGGCCGAGTTTGTTACAAATGACCGATAAGTAATCAGTGGATGTGTAGTGTAACCTTTTTTGGTCTAATTTCTGGGAGATTTTCCACATTTCACCGCAAATCCAGAACAAAAATTTTGTTTGTTTCTGTGGCGAAAGTAAATCTTTCACTCGGTGTGTACTATAAGTAATAATAATATCGCCACAAGATAAATTCTTAATGGCTATTCTGAATTGATACTAAATGTTTAATGACATCATTTCATATGAATCACGCCAAAGGTTCTTAACACTTTGCGAGTCATAATCAATTTTGACTGAAATGGAAAAACGTAATTACCGCTACCTTGAAACGATAACAACATACCTACCAATTAGAATTTTTTTGTAATTATCTAGATTGGATAGTAATGCAGTTTTCTATGAAGTTGTAGAGAATTTTATGTAATAGGGAAATTATCGAATTTTCTGGTTTTACTTGATCATTTTGTGACTTACGTAAAGGTAACTTGCACGAGCTATTTTATAAACATCTAAAGTGCCATTCTATGCAAATTTTAGACATTTGTTACGCAAAGAAACTTTAGAAAGTATGAATCAGTAGAAAAACATTGCTTGCAATATCGAAATATTCCAGTGGGCAATTTCATGGCTACCCTATATATGTGCCATATTGATACAATTCATTTTTTTATTGAACGTAAAGATTAATTCAAAGATACATACATATATGTAAGTATTTATTAACAATGCTGTAAGTATTTGTAAAAATATAACAGACTTAATCGTGGTAGAAAATCACATCCGACCTTCTTAGAAGAACGAACACCTAATATTTATTTTGACATTCCTAGACAATCTACGCCGATTCGCAGAAAATACCCAGGACGTCGAATTCCGACAAGAAATTCGGCCTTGTGTTCCTCGAAGGTTGAGACTTTTTCTCGGCAACCAAGCGGAAAGATTACAAAATAAAGACACAAAACTTATTTGGTGTTCCTAAACCATAAATGTCGATACTAGGAATACACAGGATTAGAAGACCATCCAGAGTGAGGACAAATAGGGAAAGTCGATTTATTTCGCCACCACGTCGTATACCGGGGCATTTTTGGTCGATTTTGGCCTTTACCGATCACAAAAGCGAATAATCGCCAAGCTTCACGCAAATAAAATAGAAACATCTTGAAAACTGTAGCAGTTACGGCCTCGAACGGAAGGATTTGATTCGAAAACCAAAATATCTAAACAAATTACAACGAAACCCTTATTAAAGGACCAAAATCAACCTTTAGGATATTTTTGAAATGTACTTACCTGTACCTGCCAAGATTAAACGATCAACAATAAATTATCAAAAGTCCATTTTGTAAAATTTTGATAAAACGAAAACCAGAGGTCCAATGGTTTTTAATTAAAAATCATCCCTGACTACTTTTTCGTACAAACACCTATTTTTAGCGCATTTTTGAAAAAAATACGCTATTATATTCGTTATTGCTGGCAGGCCGGCTGTCCGCGTGAGATCTCCACAACTACAATAGCTAGAGACTCCAAATTTTCACTAAAAGCTTTCTGCTACAGTGTAGATGTGCAGGCACTAGTCTATTTTGAGTTAGTTTACTTGTGAGATCGATAATTGAAGAACATATTTTCGATATGGGTTTCGGAGGTGCTATAATTTTACCGTTAGATAGCGCTACCAGTATAAAAACTTATTATTTACTTTGTGATTTGTTTTACAAAATGAAGACGTACCGTCAATTGAAATTAAATAAAATTAATTATTTAACGCAGCCAAAATTACTCGTGAGATCGATAATTTTAAACTTCGCTAATAAAATACTGACCTGCATTACCAAAAATGCGCTTTAATCATGCATATGCTGATTTACAACTTGTTTTAATTTTTATATATATACATGTATATATATTTTCTTTTTTTATTAAACCTTGCATTTCTTCTTTCATTTTTTTGAAATCTGAGAATCTCTTGAAAAAGCTTTAGAAACATTGTTTGGATCGTAGAAACGTTTTGGAAATAATTTTAATTTTTCTACAAGAAATTGTAAGAAACAATTGTTTCGAAAACAATTGCATTTCTTAGAGATCTTCTTCAATCTTTGGGTTCTGATAAACATTAAGAATTTATTTAGAAACATTTTTTTGCAAGGACATTGAATATTTCTTAAGAATCTTCGAACTACCTTTAAAGATCGTGTCGGTCTGTGTGGAGCAGTGGCGTTAAGGGTCAAGGGTAATGAGTAATTTTTGATACATACCGAAAACTCAGTTTTTTTGTAGCTCAGAAAAGTGTGCCATTGTGATCAATAGAAAAACAGTGCGTGGCGTTGAGATAGACTCTCTGAATTTGGCAATAATTTGTGTATATAGGTCTCCTGCAGGCGATCATAATCGTTTTATTCAAACGATCAATAGACTGTTATTGTCAATAAATTGGAAGAAGAAATGGATGATAGTTGGAGATTTCAATGTTAAGTTTGGAACGACTGAAACTGAAACGACTCATTTAACTGATCTGCTATCGTCATTTGATTTTGATCAAATGATCTTCGATAGTACAAGGAAGCAGAATTGTATCGACAACATTTTTGTTAATTTCAAGGTAAACCTTGAACATGTTTCTGTAATAGATCATATACTCTCCGATCATAAAGGACAGGAGATAAAATTGCGGCTAGGTTCAGATGTTACAAATAAAGAAAAAATTTACGCCAAATGTAGACCCTTTACCCAAAAGGGAAAATTTTTGTTGTACCAATGTTTGAGCAACACAAACTGGAACTTTTTAAAAGATTCTAGTAGTCCCAGCGAGGTTAGGTTTAATATATTTTTTTAATATAATTCTACAAGAATTTGATAATTGTTTACCAGTCAAGCGTAAACATTTTAATAAAAATCAAAAATCAATTTCCTGGTTTAACCAGCATTTAAGTAGGATGAGGGAAAAACTCTCATTGATAAATGATGTTTATAACGCATACAATACCAGTCCCCTACGTACACTTAGGAATAATTTTAGACAAACATATCGTACTGAACTAAGGAAAGCGAAAATGTGTGCAAACAAATCATTTATCAACAATGCCAAAAATTCTAGTAATGCCATGTGGTCGATTATCGATTCTTCTAGAAACACTAATCGTCAGGAAAGTCCTAACACCTGAAGAGTTTAATACATATTTTAAAGAAATTCCAGCGAAAATCACCAAAAGAATTAATTCTACTTCTTCTGCAACATTAAGCACGGGCTCATTTAGTCGGATTAATAATCCGGCTCCCCACTTAAAATTTTTTTTGCACGAAGTAAGCATCATTGAGGTAAGAGACGCCATTACGTCTTTATCTAATAGTAAATGTCGAGACATATGATCTTTCTGCAGAAATTGTAAAATGTCTAAGGGATTTAATTGTATTACCACTAACAGTGTTAATTAATGAGTGTTTTAGGGAAGGGACGTTCCCAAAGGCATTGAAACGGTCTAAATTTTACCTTTGTTTAAAAAGGGCGACAAAGAGGATGTTTCAAATTATAGGCCGATATTAATACTTCCCATTTTTTCAAAAATTTTTGAAAAGATCTTAAAAAATCGCATACTGAATTTTTTTGAGGTCAATAATATTTTTAATAATGCAGAATACGGTTTTAGATCAAAAAAGTCAACGACGGACGCCCTTGTAGATCTATCTAGTACAATCTTAAATACATTTAATGAAAATAATTATACAACAGCAACTTTTCTAGATTTAAGCAAAGCTTTTGATTGTGTAAATCATCAGATCTTGTTAAATAAGTTGAAAGCATATAATTTTGATGAAATTTCCATTAAACTCATGCAATCATATCTCGAAGAACGTTCTCAAACTGTTAGATATAACGGTTTATTCTCAAAAGAAATATGTGTACAGTCTGGTGTTCCACAAGGTTCCATTTTAGGGCCTGTGCTTTTCTTAATTTATATAAATGACTTGCCTTCTACAGTTAATGGTCATTTCATATTATATGCCGATGACACTACAATACTAAGCTCTGGTTCTGGTCTAGAAATCACAAATATAAGAAGTATAGATCTTCAAGGGCAGTCCAAGTCTTGGTTCCACTTGAACAAGTTGTCTCTAAATGAAGACAAAACAGAAGTTTTAACTTTTACGATGAGAAGGGACAGTGATGTAATTAACCAAAAGCCAGTGAAATTTCTAGGCGTCTATCTGGACTATTGGCTAACCTAGACTATCAATCTGATTGCAGGCAAGCCTTCACAGATTTGAAAATATTAACCTTACCCTCACTTTACATATATACCTGTATGATTTATATGAAAAGTAATTGCCAAAAATTTAAATGCCACTCGGACTTTCACAATTACGATACGCGAAATATGCATAATTACGTACCTACTTATTTACGTCTTAAAAAAAGTCAGTACGACCCTAATTTTTTAGCCATAAAATTTTTTAATATGTTGCCCACCGCTCTCAAACATTGCAATGAAATGGAGTTTAAATCTAAAATTAAATCATATCTAATAAAAAAAGGCTTTCTATTCACTAGAAGAATTTTTGACGAATAAATGTAGTGATATAATGGAATAGTTTGTATAATTATTATGTTTGTTTGTAATTTATTATATTCGATATTCGATTGTCTCTTACATTGCATACTTAAAATGACTTGTGTAGACACCATGTGTAAAACATCAATAAATATTATTATTATTATAAAAATGATGCATACGTGACCTATATCGATTAAGGGTTTCAGTAAGGTTTCGGGAATTTACAGCTTGCACAATATCGTACTGAAAATTGCCCAAATCGGTATTTAGATACAACTTAGTGGGGCTTAATTCAAGTGCAATATGCACCAAACCCTGTCACTCACAAGTGGTACCTAATTAAATGATACATAGTTGTATCTGAGGGTACTTTCCAGAATAAAAAGTTGAGTGTTCGAGTGCACACTCGAATATTTGGAAAACCCTTCGGATAGAATTATAAATAGTTTTGGTAGTCACAGGGAATACTTGACTTGACATTTTTCAAAGTTGACTCTCAAAAAACACTATTTTTGGCAAATACTGAATATGATATGTTTACCTATGTGTTATGGTAGGTTTATAAAATCATTATTAATCAGATTAAGGGAATAGAAACAAAAGTTTGTTGTGCATCCAACGAAACCATACATTTCTTTCTATTGGCTATTTTTAAATGATGTACTAATGATACTGATTGTATAAACCCACCATAAGACATTTCAGCACTGATTCACATTTATTTTTAGTAAGTTTGTTTCAGTTGACTTTTTACATGAAATAGGTACACAATGTAGGTACTACCTACTATAGATTAAAAGCTTATTTTTTTTCAATATTAAAAGCTACCATCACGTTTGCATAAACAACTGGTACTTAAAGTGCTGATCAGGAAATAAGTGCTACTAAATATAATACCATTATCTACAAATCCAGATTAGTGCTATTAAGTAAATCAGTTTCACGTCATTTCAACCTTTTAGCCCAAACGTATTATGCTTCTCATATCTTCACTCTAAAGTTCAATGTTTGTTGACATATTTTTTTATTCACAGAGATAAACTTTTTCAATTCAGTTTATCCTAATCTCCAGTATTTCTATAAAATCGCCCCGCCAATTTTATACGATAGTATATGTTATCGTAAAACGTCAGGGATTAATAAAAGAACACACTCTCGCAATTGAATCCAATATTGTCTCGTTAATTGTATACAAAAAAATGCGCAATAAGGAAGGGAAAATGCAGTCAGCGTTTTGCATTGACGATCGATCGGGTGAGATATGTTTTGAGTAATCGTAATCAGTTAATAGGAAACATTATCTTGTAGTTATCGTTTTTCAGTACCATGCAGCTGACTAATAGTAGAAAATCACTTGTGTACGTAATCACTGATTGTGCCATGCTTCCATTCTAAGTAAATGTTATTTGTTTTCTAATTTTTCGTTTTGTACTTAATTGTGTTCTTTGTTTGTAGATTCGCTCGATGATGGAAACAAGCACGGACAGATACTTGCATAAGAAGTTCAAAAAACAACTGAATTTGGAGGGAAGCAGCTTCTATCAGAATGAGGAAAGGACAAATGCGCTAATTGTACCAAATCTGCAGACCGGCAGTGTGGTTGCTAACGAGGCAGCGATTCCTGGGGTATTGTCACAGAATGCTGACAATGTTTCGGTTATAACTAGTAACAATGTTGTGCCAAATTTTAGTACAAATAATGAAAGTGTTAAGAGTAACGCATCGTGTAATGTGAAGTCTTCCATATCACATTTTAATGTAGGAGAAAGACGAGAAGCCATAACTACTGAAGTAGATCCACAATCTTCGAACACTTGCATATCATATGTAATTTCAAAACATAGTAGATTAGACAACAGAAATCAACCAGAAATCCACTTTAGAACTGCTAATTTTGATACAAGATTTAACAATTCAGAACCAATAGGTATCTCGACAGTCGGTACGTCTTCCATTTTAGACAATGTTTATACAGAACAATACGTAACTTCCAAATTGGTACATGTAGATAAAATAGAGGACATATCCTCCAACTTTAGCATAGTTAATAATGACCATATATCGCATTCTGAGAGCACACTAGATAGTAGAACGTTAGAATCCAACTATTCGACCGAGTTCGGTTCGGCGGAAAAAGGTAGCGGAGGCAAGTACATTTGTTCCTACTGCAACTTGGCGTGTTCGAAGCCTAGCGTCCTGCAGAAGCACATTCGGGCGCACACAAACGAAAGGCCCTACCCGTGCGTCAGTTGCGGTTTCAGTTTCAAGACGAGGTCCAATCTCTACAAGCATTGTCGTTCTCGAACGCACGCCAACCGAGTGATGGGCAACAAAGCGAATAACGAACTCGAGGCGGACAGTTCGAGTAAGATGGCGGAGATTTTAAACGAGGACAGTAATAATTCGCAATCGCGCGACGACATGCCGGAAGACGCGAGCGTTGGCAACGAAAGACTGGGCCAAAATCTCAAGAACAAACCGTACAAGCCGAGATTTCACAATTCTCGGGTTTTTTTCGATGTCGACGATCAGGACCCCGTGCAGAAACCGTCGAATTCCGATCTATTATCCTTGCACATCAATGAAGTGATCAGTAAAAATAACGCGATTGTGAATACCAACGAACCGTATTTACTCAGAAAACGTTCTATGGATAATAGTCTTCTGGAGGGTGCTACGAATAATGGATCGATACATCGGTACAACGAAGTCGGTAGTCCGCGCCAGCAGGTGGAAGAACGCAGCGTGGAGGAGCCCCTAAATTTGACGCATAAAATTCGAAAACGGTGCGTGAGCGAGGTGATCGAGCCTACCATACATAAAAGCTTAATCAAGGAGTTGTTGCTGAAAAATCTCTACGCCGATTCCATGCAATGTCCCCACTGCAAAATGATCTTTCAAACCGTTACCGAGCTGGAACTGCACAAAATGCGAAGCTGTAAGGGCCTCACCAAGGTCGGGCCGAGATATAACCGAAGCAGCTCGGTAAACGTGGCCTCGATTTTGACAAAGAACAAAAACGCGTTCGACTCCATGCCGTACTACCCCAGCACCACGTTTCCGCTAAAATCGCCCGGGCCGTTTTTGGGCAACACTCGTCTGGTGGAGAGCGACAAAAGTAAATCGTTCTCGTTCGACGACAGCTTCGCCAAATTTCAAAGTACACAAGCGAATATTTTAAAGTCGCCGCTACGCTATTCGCTATCGCCGCTGTGTTTCGAGGGCGATCGCGCGAAAAAGGCGCCCGTTAAACTATTCGGGGGGGAGGTGAAAATCACGCCGACCTCCGGAACGAAAAGCTTTAAAATCGACAGCAAGGACAACGAAAGGTATCACGATCGCTTTTTGGATCACGACGAAAGACTGAGTGAAAATCGTGTCGTCAAATCGAGTTTGCAGTCGGGCGGAACCGTGCTGCAGAACAAGGCGAGTTTTAACAACAAGCAGGAGTCGTTGCGATCACCCACGGACGTTATTCGAATGTACGACACCTCAGAATTCGACAAAGCCAAATTTAATTACGGCTCACAGTCGACTCGCGAAGTATCGAATTTATCGAGACCGTTGTCGGCGGGGAGCGGTGACGGGGGTACCTCGTACAAATACACGAATATTATGGATTTTAGTCAGAAGGCTGTCAAGTTACTAGCGCCGAATTTGAAGCAACCCAACCTTCGAATTCCCGGCGTCCCCGTTCCGGTACCTCCCAAAATTATTATTCCCCACTCCCCACTGGTTCCCGTAGATATGAATAACCTCGAAATGCCCAAATTGTCGGCGGAGAGCAGCCCTCTTGTCCCGAAAGCACCCCAATTGTCTCACAAGCAAATTCGTTTACTAAAAACCGATTCCAAGGAGCAACCGGTTTTACCGGCGGCGGTTTGCAATCCTGTTAATTTATTGGTTAACGGAAAAGTGGTCCGGTACGTTCCCGGCATGCCCGGACCGGTGGCGGCCGAATCGCCAGTGGCGTACGCCTCTAACACGCTTCGTTCGCCCGCATCTCTCAAGTCACCCAGTCCGTTGGACACGCGGCCTTCTGATAACCTCATCGGCGCGGACTCGGATAGGAACACCCCGAAATATCCGGACAACCGAATTACGGTCGTCAAGTCGCCTCTCGCGAGGACCAAATCGCCGAACCGCTCGTCGCCGTCGTCAATAAGCGAAACTCCGAAGAGGTTCGCGAGGCCGAACACGTTGGCGCTCAAACCGAGCATTTCCGCGCAGAAGCAGCATCACGGCCTCACGCCGACCATGTTCAATCAGATACTGATCAGTCCGGATACGCCTCGCATCGCTAAGAAGTACATGCAGCATTTTCTACACGGCAACTACTTCAGTTATCTGGGTCTGAAAAGTAGCACAAAGTCGGTGTACTGTACGCTGAATAAAACGCAGCCGTTTTACGTGCCGCATTTTAAAAAGTTGAGCATGTATTCGGAATGGAGGCAGCAGGATATCAAGGGGGATAAGCTGTACGTTAGTGCGTACGACTCTCGACAACGACAGCCGAGATATGTAACGGCGGGCAAGGCTAGCGCGGATTTGGTTGTGCATTCCAGTTATAAGGTAAGCGCACTGTAAAATGAGTGTAAACACAGAATAGGAGGGTTACCCGGGTCTTGAAATTTGTTTTAGATGCACTTTCTCCCCCCAATTTTTTTTCTTATTGACAATTGAGTACTCATCTAGTTACCTTTATTGAGTCACAGTTGAGTCAGATTTCGACAAGTGACAGTCGACCTTTTACCAGAAAGCCTAGAATCAGAAGTTGATCTAAGCATTCCAGCTTGCTCATGTTGATAAAACTCCTTTTATCACGTTTGATGAGTAACCGTCGAGTATACTTTCGCTAATACTCTCCTCCATAATAGTACAAGATTCTTTGCTCATCTTATTTACCGAGTGAAATTTAATTTTTAACAATCTAGTCGGGGAGACATTTCTGAAAAAGGCTCTCTAAATCATGTCTAACGGCATTTTGTGCTACAAACTGGCAACAGGCGGTTCTAGAGTAATTTGCCCCCGTTGAAAATGATGCGCCCTGTTGCCAGACCCGATTTTGACATTTAAGCCCTTAAATCCAAGATGGCGGCCAAAATTGCCGTTTTTTTGGTTATTTCGAGCCCACAAGGCAGCCACTGAACGTTTTGGGTAGTTTAAGGGTAGAATAACATCTAGTACACACGACCACACCGTTTAGGCACATTTTCGTATTCATATTAAGGGCGTAAATGCCTACACTCCGCTTACAAACGTCAAAAATGCAAAAATGCATCATTTTTTTTCTTTCTGACCGGTTGTCGGCGTCCTCATATGGTCAAGTTAACATTTATGTATGTGGGGACAACCAGCAGCGCCATATGCCTGGAGCCTAATTATCAAGATGGCGCCTGGAAAGTCCAAAAACAGCCAAAAAGTCGTTCTTTTTGCCGTATTTTTACTACACTGGCCACTCTTTACGTTCGCTGTTCATTTTGGTGTTCTGGACCATTTTTATGAGTAATTGCAATTGCCACCCCGGACGTAATACACCCCCACGAGGGGGGGGGGATGATCATCTCTAACCGAACGCTACAAAACCCATTTAAAAAACCCACAGGGTTTTTGTGTCAAAAACCCACCCAACGACCTATACAAAAACCCAACACAAAAACCCATACAAAAGCCCAAAGGGTTTGAGACACAAAAGGAGACAAAATCGAGATAATTTTTATATAGTATTTAATAACAAAATATAATGTAGTTTACTAGGAAACAGACAGGTACTGATAGATCAGTCTTTATATTCTTATTCCTAGTTTAAAAAAAAATTTACTTTAAAATATAAAATACAAAACGGCTTATTCATTAGGAACAAAATAAAATAAAAATAATAAATTTTTCTCTTTTTTAAAGTGGCTCATTTTTATTATTTTTACAAGTTTTTCTACGTTATCGGGCAGTAACTTATTCCGAAGATCAGTCCACAGTTCCGGAAATTCGACAAATACCCAAAAATTACCCAAATACCCAAGAAAAACACAAATACCCAAAACCCCACCCAAAGCATACAAAAACCCCGATTTTTGCCAACCTTGTACAAAAGAGCTCGAAGCGCGCCTTTTGAAAGGACCCAAAATAAGTCCGAGGAACTGACTGTATAATTTACTGGATTTATTACTTGTGTCTTAATATATTAAATGTGTAATAATTAAAATTACTATTGTAGACATTTTTAGTATGTATTTTAAAAAATTATAATTCATGGGGTGTCAGCAAAACACTCAACCTAAACGGGGGTCGCAGTGTCTAAAAGGTTGAGAACCACTGTTGTAGAGAATTGAATTCGTTATAATTTACGTCTTGAATCTTTGTTTCTATGACTGATGGTTAAGGAGATATGAATTTTTTAAAAAATCGCTTTTTTTGAAAATTTGTCAAACCTCTAACTTTAGAACGTTGTAATTGTTGTATCCAAAATTATAAACAGTTCGCCACCAATCTACATACTTTAAATTTGTGGCCAGTGGCGTACTTCTGCATGGTCAAGGGGGCCCAAGTTTGTTTAATGACAACCGCTAGTTTTCATAACATATTCTTATAGAGTAAGTACACTTTTTTGGATATAGCAGCATAAAAAACTTATAAATATTACATAATCAACTTTAAGAGAAAAACTCAAATTAAGGAAAATATTTGTGTTAATTAATTTTATAATCTTATCAGTTTGCGTTGGAAAAAAATTGTATTCTTTTGTTAGCTATGTGAAAACAATTTATTGTAGTAAAAAATCATGAAAAAAAATTTAAATAAATGTACATGGTTAAAAATTATTCATAGTGCCGGGCGAGGGTCACTTTTTTGAAATAAAAGGGGCTCTCTTTCTTAATATGACAATATGAAAAACATGACCAAACTAGAGAAATTAATTATTAAACTATTCTCTTAAATTTGTTTAAGTAATATAATAAGTTTTTTATGCTGCTATACCCAAAAAAGGGCACTCTCTAAGAATATGCAATAAAAAATAATGGTTGCTATTTAAAAAAAATATGCCCCCTTTGACCATGCATAAGTACGCCACTGATCATAAATTTAAAGCACGTAGATTGATAGCAAGTAGTATTCATTCTTTTACACTATGGTTTCTTGGTTGGAAATGGTGCTTCCCCATCTCTCCGCTTAAATGTATCACATTTATACGGGATGGCTCATAAAAAATAAAACGATTTTCGGGGGTGGTCAATCTTCAAAATCGTACATTTAAAAAAATACAACATTCAGTTCAAGGAATTATCTCATTGCCATTAACATTTTAAGTGGTACATCATTGGAAAGGCTTCTCTCAAATTCTGTCTTTATTTACCATATTTGTGATAGGTCAGCGGTTACTTAATTGAAAGAGCATGTGCAATTCCATTAATTAATTGGCATATTGTGAATACCCACTCTGTAATTATACACAGTTAGTAGGTAGATTTTTTGGTACCAATTACTTTCTCCTCCTTTGAAATTGAAAAAATTGAATTATAATTACATAATTATACGAATTTGCAGTTCATAAATGACTCTGGAGGGAAACAAGACGAACAAAACAAGTCCACATCAATATTAGGAGGATACGAATCAAATGAAGACTATACCTACGTGCGCGGAAGAGGTACGTTGTTTTTATTCCTAAATGAGTATGATATTTTACTGACGACGTTTGCAGGAAGGGGCCGATACGTCTGTGATCAATGCGGAATTCGATGCAAGAAACCGTCGATGTTAAAGAAGCATATTAAAACGCACACCAACGACCGACCGTATACGTGCAGCCATTGTAATTTTAGGTAGGTGGCCTGTTTCTTATTCGCGGGATTGAAGAGAACGTTATTTACAGCTTTAAAACTAAGGGGAATTTAACCAAGCATATGAAGAGTAAGGCGCATACGAAAAATTATACGGCAAGCAGTAGTTCTAATTCTTCGGCTCATCAAAGTGGTACGCAAAGTTCGGATTCGGATACTGAGGATAGTGGCATGGACAGTAGTGGTAAGTTCCAAATTATTGACTTTAAGTCAAAGAAAAAGTAATGTTGAATAAATTAAAATGTTCGAATGCCCTGGCACCCATCGTAGTGTGATGTGGTTGCCAGTTGCCATTTTCTTTAGATTGCAGATGCACTCCCAGATTAGTTCGGAATCGCAGGTACCCAGTGCTACAGTGCAGCTTGACTGTCTGAGGATATCTATTTTTACCCCCTTCTTACCTATCTCTAGGTTTATCAGGGCACAGAGGTTTATGGCATAGACCTCTGCTTGAAAGAGAGTGGCTTTTTGTACCAGAGATACCGAGATTTAATAGTTTGGGCTACTGACCGTTATCTCTGTTTTACCGCTTTTTTGTTCTCATGTATCTTTTGTATATGCTGCAGCTGTTTTTGTGCAGTTGTTTGATCAACTTTTGGTCACCATGTGACCATGGGTCTGATGATAGTTTTACAGGACCATTGGGTCATTTTAGGCGTTAACCCCCAGTAGCGTTCTAGGGGCCTGGGATGCCAGGGTCGCCTTTTTTATCACCTTACCCGTATTTTAAGAAATGTTAAAAAAACTCAAAAAGTGACTGAAATTTATGAAATCATAAATAGGTGTAAAACAAAAATTGAAAATAGTGATTTTCACACATAAAGACGTAGAATTGCACGAGATATTTAGCAATAATTGTCAATAAAATTTTAGTAAAAACCATTTGGAATTGAAATTAATCTCCTCCCCTTATCTATACCCGCCCATCACACTTACTTTGGCCAATTAGTAGGTACACTAATAATTACATATGTGTATATAAACATTAGATCCTATCCAGACCATTGAATTTATAACTATCAGAAGCGCGGATCCCATATAACAGTTTGTGACCATATTCGACCTTTCAGCCGCTAGGGGAAGGTCGATCCGTGGGCGGTCGAAAGTGGAGCGTTACATTGAAACTGTAATTGTTGTCCCTAGATTCCCAGACATTAGATAGCAGCATTACAAACCATTTATTTTGACCATTCCTTTTTAATGGTTAGATGTCAGGAACTCGGGATTTTTTTTGTGTTATCATTTTTATTTTATAAATAGGATTGGAATGTTCTAAAAATAGATCCCTTAAGAAGCGTTGCGTAAATTTGCAATGTAAATAATAATACATTTACCTTGAAGGGATGCAATCAGGGGCGGACTGGGTACTTACGGGACAGGTGGAATTGCATAGGTTACGGGCCATTGCAGCTGATAATTAAAACTTTTGATTGAGACGTCCGATCGAAAAAGTACGATTTGTTTTGGATTCTACGCACCAAAATTAATAAGAAAAAGTGTTTTCCCGAGAAATTTTGGTGCAGTCGATTTTTGGTAAAAAAGGAAGGTTATAACTGCCTTTTTTTGAGGCCCGAAAAAAAATTGTCTCAGATCGACCCGAAAAAAAAATTTCTTAAAGAATGTGGCCTGTAGAATCCATAATTTCAAACAGTTCCAAGATTGGGCTTCTAGTTCAAAAGTTGCAGCCCTTTGAATTTTCTTTCGAAATTGGTTTCTAGTCCATAACTTTTGATTGAGAAGTCCGATCGAAAAAGTACGAATTGTTTTAGATTCTACGCACCAAAATTAATAAAAAAAAGTGTTTTCCCGAGAAATTTTGGTGCAGTCGATTTTTGGTAAAAAAGGAAGGTTATAACACTGCCTTTTTTTGAGCTCCGAAAAAAAAATTCTCAGATCGACCCGAAGAAAAAAATTTCTTAAAGAATGTGGCCTGTAGAATCCATAATTTCAAACAGTTCCAAGATTGGGCCACTAGTTCAAAAGTTACAGCTCTTTGAATTTTCTTTCGAAATTGGTTTCTAGTCAGGGGCGGGCCAGGTGGAATTGCATAGGTTACGGGCCATTAAAGTATTAGTGTAGTAATAAAGGTGGCGGGGAAAATTTTCGATAAATTATCCATTAGTCGACCATTTTTTTTAAAATTTATTGACTGACTATCTATTAATCGATAATAATCGATAAGTTATCGATTAATCGATTAACCATTGAGAACAAATTTCAAACGTCAGAATTTAAAAGAAAAGAGGCAACGCGTTAACGACCTTTTTATTTGGTATCAAAATTGCCAGGTGTGACGTGTCATCCTAGGTCAGGGGTCGGCAACCTGCGGCTCTTTTGATATAAAGTTGCGACTCTCCGTATTTATCTAAATAAATTAGTTCATTTGTTCGAAATTCGCCTTTTTAATTAATCTTATTTGTTTACGAAATCAAAAGTACACTTGCAGCAAATAATTATCTAATTTTTGACAACTTGTTTACTTTCTGATATTCTTTTGTTTTTTTTTTATTATAGCCAGCCCGGAACATTCCAAACCGGCGATTACAAACCGGCATCTGCCAAACCGGCAATGCACGAACCGGCGCCGCACCAAGTCGGCGACATGCCCAGCTGGCGCTCGGTCACGTAAAAATAAAATAAAAATAAAAAATAAAACACGTAATTAATTAATGAGTAGGTACTTTTGTGAAAAATATTGAATAACATAAAAACTGCGGGGTTTAAGCACAGGGCACCCCTTATAAACATTGAAGAGAACACAAAAGACAATCGAATAGCGAAATAAAATTGTGGTAGTTCCATTTGAAAAAGAATAGTTATAGCACTTTGAACAAATGGCATTGAAACAAGTAAAAATATGCAGGATGTTCTATTTAAAAAGAGCAGTTATTAATTGACATCGTAAAAATGGAACACCGTGTACCTACATTCAAAAATAATTTCTGTACATCCGCAACCACCAATATTTTTTACCAGGTATCAGCTATGTAGGAAAAACCGACGCACTGTTGCAGGACCCTGTATATAGCCAAAAACTATAATATTGAATCAAAAATTTTTTGTGGCTCTTTAAAAATTGGGAAATTTTGTAAATTGTAATTTTTGGCTGTTCCGTTTCAATAGGTTGCCGACCCCTGTCCTAGGTAGTTTAACCGAAACACACAAAAATTAAGAATAGATAGATAGGTACATTTAATTTTGTTACAGGATGCCTACGTATTTTTTGCTTTCCTGTTCAAATGTAATTCAATCTTCCTTAAGGAATGTTAAGTAGGTCACGATTCATGAAAGGAAGAATGTTTATCAACATCCACATAAATGCCTTATAAATACGTTTCTTGAGTATCTAGAATTCTGTATGCAACAATTACAAATCGAGATAGTGGGTTCATTACAGATTCCTGTATAATAATTAACAAAGGTAAAAAACTGTCATTATTATTCATCTTTCTTGATGGTAGAGACATCTACGTCATGCAATTAAACTATTGAAAACAGTCACATATCCTGCCTTTTAACCCGTGCTTCTGATAGTTATAAATTCAATGGCCAGACCTATGGAATATAGTATATATCTCTGTAAATAACGACTGTATTTTTCTATATAAAAGTTGTTTAATATATAATTTCCCATAGTAAGGCACCATTCAGTTGTTTTTATTTCAAAAAACATATGAGTAACGAAAAACAATTGAATTTTTTTAAATAGCAATGTACCCTTTATTAGGCTCATTTGATAAAGATCTTTTTTCTCTTTTCAATGATGGAACACCTTTATACGAGAAATTAAACCACATACAAGATGGGTACTTCCTACTGGGTACATTATGCACATATTTTTTAAATTTTACTTATTCACAAAAACCACAACAAGTCTAAAGAAGTCTCCAGGATTTAAATTGAAAATCACATCACTGTTGATAAGAATAAAAAACAGAAACAAATGAATTTTTATGTGCATTTTCAATGGACTTAATTGTAAAGTTGGTTTGTGCTTTTGTTACAGACGAATCTACAAGGCAGCAGGAGCACGAAGCAGCATATGGCTTACTATCTCTGTCGCAAAAAGCTCCTCAAAACGCGTCATCGAATTCTGAACCCGATATAAATTCGTTAAACATTAATCCCGTAGAAAACTCGTCCAGTTTCATGAACGCCGAACAGATAACTCAAGTGAACAATAAAAACTTTGCCAAAAATAAAATCCTCGATCGGCACGTTTCCCTAAACTTCAGTGCATCTAAAATTACGCCCGAAGTTATCGCCACAAACGATAGATCGTCTAAGGATACTCAAAGTTTTCACACGTTCTTCGGTACAAATAGGCCCTTAACATATCCGTACACATCAGAAATGGTAGACGAAAGTTTATCGAGTCAAAATGCGGCGTCAATTTTTAGTCCGGTTGTCGATTCGTCGAGCAACTTATCCGAACCGAGAAAGGAGTTGCAAAATACGTCCGCGTTTAGCATTGTACAAAAACATAACGTTCACTACTCGCCTCCCGAAGATGGTTCGGGACGGACGACTGAAAGTAAAAGTGTTACGATTCCTATTACGATTAGTTACGATTCTAGTTATTTAAATCAGTATAAATCTCACGATGTTGTTCCTATAATTTCAAATCATCAGAGGCCGATTCCTTCAGTTAAAGTCAACGATAGAATTACTACTTCCTACGAAAGTGTTCCTGCGGATGTCAGAAAACGTAAGGTGCAAGAGGTTCAAGTTTCGAACAGCGTAAAGGTCATTAAAATTAATTCCGAATCCGAAGCTATGGATTTATCGATGCCATCATTAGTGGAGAAGTCCCCTGCCGGTACTTTGAACGTTAACGGTATTTTGTGCAATAAAGATATTAATCATTACACGGTGATCGAAACGAACAATAAAGTGAAAGTGGCGGAAACCGCAGGGGCGGTCAGAAAACCAGAGTACAAAAACGAAGGTGCAAACTACAGTAACGATAGGATACAAATGCCATATGAAAAGAATGACGAAAATTCTATGCATAATTGTGATAGTAGCGAGGAATTATCGTACAGCGAAGAGAGCGATAACGCGATTAATCTAAAAATGTCACCGAAAAACAAGGCGGACGACTCGATCAACGTTAACTACGTCATACAAGAGAACAGCACCTCGGTTATTACGGCGTATACGGACTTACCGAACAGTTACACGCCTATGGACTACGATAATAGTGCCATGGAAACCTTGGCGGACGTCGCTACGAAACAAGTTAAGCTCGAGAAGAACACGCTGGCAAAGAGCGTGGCGTCCGAATACCTGAAGTTAGCGACGAAGAACGAGTTTCAAAGTATGGAAGGCGCGACGGAGTCGAATAAGGAGGTGACGGAGTTGATGGTCAAGCCGGAGGAGAACAAAAATTGTACCATTTGTTCGAAAAGTTTCAGCAAACCATCACAGTTGAGGTAAGTTATTAGTATTAAATATGGCGGTTAAAAAAAACAACAAACGCTAATAAAACGAAAGGGTTTAGGCAGAAAAGTTGTCATCATCACCTAAAGAGAAAGTTTACATGCTCCTCCTATTCCCTACAAAGCAACCAGCTTTACAGCGTCTGCAGCCAGTTTATCGGCTTTTTTTAGACACTACAACACATTTTCAGGCGGCATCCTTTAAACAAAAAAAACCATCATCCAGATCAGTTTGATTTTGCCCCTCTCGGAGATGTAGTGGATAAATAAAAATTGTATTTCGTCCTTCATTTTTCTAAAATGGCTCTGCTGGCTTGTGGGACCTGAATTATTATTCAGAAATAAAAGTGAGATCTATCCCCTACGAAGGAAAAAATGAAAAGCTTCCTAGCTCAAACCAAAAATCGCGCTTTTGGAAGAGTGTAGTGTTAAATGGTACGTGTTTGAGGAAAAAAGTTTATTTTCCGCCCTACACTTGAGTATAGCATCATTAAATAGGTCCCTCCATATGAAGAATATTTTATATAAATCATTTTATGATATCCCTGCTAGTTTCCCCAATAATCGACAGTCTCAAGATAAATGGGACGCCCTGTATATAAATTAATTAGGTGACAAGATTTCGAAAGTGGTAGTCGCAAAGTTTACCGCAACTCGCTAAAGAAATGACTGCTACACTTCAATTCGTCTCGGTTGTGCAGTTGCAGAACCCCATTAAATCAACCCCTGGAACTGATATCTTTTCTAAGCAAAAATACTTGCTTCAAAAGTATCATATTATAAACCCGCTCTTTATTATAATTCTGTTTCGAATTTCATGTCAAAAACGAAATTTACCCTTTATGAAATTAATAATTTTAATTATCACGATAGTGGATAATTTTTTATACGTTATCTCGTTAATACCTCGGACTCCATGTTGTTGTGTTACGACTTCACGTGCTTTTTTTACCTTTTGTTTGTGGTTATTACTAACAATTCATTTATTGTCTACAGTCAAGCAATGTTACTTCTAGTTAATACTCATATTTGAATGAGTAACAACTCGAAAACTTCGCTCGTAAATAAAATATGTCGATTACTATTTGAAAAAAGGGTTGTATAACGTCATGGCGCTAAAACCCATATTAAAAAAAAGTTTTTGACACTTTTACATCCTTTGTGCCTAATGTAGGTACATTTGAAAAATTTAACAAAATCATAGTAACCGTTTTGGCGAAAAAATAGTTTTATTTTTAAACTTCGACATTTTTTCTGTTTTTTTTTGTAATTTTTGCACAATTTTTGTTGGTTTTTGTAGGTTGTACGCAGAAGAATAAGGCCTTCAAAATACTTCAATAAAAAATGTTCTTTTTGTCTTTAACAAATTACATCAATAAAAACAAACGAGCAGCGTTGTTTACTCTTGAAACATTGGATACCATGGAAATAATAAATGAAACAAGTGGAGCTCCAGACGTAAAAAGAATGAATAAACAAATTCAACTACTTAAGTCAATTGTAGGAAAATAAAAACATTCAAATGAAAAAACACAAAATCAACTCTATCTCTGAAACACTTACTTTGCGACCTATGTTTATAAAAACAAGAAAACAGGATTTTATGTTTTACAATCGAAAAGAGACTTTACATTTAAAATGTAGATTTCTTTCTTCTGTTTGCCGATGACATAGAGTAAATAATGATGATGACAACTTTACTGTCGAATCATGTTCATTTTATTACAGTATTACTATGACTTTTTCATGTTTTTATTCCAAGTTGTGTTATTGTCATGGTTCTAATTGAATGTCTCAATTCTATTTAATTGCTTTTCACTTTTTATACTCTTCTGCTAGATTTAAAGTGGTTATGAAGGTGACTGGTCTGCAGAGTAGGTCGAAGACCACTACATTTTTAGATGAAGCACTTACCACGTGCTACTGAACTAAAATAACTTAATAATTTACAGGTTACACATGAATATACACTACCTTGAAAGACCATTTCGCTGTGATCCATGCTCGGTGAGCTTCAGAACGAAAGGCCACTTCCAGAAACACGAACGAAGCGCAGGTCATCACAATAAAGTAACCCAAGACCGTTTGCCCCACCCCCTTCATTGTCAAATAACGTATTCCTGTTACAGTTATCGTCGTCGCCGATGTTCTCCTCGTCGGAACCGCGTCCTTTCAAGTGCTCCGACTGTAAGGTAGCTTTTCGAATACACGGCCATCTGGCGAAACATTTGAGATCGAAATTGCACATAATGAAGCTGGAATGTCTCGCCAAGATTCCTTTCGGTTTGTACGCGGAGTTGGAACGGGCCAATAGTCTTCTCACCGAAATCAATACCACCGACGGGGACCAATGCTTGGAGAGTTTAAAGGTTCGTGCTAGTAATGCTGCGATGATTTTTGTTAAATTGATAATCTTTTACAGGCTCTGGCGAGGAAAGTGTTTGTAAACGACCCGAGCAAATTAAATCAATTAGAAGTATCAATGAACAATGTAGATTCATCAAATAGTTAAGTTTGAATAGTATATAATTTAAATTACATGCAAGACTGAGTAAACAATTTATTGAACATAAAAGTATATATACATTTTTTTAAAGCATTTTAACGTTAAATGAATATTATAGTTTATATAACTAGATAGTATAATTATACAAACTGCATTCTCATGTGTCAAATCTATTATGTGATGTGATATAAGTAACTAAGTATAAAGTTTTATTGTTTATTTTAATTAGAATTTGAAATGTTACGTTTAAGAAAGTTCTTGTTGCTGTCGTACAATGTACGATCGGGTGACATTTTATTTAATCTTTCATGAACACAAGTGATGTCTTTGTTAGCAATATGATTGTTTTCTTTTGCGCATTGTTTTATTTTGTAAACATATGCCATTCATGTTACTTAGATTAAGTGTGTTTCAAATTGTACATATGATTTATTATTAGTTACAAATTATGTGATGATTTGTATTAAGAACTGTTACTTTCATTATGTTGTTCAATCCAAGTGCAACATTGAATTGTTGAATAAACTTTTGTTTTATTTCTATTTGTGCAATTTTATATGGCATATGACCGAATTTGTGGTGTCTTAAGGCATTTTCTTACATCTTTAATATTAGTTCTGTTATAGAAAATGACTACTAATCTCTTCTTGCATGCACGTTTATAACCGGTATGACACTATTGAGATTATTGTGACACCCTACAAACATACCATTTGGTAGTACTATCACATAAGATTAGGGACAGCCGATTGTGTATTTCTGATTTATATCCCACTGGCATTTCTGGACTATAATTTGGTACCTAGGCCACAAATTCGGGGCCTTTGTACTACTCTGACTACAGACTTTGGCCCTGGCGGTGGTGACACTGCCCCGGACTCGGTGTAGGCACCTTTAGATAGAAGCATGTCTTCTTGAAGTTAGTAAGGCATCAGTACCCATCCAAGGAGTAGAGTAATTTCCCGCCTATTGATTCTGTTTGTGAAAGACCAGGGGAAAGAAGGGGGGGGGGGGTTTAAGAGAGGAAAAACTAACTAAAACACAAAAATGTGTAGTAATGCTCTGGTAAGAACGAGATAGTTCTGAATAAGGCTTTAACAGCACTTAAAGGGATCAAGATTCGTTTTAAGATAACAGTGATTGTTTAATGTTTCAAATTGTTTTTTATTTTTACATATTGAGGTGTTTTATTTAAACATGTTATTTCGATTTCGCAGAGAAAGTTAGCAATTATAGTGGGAACACGCTGTATGTGTGATCTGCGTCTGGGGATATTTGTTTTCTAACGGTTGCCTAATCGTAGTAACTAGTGATGGTAAACGGATGAGTAAACAAAATAGGTTGTGAATTAAACTGTTTTTATGTAATTCTTTATTAATAAAAATCAGTAATGTCTAATTTGTGTGAAAATATTAGTATACCGCCATGTATATGGTTCGAAGGTGACAATCGACGAAATGCCACCGCGTCTATGATTTCAGGATTTTTGGTATGAGAAACAGTTTTAGCTGCGAATGAACCATTAACTTTGATGTGTTTCAGTTCTTCGTTGGTTGGTGGGTCATAATAGATGCTGCTAGTGTCTATACGGGGTCAGTTGCCGCCGGATATCACATGTGCGGAGTCGTGGGAACGCTATCATTAGTAATGGTTAATTCCGTGTCAAATGCTCAGGTATGATCTACTAGGCGCCTACAGTATGTTACAGTATGCAAGAGTGTGCTATGGTTTAAACCAATCACAAAAATAAATGTGAATAAAGTTCCGTTTATTTCAACTATTTCTAACTATAGTTATAGAGATTCTTCAGTAATTGAAGGTCAAGTACTGTGATACTGTATAATACGAAAACTATCCCTGTTTGCAAATGCATAATTATTGTCATTTTAATTCTCCAAGAGAGTATTTTGACCACACTGTCTGTCTTCTTCCTCCCTAAAACCAAGCTCTGTTGTTATGCAAGATTAATGTTGATTTGTAGATACGTGGTGATGCTTACGAAGGAGGTTGTTTAGGACCACGTGGTTCGAGAATTTGGTTGTTTCTAGGTTTTGTGATGGGTTTTGCATCGGTCATCGCCTCATGTTGGATTTTATTTGCTAACTTTGTAGGAAACAGTAAGTAATTTTATTGCAAACTCAAAGAGCGAGTTTGAAAATATGTAATTATTTATAGGTGAAGTGCCTCAGTGGCCAGGAGTCGGTCTCTTTCTTCAAAATGCGCTCATATTTATATCGTCACTTATTTTTAAATTCGGCCGATCTGAAGATTTATGGGGTTAATAAATTAAAAATTGTGTTTTCTGCTTATATATTGGAAGGTGTAAAAATAATGTTGTGCATATTATGGTTAGTGTAAAACAAGTAAAGGTAATATATACCTATGTACCATTTTTGGCTATTTTTTATATTTGGGAATGTGGTCTTTCTCATACCTGTTCTCATATTTATTGATACTTAATTATAGAATTGACACTTTTATTTTCTAAAATGTATTATTATTTTTAAGACTGTTATGTGATTGTTTGTTTTTTTTAAATAAAAATTTAATTTGTGAAACTTATTTTAGAATTAAGACGTTTTGTGACCGAGTTTCTAGGAAGCACTAAAGGTAGCTAAAAATGATCAAAAGAAGACACTAAATTTTTAACGGGAATGGGGGCGAAACCTTTACTACAATACCAGGAACTCAAGATTTACACTTTTTCATTTTTTTACCATTTCTAATTCTTTTTTGTTTTTATATTTTTTTATTGTGAAATATGATTGTCCAATAAAAGTCTTTATTTTATTAGTTAAATGAAATTATGTATTGGGAGAAGGTACATAATGCGTATTTTACGTTTCCGTTTAATAATAATAATTTATAGTCTGTGATCAACGTAATTGACATAGACATGGTCATACGAATAATTGGTATGAAACACGTGCATTAAAGAAAAAATATTTTATATATCAGACAGTTGCTTTGTAAAAGCAGTGGTCTATATATATGTATCTCACTGGTGAGACAAACTTTCCTATCCACATTGTACCTAAGTACCTCTTCATTTACGTCCATTCTTAGTAAAGGATAGTGGGAATTTTTTTGGAAACACTCTGTATACTGATTTGGTGACATAACCACAGTTTAGTAGACTGCTGTAACATAACCACAGATAAAAATTACCTGTTCTAACCTCAATAGAAACTAGTTTGAATTTTAGATTTCTTTAACTTTTGTAATTATTATTTGAGACTAACTTTTAAATGTGAACGCTTATGGTATGAATACGAAGACTCAAGACGAGGCCGTAGGGTAAATGTTTACCCAATGCATTTGCTTTAACTTTAGTTACCGTTCTTTAGGATAACTGAGCTTAGCGCACACTTAGAGACTGAAGGATTTGACTTAGAAGCAGGCACAACATGGATTTATCCCACAAATTACCCGTGCAGGGATTATCAATATGCAATAATCCAACAGGCATTACTTAGGAATACTATGGTACAAATAATTGAATATTAACAGATATTTTAAGTTACATTGTAGGTCAGCCTTCCAACTGGACTTGGTAAAACGTTTATTGCTGCTGTCGTTATGTACAACTTTTATCGATGGTATCCGAGGGGAAAAGTTATATTTATGGCGCCTACGAAACCGCTAGTTAAGCAACAAGTGGATGCGTGTTATAATATCATGGCTATCCCCAAGGAGATTACCGCTGAACTGACAGGTGACTAATCTCCTTTGCATTATCCATTAATGTACATCTAAAATCCGCAGGAACTAAAGGACAAGAGTTCCGCAAAGATATTTGGAACGAGAAAAGAGTGTTTTTTATAACGCCTCAAGTTCTTCAGAACGATCTGAATATACTACAGAACTTTGGCAGTAGAGTAAAATGTCTCGTTGTCGACGAGGCACATAAGGCGAAAGGGAATCACGCGTATTGCGAGGTTATCAGAAAATTAACGGCACAGAATCGGCACTTTCGAGTTTTGGCCCTCAGTGCAACTCCCGGCAATTCTCTTAAGGACGTCGCCGAAGTAAGTCACTCGGTGTAATTGTCAACGTGTTATGACTTAAATTTTAAGGTGATTAATAATTTACTTATCGCTCACCTTGAAATTCGCACGGATGACAGCCCAGATGTGCTCCCTTATGTTTTCGAACGGTCTTTAGAAACTGTAGTGGTGCCATTGGGCGACATGCTTCAAACAGTCCGGGATAATTATCTACATGTGAGTATAAACGATCAGATCTGTTTGTTATCAGTGTAGCCTTCGTAGGTACTAGAGAGATATACAAAGATATTAATGCAGAATAAAATTCTGTCGGGAAATTGCAGTATGTTAACGAAAGGCAAGGTTTTTATGACTATGAAACAATACCAAGAACAAAATCGACAGAATAGGTTGGTAAAAGTGTGGGGTAATGATTCTTACATTTGTTTTTAGGGACAGAAATTTTGCAGAAAATATGAGGTACTTGAACATATGCCATACTTTGTATTATGCCTTTGAATTACTTTTAAGGCATGGCTTACGAAGCTTTCTGTTGTTTTTTGAAGGTGAGATTTATTTATTTTATCTTTGAGCTGATTGGTTTAAACGAATTGGTACATTATGCTATGGTTACAATTGTTTCCAGTTAGGTGACTATCACCTTGGTTTGAAGTTCATGACCCCGCCGTCATATTAAATATTCTGATTCAGTTTGAATAACTTCTCCCGACTTTTGAGTTTCTAGGATTTGCAAGTGTGATTGAGAGATGTCAAGCGCATGCGCTTACGAGGCTAGATATGATCAAATAATCTCCTACTGACCATACCTAGCATCAATGTATTTTGTTTTTCAAATGTGAATTGATCATAGAAGGCTATGCTATAAGACAATGCATTAAGCTAGTGAAGTAGATATACCCCTTCCATAATATAAATAACATAACAGTGGCAGTTGTCTGTTGTTTTTGTTTAAGATCGCCTAGAGAAAACAATGCTCCACGAAAATGCTCTGCTCAAAAATATCATTCGTGACATTGAACAATACATGGGACCATTACTAAACATAGAATCACTTCCAGATGGCACTGTCACCGGGGTAATATTTCAGTTTCTGTAGTCTAAGTTAGACCGTGATTTTTAGATTCCCGAAACGGTGAAGTTCGGTCATCCAAAATTTTACAAACTGCGCGACGTCACCTGCGAACACTTCAAGCAGCAGAACAATAACGAAACTAGAGTGATCATTTTTTGCGAGTACAGAGAAACTGTGATGGAAGCTTACGGTATATTATCGCTCAGCCAGCCTCTGGTGAGACCTAGAATTTTTATGGGCAAAACGTCGATTACGCAAAAGCAACAGATAAATGTTGGCAATTACCTAATGGGGCGATTTATTTCGAATGCTTTTGTAGGTTATCAAGTCGTTTCGGGATGGCAGCTGTAATACATTGATATCAACATGTATCGGGGAGGAGGGACTCGACGTTGGTAATGTGGATTTGATTATTTGCTTCGATATTAGTAATAAATCGCCGATACGGATGATTCAGCGAATGGGACGTACCGGCAGAAAAAGAGAGGGGCGTGTTGTTGTATTTGTTACTGAAGGTCGCGAACAACAGGCAAGTACGAAATGCAACGTCCCTCAGAATACATTCCGTGTTTCAGACTTTAAAAGAATGCCTTATCCAGAAACAAAACTTGAGCAATCACATACTGCATCATAAATCGTTTGCGAGTGAAATGTACAAGGAGAATCCTCGAATGGTACCACCACACATAGAACCTAGGTGCAATAAAATATTTATTACTGTAAAGAACGAAAGTAATCAAAAGTTGTCAAAGACCAAAAGCAAAAATATAAAGGTGGGTTTTTTTGAAGGGGCACTCTGATTGTAATTTTTTTTTAGGACATTTTCAAGTTAATTGCCGAAGGAAAGAAGCAAGCGAATGAAGGTGAGAATGAGGCGAAATTAACCGACATAATCGATATTGCTGACAAACTGCCCGACAGCGAACATTTTTGGAATAGCGGTAATGATACAAAATTCTGTGGTTGTCTCTCAATAACGTCTTGCAGGTAAAGGGAGACTGCTTACGAAGAGCACTTTAGCATTTAACAGTAAACTGAACAAAGTCAGAACTTTGCAACCCGTTGGCTTCATTGGTCACTCCAGTAAAACTAAAATTATGGTGTCGTTGTTAGAGAAATGCGATTCTTTAAAATTCAATTTGCCTCTTACTCAACATCCAAGTACGTAGCTAATATTGTAAATGAGCTTATAAAAATAATGTGTACTGTTAGTATTAATTTCGCAGAAAAGGCCAGAATTTAGTACCAATCTTAAACAGAAGGATATTAGAAGTATGTTTGGGCATGCTACGCATTCGAGTGTGGATGTTTTGACGGTGGACGCTGAGGTTATTGTTATAGGTAGGTTTTTTATTAAAAAAAAGTACCATAAACTACCTATACAACCAGGAAAAATTCACGTAACCTTCAGTGGGTTTTTAGTTTAGACAACAACCACAATGACATTCTTTTAGTGTATACGACCTTGAACTTGGCGCATGCGTAGAACTCAAGTGCGCCAGGATCGGTGTTGCTTACCTTTCTTTTATAAACGCAAATTATCCAGTCGCCTATAATTTTCTAGAAAATAGATATTCTAATAAAAGACTCACCGCATTTCACAATGCATTTATTTTCACATCGTGACAACTTAGAAACAATTGACATGTCTTTATACGACGAAATCATAGAGGTATCACACTAGAGACTGAGATATCCACTTAAATAATAACAAACACTCAAATTCATATTTTACCGCTACTCATAATTGCACGCTCCATTCCTGTTCTATTTGCAAAAATACAGAACATATTATATGCAAATGCCCAACTTTAAATAAAAATATATTTATATATACAATAAACCAAAATAATAATAATAACTTTTATTATGTTATATTATATTATGTTATGTAATAATGTATGTACTAATTGCAAGACTAGTTGCTTACAAAATCACAACTTAAGCATTTCCCCTCCTAAGAAAAATAAACAATTGCAATTCTACTTCTACTTGCCGCACATGTACGAAAAGGCACCACACATAGACGAATAGTGTGACTCAGTGAAGTTGAAGTTCGACTGCGGTACCTAGGTTCTCTGGTTCGAATCCGAGTTCGGGCATGGATATTTGTAAATGTATAGTGGGCTGGGTTGGTAGAGCAGCCTTGGCTGAAACCCAGTCCACTTATAAATAAAGCCCAAAAATAAATATAAAATTTTTTATTTGGTCTGCAAAATTTAAATAGTAATACGCTGAGTAGTAATGTGTCTTCTAAATACTTCCCACAGTACTAAAAGGTTGCCAGAGTTTCCCAGTAACCTCAATTCAAGGGTTATTTAGAATATCACTTCCTTAACTGTATAGGCATCTAACTTTTGACCACTTTCTAGGGCTTTCTAAATGCTTTCCAGGGCGTGATAGGCTAAGATCTTTGGAAAGGACTTTTGCAGGCTATTAAAGCCTGTTCAACGAATTACAAAGTATTTTCAGGTTTTCCTGGAACTTTTTGCCATATTTTCGCAGCGTTTAGGTCATTTTTATAATTTCGTAGGTGGTTTATCAACCTTTGAGATTTTTCTGGTCATGAAAGGGATAGAAAGGGTTTTTGGAGTTTATGGAAAGCACATCAGCAACCAGTGGCGTAACAAGGTATTTTTCGAAGCGGTGCCGGATCAGGTTTTGGCGCCGTACCAGATCACTTACCATTGAGGTCTAATTAATAAAACACTGTACATTTTTGAGAGAAACTTTACACAAAATTTTAAAAGCACCGCACCCTTTCGAATTTTAGACAGATGCTTTGAATAACGAAATCTGTCACTCGATGAAGAATAGAAATACATTTATTCATAATGTTTGAGATAATGTTTTCAATTTTCGCGTCACATTTAGCTATGGCATAGGGTACAAGTCGTCGAAATGATTGCGTCTTAGAATAGGGGTACAAATGCTGGTCACACTAATACAGACTATTGTATAGATCTCAAATAAAGTATTATTATTATTATTAGTTTAAATCTGCAGCCTTTTCCTAGCGCTGTAACTTTGTTCTACAAGGGCTATCCAGAAAGTAACAGACGTTTTAATAAAAAATTAAGAAAGTGTAAGAAACAACTTTTATTATATACACTCTTAGGCTGTTTTTCAACATAGTCGCCATTCATATTGAGGCACTTAACATAGCGTGGTACAAGTGTTTTTGGGTACCTACAAAGGCAATATGGTAGTTCCCGACAAGATCTTACTGATGGTAGAGTCAAAACTGGCTAATAAAAGTACTGATCTGCCACACAAAAATGCGTTGAAATCCCTTGGATCTAACAAAAAGACTTTGGTAATTTTTTTCATTTTTTAACAATGTTCGGTTCATCCTAAAGAAGCGTAAATTCAGTTTTAATTATATTTCAGTGCACCCTGTATTCGACTTTAGCAAAGTATTAGAATTTAACTGCCGTTCTTGTCTTTTATGACTGGCCTATACGGTACACCACGTACTGCCCATCCCGACTTAGTGCCCTCGGTGCTTTAGCGCCTCCGGCGCGTCCTCCCCCCTTCAGAGCGCGGTGCCGCGGCACCTTTGGCACCTACCTAGTTACGCCACTGTCAAAAACTTCCGTTATAATTTCAGAAAATATTAATTTGTGACTAGTCCACTGATCTTTACACGACCAGTTTTTACCTTTTCGATATGTTTGGATAATCGAAATACAAGGGGCGATCAACAACTAAACATTTTCGCCCTGTAGAATAAAAACGAAGATAGCCATGACAAATATATCATTAGACTATTTTGTTTCCTTAAAAAGTAGTTAATATCTTAGTCGAGTAAAATTAGAGTAATATTTGCTCAAACCTAGAACAAATTCGGGACAAGCAACCGATGTCCGAAATTAGTAGTATCAATAATGCTCTTTAACATACTAAAAGTCCCCATATGTCCGAGATGCGGAACATCCTGAAAATTGAGCCGCCATCTTGGATTTTCATGTTTTTTGCTAATAACTTTGTTATTATTATTTTTTTCGGAAAAAGATAGGAAAGGGAATTTGTGAAGATTTAAAATAGATTGGCGGGGAGGGGGGTGAGGGCAGGAGGGGGCCTAAGGGTAGGGGTATCACACATATCTCTGCTCATGTCTGGGGAGGGGGGAGTGTTGCACTGTCGTATAGTATACACAGCGAATGCTGTATAGTGCGATTATTGATACAATAAAAAAATCATAACTCCCTTAGTTTTCAATCGATTTCGAGAAATAAGAAGCATTGGATTTGTATTTTAAAGCTTCACAAATTCCCTTTCCTGACTTTTTCCGAAAAAAATAATAATAACAAAGTTATTAGCAAAAAACATGAAAATCCAAGATGGCGGCTCAATTTTCAGGATGTTCCGCACCTCGGAGATATGGGGACTTTTAGTATGTTAAAGAGCATAATTGGTACTACTAATTTCGGGCATCGCTTGCTTGTCCCTAATTTGTTCTAGGTTGAACTCTAATTTTACTCGACTATCTGTAATAATAATGGCGTTTCCCTGCAACTACAACGAAATCCGTCAGCGGCTGGAAGCTTTCCGGTGCTCTAACGAATTGTACGCACTTTTCCAGTGCATTAGAATTATTTAGCTCCTGTACAGAGCCTTCTATGCCACTTACTTTTCCAAAGTTTTTTTTAGAGCATTTGCAGAATTTTTTAAGTCTAGAAATGATCTAAAAAAAGGCAGAGGTCTTCAGTCTGCCAACCTAGGGGAGTGAAGTATGCAATTTTTGTAAATAAAAGTGAGAATTGTATTGTATGGGTAGTCATATGTATCCATTATTGTTAACGTTAAGTTTTAACTACAGATGAGGATTCTGGCACAAGAGAGAATACTCCCAACATCCGCATAACTACGGAGGATAAGGATCTTAATAACAACTGCAAGCTCTGTGACGTCTTATTTGATTGCACTCAGTATTATTCGACCTTTAACTTGAGTTTTAACATTGGAGATTGGAGAGCACCAGATACTAGTATTTTCGATACCATAAACTGTGAAAGCCTGGCCGTGTACGAAAAAGCTTTAAATAGCTGTAATAACGAAACTGTGAAAGATCAGCAGCTTAATGTTACTGTAAACGACGAGAACGTGGAAAAGATTGACAATCGAGAGATACACTTAGTAAACTCGCCATTTAAGCCTCCTAAAACTATCAATAACGTTTTGAGGATGTTAGACTTGACCATGCCCCCTATACCTCTTACACAATTAGAATCGGCACCAAACAATAAAATTGACAATGCAAAATGTAGCATCTTTGATTGTTCGGTAAATTTAAATGGGTTTGACGATGTCAAGTTTACACAATTGCAAGGGCCAGCCGTAAAAGCCGCCGAGCATGACCTTAGTGATGGTTTAGAATTCTTCAATATTAGCGCATTAGAAGATATTTTTGAAGATCCGCACAACAATGCACAATTAATTAGTGTAACTCCCAAGTCTGATAGCACTATAATTTATACTCCATGTCTGCCAGAAGTTGATTCTCCCATACTGTCCGGTGCTGAGACTGTACATAATCAAACAGCCGGGCAATGTACTCCACCCACTGAATTGAACGATGTGGTTGACACCAGTCTTCTTTCGCCTATACTTTCAGGTAGAAGTAAAAGGAAATTGACTGACGAAACATTTAATCAAAGTTATTCTAATTTTCCCCCAAAGACCAAACATGATTTGCATGAGCTTTTGGATAATTCCCTTATTGATATGTTATATAATCAAAGTTTCGAAGAACCGCCTAAGAATGACATTAGTAGTAAAAACAAAGATGAGATTGACAGCAGCATTAGAGCTGTGCAGAGTGTTCAGGAAACAAAATGCGATCAATCCAGTATAAACCGGACTGATAAAGCCGGCGATTGGGAAAATAACATTTGGAATTTCTGTATGGATTCAGATGTTGAAAGCAAGAATGAAGCAACGTCCAATGTTACACAGTTTAAAGAAAAAGGTAACTCGTTATTAACACGTGATAAAGCGGTAGAGTTGATATCTGATCAGTCTGATGATTTTATTCACTCATCTGCTAAGTCACCGGTGCTAGTTCTGTCACAGAGGGTTGATACTCGGAGTTGTCAAAGAGAAACTCCGATTAGAACCCTGGATCGTTCACCGTCACCGAGCTTTAGCAACCACGTTTCTCCCATTCTGAATAAATCCCAGGCAAATATTAGCAATAAATATAAAATTAACAAAGCGTCAAAAAAATTAGTGTTTAGCGACGATGACGATGATGACTTCGAATCGGACCCGAAACAATCATCTTGGATATATCCGAAGAACAGAAACGCGAAGAGTAGCACGGGCCAGGTCGCGACAACTTCGCGCGCGAATGTCAAGAGGTCGGTAAGTATCTAGGTGGATAAATTTGGGTTATTCGTTTGCTTGTCTAGAAAGTGCAAGATTGCCCGTTTGTGGAATTGGAGGCTGACTTATCCGGAACTCAATCGGATATCACTGAAAGTGATGCAGATGGATCTTTTGAGAAGAGCTTTGTTGATGATGAAACGCAAGATATTGCGAATACGACAATGATGCAAGTCAAATACTTGCAATCGGTTAGGTAGGTAGTTGTTTAGCCTGGTTTGCACAGGGTGTCCTGAATTTTGCTATTCTGCTCTAGAATTGTTTATTATTATTTATTTGTCTTTCCTGCATTTTTAGCGAGTTGGGTGCGCTAGTGTAGGCACTTTTTCTGTCCGTCAATCCATCCCGGGACTTTACTACTCTTACAGTTTTCAATATATTGAGTTTGTTCTTTTTGAATCTGGTACCTTATACACAGCTTACTTAATATCAGTAAGCTGTGCCTTATAGCTCTGGAACCTGAGCCAAGAATAATTTTGAAAATTATTGTGTGAATGCCCAGGCTAAAGATGTTTAAATCAACTTAGGCTTAACGTTGTGAGTAGAGGTAGGCTTAAAACTGATGGTAATCTGATAGAAGGATAAAGGGATGAACTACCATTTTTTTGAAATTTTTACCACAGACGTGTCTAGTACAGGTTTGCGTGTGCGCACGCGGAAATAAGTCAGAAAACGGTCAATCGGTTTAGAAAATTCGCTGTGTAATAATAATAATAATAATAATAATATTTATTGATGTTTTACACATGGTGTTTACACAAGTCATTTTAAGTATGCATTTATGCAATGTAAGAGACAAACGAATATAATAAATTACAAACAAACATAATAATTATACAAACTATTCCATTATATCACAACATTTATTCGTCAAAAATTCTTCTAGTGAATAGAAAGCCTTTTTTTATTAGATATAATTTAATTTTAGATTTAAACTCCATTTCATTGCAATGTTTGAGAGCGGTGGGCAACATATTAAAAAATTTTATGGCTAAAAAATTAGGGCCGTACTGACTTTTTTTAAGACGTAAATAAGTAGGTACGTAATAATGCATATTTCGCGTATCGTAATTGTGAAAATCCGAGTGGCATTTAAATTTTTGGCAATTACTTTTCATATAAATCATACAGGTATAAATATGTAAAGTGAGGGTAAGGGTAATATTTCCAAATCTGTGAAGGCTTGCCTGTAATCAGATTGATAGTCTAGGTTAGCCAATATTCTAACCACTCTTCTTTATATTTTAAAGATTCTAGATACAGAGGAGCAGTGACCCCATATTAAAATACCATAATTCATTATGGCATGGAATAATCCGAAGTACGCAGTGCGCGTAACTTCCGGAAAAAACATGGTTTGTTAAATTACGGAGTAAGAACACAGTTCTGTTCAGTTTTGAGGAGAGCTCGTCAATATGGCGTGTCCATGAAAGTGTGGAGTCCAGATAGACGCCTAGAAATTTCACCGGCGTTTGGTTAATTACATCAGTGTCCCTTCTCATCGTAAAAGTTAAAACTTCTGTTTTGTCTTCATTTAGAGGCAACTTGTTCAAGTGGAACCAAGACTTGGACTGCCCTTGAAGATCTATACTTCTTATATTTGTTATTTCTAGACTAGAACCAGAGCTTAGTATTGTAGTGTCATCGGTATATAATATGAAATGACCATTAACTGTAGAAGGCAAGTCATTTATATAAATTAAGAAAAGCACAGGCCCTAAAATGGAACCTTGTGGAACACCAGACTGTACACATATTTCTTTTGAGAATAAACCGTTATATCTAACAGTTTGAGAACGTTCTTCGAGATATGATTGCATGAGTTTAATGGAAATTGCATCAAAATTATATGCTTTGAACTTATTTAACAAGATCTGATGATTTACACAATCAAAAGCTTTGCTTAAATCTAGAAAAGTTGCTGTTGTATAATTATTTTCATTAAATGTAATTAAGATTGTACTAGATAGATCTACAAGGGCGTCCGTCGTTGACTTTTTTGATCTAAAACCGTATTGTGCATTATTAAAAATATTATTGACCTCAAAATAATTCAGTATGCGATTTTTTAAGATCTTTTCAAAAATGTTTGAAAAAATGGGAAGTATTGATATCGGCCTATAATTTGAAACATTCTCTTTGTCACCCTTTTTAAACAAAGGTAAAATTATAGACCGTTTCAATGCCTTTGGGAACGTCCCTTCCCTAAAACACTCATTAATTAACACTGTTAGTGGTACCTAATACAATTAAATCCCTTAGACATTTTACAATTTCTGCAGAAAGATCATATATGTCTCGACATTTACTATTAGATAAAGACGTTATGGCGTCTCTTACCTCAATGATGCTTACTTCGTGCAACCTGTGTTATGAAAATATATTAAAAAGTCTACAATTCAAAATCAAACGATCTGTGTGTCTTGCTTCAGGCTGACCGGGGGCCCCAGAATGCGAGTACCCTGCTAAATAATTGCAATTGTGCGTTCCAGCATTCAGCTTTCTATCAGCAAGCTTACAATTTTTTATTATGTCATTTAAAGGAACCATCAATGAATTATTTTGACATTTTGTCAACGCCTACTACACCAAAATGTTAAAAAGTGACAACAAACCTTTTTTCTGAACTTATTAAAAAATATTTTACATTTTGGTGTAGTAGGCGTTGACAAAATGTCAAAATAATTCATTGATGGTTCCTTTAAATGTACGGTTTAAATGAAATAAAAAAGAATCATATTGTGCCATATATATCGATGCATGTATAATAAAAAATGATAGTCAACACAGTAAGTACTTTTTGTTTGGTCCATACAGAAATATGAAGTTGATAGTGGTTTCTCAAAGACGAAACGTCGCAGTGTGGGCACCATCTTGTACAACTTATCTATCTAGGTATAAGGAAGTGTTAATTGGTTTTTAATCTGTTTTCAAATAGAGTTAGAAAAAGATAAAAACGAATATTGTGTCTGGTCCATTGAATATAAGGTGCTTATTCAATGGTCAGGCAGAGCTGGGTAGTGCTTTGAAAAAAAGTGCTTGCTAAAGGACTTCAATTACTTTTAGTGCTTAGAGCTCTGTGCTTCAATTACTTTTCTAATTCAGGAAAAAGTGCTTCAATTACCAAGCACTTTTTAAAGCACTTTCATACAATTTCGAGTACTTCTAAAGAGCTTCAAGCATTTTCAAAGAGCTTAAAGCACTTTCAAAGAACTTCAAGCACTTTTTAAGGGCTTCAAGCACTTACAAAGGGCTTCAAGCACTTTCATAACGAAGCTCTTATCATGAATTAGGTGACGAATTTAGAAAACTCTTAGTCTTACTCATTCCTTCACTCCTACTCTGACGTTACCTACGTGTTCTGTGCTTCATTAGTGATTAGTCTGCAGTCTGCACATCTCACTTTTGACTTCTTGTTTTTCGTATTGTGTGGTTTCCTGTGAAAGGGGTCGTACGATTTCGCGAACAAAAAAAGGAAGAGGTAATAGTTCTGCCATTTATTAACGCTGCCCTATCATATTCAGGGCATACCGGCATACGTTTAGTTTTGTTATAGTTATTACGATAGGTATAATCAGATAATTTACTGCCGCGTATATAATACATAAAATACATTACTTGAACGGCAAAAAAGTACCTAATCAATTACCACGCACTTGCCTCTAAATTAAACATTTTTATAAAAGGCCAGAAAATAACATCAAACCGCCAAAATAGTAAATACCAAGAATAGTAGAAGTTTAAATTTTGGTTTGCAAGTTATTTTTTTAATTTAGTCTTAACCCTTATATCTGTATTACTTTGATTATAAGGAATTGTTATCTTTTATTGTCCTTTTATATTTGTAATTAAGAATTATTACCTACATAGTAAAAGTTTACAAATTTTCTCTGTGCATTTCTTCACGTAACATACTATCACGAATTTTCAGAAGATACGTCTCGGTAGGTAGGTACGTACTTACAAGTAACAAGTGTCAAGGAATTTCCGAGCAACATTCTGGATTTTTTTCTTGTAGTACCTACTTTTATAGCACATGCAGTTATTACTTCTACATTAGTCATTACCCATGGGTACAGGGAGAGTACTGTACCGATAACAACATTTTTTTGTTTACCTAATCGTTTTAAACGAAAATTTGGACAAGCAAAACTTTAGCGATAAAACCACTAATTCCTCCAGTATAATTACGATGCGGAAGTACTGTTTCTAGCGTGTTTTTTAAAGTGTTTCCAGCAGGCTAGAAACCAATTTTGAAAAAAATTCAAAGGGCAGTAACTTTTGAACTAGTAGCCCAATCTTGGAACTGTTTGAAGTTATCGATTCTACAGGCCACATTCTATAAGAAAATATTTTTTCCGGGTCGATCTGAGACAATTTTTTTTTCGGGGCTCAAAAAAAGGCAGTGTATAACCTTCCTTTTTTACCAAAAATCGACTAAACCAAAATTTCTCGGGAAAACACTTTTTCTTATTAATTTGGGTGCGTAGAATCCAAATCAATTCGTACTTTTTCGATCAGACTTCTCAATCAAAAGTTATACCGGGTGATCAAAAAGTAGTGCGGACAGATTGAATTTCCCGTAAAACTAAACATTTATAAAGTTGGTAACATACCGAATGTCATTTATGTAAAAGCAGTGGTGGATCAATTTAATCACTAATACATAAATAAACTACCTTCTAAACATGTTTGCCAATTCCTTAAGTAAAAAACATTAAAAACTTAAAGCGCCCAATTTAAACTGTCTGCAGTTCTTTTTGATCACCCGATAAACTAGAAACCCTGGTTTCCAGTAATATGAAAGGTGCTTTATATTGTTTATATTTATATTAATTTATATTGTCAATTACTGTGATTCAAGCACTTTCCAAGGGCTTGGTGCTTTGTATTTTCAATTACTTTAGAAAGTGCTTGGTAATTCCAAGCTCTTTAATCACATAAAAGTGCTTAGGGCTTGCAAGCACTTTTATCAAAACAACGCGCTCGGTGCTTAGTGCTTCAAGCCCTTTTCAAGAGGGCTTTACCCAGCTCTGTGGTCAGGTCACTTCACAGTTACGTTAACTGACAATTTTTACTCATTCACGTTCCCAGATCCACTTAACAAGTCATCTGCGACAGGTGCACCTGTAGGTGTCCACCTACCTTTAGGATAAATGAAAGGTCATGACTGTTTTTCAGGTCAAAAAGTTGTAGCCCAAAAACTACCTGCATATTTCCAACAAAAAGGTTTCTTTTACAATTCTTGTTGAAAATAACATATGAAGCTCCTTACATTACCTTTTTATTTTCAAATTTGTTATCAAAACTGATTTATTGGATAGGTTTTCGCGTTGGGAGACACTACCGACTTTTTACCATTCTTCTTTTTCATATTTCAGATCTGCAGATAGAAATAGAGGTAATTTCAAAATTCCAAAATTGCCAGTTAGTAACATAAACGTATATTCTCAGATGGACGAACTTCATGAGGAGAACGCCTATGTTAATGTAAGTTTTTGATCAAGAGATTCTTCAAACCAACAAATTAGAACAGTATTTTACGCCTTATTTTAGGACAGTTTCTGTGTGAGTTCTCAAGAAGACGAATTGTGTAATAATAACGCGAACAATATGTCAGAGTTAGAGCTAGCAGAACTAATATTGGAGGGAAAGCGGAAGAAGAAGAGATTAAAGTTCCAAGTGAAGACTGTCAAACGTAAAAGAATTATTGTAAGTAGCAGTGATAGCGACTGATATTTTTGTTAAAAAAATTATAAATTGTGATAGTTTTATGCTGTAGCCTCAGACTGAATTTTTTGAATTCGAAGCTCAGTTGAATTGTAAGATTGTATTACGAGAAGTTGATTAGTTTTTTACACAAATTATTTTTGCTAGTTTTTGGTGTTTTATTTACGAACAAATTTTACAGTTTTCTTGCATTTGAAAATTTGGACGGAGCGTTTAGTTATGTGCCAATTTTTACTTCTTTTGTTCTCTTTTATTCCCGTTGTTTCTGTTTATTGACGTGACCACAAACAGGCTCACGTGAAACTTTCATTTTAATTAATTCACTCTTTTGTTTTTTAATTTTTATATTTAGTATTATATGGTCCTTTTGAAAGGCGCCTAATTTTATGCAACCAAAATAACACCTTACAAATAAAGATCTGGCTGTAATATTAATTAATTCGAAAATTGTTGCTTTGGCTTCACAGACACTTACGATGACAACCAGATCTTTATTTGTTTTAAGAAATATTAGTAGACATAGGGAAAAACAATGCACGTAAATCTCTATGTCTACTTTTTAATAAATATCACTGTGTATTTAAACTACATGGGGGATTTAGGATAATTCAACTGGTTTATATCCGGTTGGTAGATTTTGCCATGGTTTCAATTGTTACAGAATTGTGTCCATGGAAAGTGGTTGAATTATTGTAAAGTCTAACTTGTCAAAATCCAACATTACACATGTCAAACTAAATGTCACATACTTACAATGATAAAGGTAGAGAGTAACAACGACAGGTGTAACGTTTGTAATGGTTTGATTAAAAATTCCATTGCAGCCGCATTGTATAAATGCAATATGGGGAAACATCCCATATGTTACACTTGCTTTTTGAGAGCCTCCAAAAATGGTATATAAGGTACTGCTTACATAATTCGTGACTTGAACCTGCCGCAAATTACAGGTAACCCACTCTGCCCGAAATGCAACTCGCTCGTAATGAAAACAAGCTCAAGTGCTATCTTTAAGCGTAGCGAAAATGTAACTGTAGAAAAATTATTTCAGTTACCGACCGAAAAAATTAACGCCCTATTGTACAGGTCAACAGAAAAGTTAAACGATGCGACGGAAAAACACTGGGCACCAATCAAATGCCCTCACAGCCCATGCGGTAAAACCGTAAATCCTTCGTCTTTACACAGTCACTTCATTTACGAGCACAGCAATATTCCAATCTACCAGTTAACGCGAGGGAGCGAGTTACAGGTGTTAACGGAGCTGTCGCACTTGGAACACGGCGCCTCGCGGTGTATTGGACTGATCGAACTATTGCCGTCGGGTTGTTCATTTTGTATATTGGCGAGTGCCTCGGAAGAATGCGATCCATTATTGGGCTACGCCGTTTATTGGCTGGTTACAAACTCGCAAAAACAGTATCAGTGCACGTTGGAAACGTTATCGCCCTCGAAGGCGTCGAGTTGCGCAACTTTTTGTAAGGTAATTGAAGCGAGGAATAATTCGTCTATTACGGCGATAATCAAGGCAATGGGTTGCCTTTTCTTATCATATGGTACCGTTAAAAACCTAGCAGATGATTTTGGAAAATTACATCTCTGTATAGTAATCCATTAACAGTAAATTATCTATTTATTTATTATATTATCATTGTTTACATGAGAAAGTGGTAAAAAGTTTTGGTTGTGGTTCGCTTTACATGCTTGTCATCTCTTGCCTCCACCTTTGTCTTGGAGAGGAGTTTGACCGTCACAATGGTGAAGTTCAGTCTTGTCCCAGGAAGTTTGGTCCATGAGAACAATCAAAGTTTGTCTCTTGGGGTCTTCCTTCCTGTCTACCAACGGTCCCAATTTTTACCTTTTTCTAACTTCCCTTGGGAGTGCTGTTTGACTTAAAACGACCATTTCATGATGGAAAGCAGTGGCGGCGAGATAATAATAATAATAATAAGTGACATTTATTAGATTACTGGAAGTACAGAAGGAAATATTTTCTTTTTATATTTTTATGTGTGTATTTTATTTTTTTCTCGTTGACGCCTCCTATGTACATATGTATGCCAAAGGAAAAATATAATGACTAATGACTAAAAAAAAAAAATAAACATAAAATAAACATTCAAATAGATAATAAACTAAATAATTAAAATTAAATGAAAAATGAAATTAATGTTCTGAGACACCCTAGAACTGCTCTACCACGGAAATTTACTTATCTTTTCCCAAGAAACTTTAATTTGCAGAGAAATTCTATTGGGGGTGTAGTTCCCAAATGGAACATTGACGCGTTCTCGGTTTTTTAAGAAAAAGTGCATGTTATAGTTCTCTCTGCGACACAATTTTTTTCGTCACAATATTCATCCTTAGTACTTACCTCTTTTCTCATTTTTTTTAAAAGGATGTGTTCTTAATTTACAACCATTAACTTTCTTTTTTACTCATAGCCCAATTTATTAGAACAACAGTAGTCATATAGGACCGGTTGTGGACCAGCTCAAGATCGCTCGCCACCTTGCAAAGTAAATTAAGGTAGCCATTTTAGCTAATAATGAAAATGAAATAACGCCAGAAAAATTATCAATGATACAGTGACTAGGGAATCTTTAATAATTTTTTTCTTTTTCAACATCTGAAGAAACTAACAAAGGAACTCCATTATTATCGATTAGTATTTAGCTAATTAGCTTTTTTTTATCACCCTGTATAACTCTTAATATTAGAATAAGTACAAGAAACAGTTGATAAAATTATTGTTTTATTAAAACACTTTATTTCACTAATACTTAATCGCCTAATCACTTTCTTCTCCCATATCCTTCAAGGAGTCTAATTTAGCAATTAGTGCTTTCGCCGGATTGAACATGCCGTTTGTTTGTGTATTACAAATAGCACACCTTGCCGATTTCTTGTACCGGTTCAACGCGCAAGCTTCACAAAAGTAATGCTTGCATCTAAAACAATACCGACATCAGAAACGAACAATTTCCCTCAGATTTACCTTGTAACAATGGGATTGACGAAGCTCTTCCTGCAGATATAACATTTGAACGGAAACTCTTCCGAGTCGGATGCAATTTCGTACTTGTCATCATCCTCGTCGTTCCGTTGATACTCTCCAGACGCGTACTCTTTCTCCAATTGCCATCCGTGTTTGTAATCGCTTCGGTCGTGTAAAAATTTACAACTGTCGCCAAAACCGCAATAGCCGGTCTCTTTGTAATCTTTACATATGTCGGGCTGATAATCCCAACGAACTGTCGCTCTTATATTTTCCGGAGCTCTAATTGGACCTCTTCGTACCATACCTGTATTTTTGTAAAATTGTAAGCACTGAAAAATATCCGAATTTACATACCAGAACTCGCATTCCCGGCCGCGGTGTCTTTCGGCTTGTAGTACTGTGCGTAATTATTCATGCCTCGGTAGATTTTATCGTCTTCCTTCCCCTCCAGCTCTTTGTTGATTTCTAATCGTTTTTCAAATATTGCTTGTGCGTCTCTATCTCGTTCTGTGTCTATTTCCTAAAAATGACTAAATCAAATTTCTTCAGTTACGTTTAAGGGCAACTTACTAAAACTGCGGTAGCTCCTTGATCGGCCGGGCCAGATACAGTTGTTGACCGTTTAGACTTGTAACTGACAGTTACGTTATCACTAGACTCGCCGCTTGAATCAGCACGTTCCTTTTTCTGCTTATTTGACGAACTTTGTATGTTGGGATTTGGTTTACGTTTTTTTTGTCGCCTTACGATGGTAGTTTCTGATTCATCATTGCTGCTGTTATGTTCTAAAAACGATCCCGTTTTAGAGTGTTTTACTACAAAAAATGGTGCACAAACCTGAGGAGGATGGCTCTCTTCTGCGTTGATTGCGAATTAATGGTTTTGATCGCTTTTTGTATATGAATTTACAAGTAAGATTGCTGGTTTCAGCTTTTTCTTCTTCCATTTCTCAGAAAATTAAAAAAATCCAATCCTGATACTTTGACGACAGTTGCTTTTTAGGTTATGTTTTATTTTTTCTTGTGACGGCTAGTGGCTACTGGGTTGGCCGTGGTGATATAGTGGCCTATATACACAGTATTGCACCTAATGTGCAGTTTATAACGTTCGTGCTGTTTTTGGGTGCGAAAACCAAAATCCCTTGGTACATACTGTGTCGTCGCTAATCATGGGTTTTTTAAACAGCGGTTATGATTTGTTACACACTTCCTAGACTCAGACACTACTGTAATGATGATTTAGAATATAGGCCCACTATTCTCCTAATCTCCTTGGTCGTTTACAAGTATGTACATAGATATTGCAGTATACTAGTATTTCAGATATAGCTGTGTAAATCTAAATTCACATGGGGTGTAGCCCATTCATCACTGAATTATTGGGTTCAAGGACCTGTCATAGCTTTGTAGACCCTTTGCAGCGCTCCTAGGTTTTTTCAAGGTTTTCCGGGTCTTTCTAGCTGATTCCCTAGAACCCTGAACGAATGCTGATCGTACTCAATACTGATCCATTTGAGATAATTCTTTTTCATAATGATCTTATTTTATGATCACGGCTTTGTTAGATCATCGCGTGTTTTATTAAAAATTTCCTAATTATGCAAGTCATATCTTCGAAGTTCAAATTTGACCGAATCCCTCTATTCTGAATGTCCACCATCATGGTCTTAAATTATTTATGTGTGATAGTTCATAGACAAATAAGACAATAATAATTTGCTCTTATTGGCGTATTTATGAAATTAAATAACTTTATTTGTGTTAATGTAATCTTTGATTGCAAGCACATGCTCTTGATCATATTTTAGTGGCGATTAGTAGTCGACGTATTATTTTACTACTCAAAAGTGTGACCTCCCCGTTTAACAACGCGCCACTGTGTATGCTATGAAATTAGCCTCGAATATTCTCTGGGCACGCTCACTTCGTTTTGTAAGCGTTTCTTTTTGACAGCTGATTTTTCATACACAGAGGAAACTCCAAGAAAATCTTGAAAAATGTTTGGAGGACGTGCCCCAGTATTAGTTTTGAGTAAGAAAACTGTCGTTTTTCAGATTGACCAACTGTTGTCATTAATTTCGCATGTTTCAGGCCAAAATACCAAACGTAGTTCAGGACGAAAAGTTCAGGTGGAAAATATCAATGCCGGAAAAGTAAGCACGCACGTGTTTGGTTATTCTTGTTGTAGTTCGTTTAGTTTTTCACTTTTTCGATCATCATTTGCTTTAAGTTCGAGTAAAATATGATACTTTGGTGATTCATGGAACACAATTGAGGTTATGTTAATAGTGTGTCTTGATTATTAGCAAATAGCGGATGTTATACGAACATGTCTGGGACCACAGGCGATGCTGAAGATGTTGATGGATCCCATGGGTGGGATCGTTATGACAAACGACGGGAATGCGATATTGCGCGAGATCACCGTACAGCATCCTGCCGCTAAGAGTATGATCGAAATCGCCCGCACACAAGATGAAGAGGTCAGCGAATTGTCACTCATTCAAATGAGATAGTGATAACTTAATTTTAGGTGGGAGATGGAACTACATCCGTCATTGTATTGGCCGGTGAAATGTTGGCCACTGCCGAACAATTTCTCGAGCAACAAATTCACCCTACAGTTATTATACGTCAGTATAGACAAGCTTTAGAAGATATGGTGGCGCTATTAGAAGGACCTTTAAGTATTCCAATTGATCGAAATGATAAATCTGCATTAGCCAACGTCATAAAAAGTTGTGTTGGCACGAAATTCATAGGCAAATGGTCCGATTTGGCTGTGAATATCGCTTTGGATGCGGTTGACACAGTCATGTTGACTGAGAACGGTCGTACGGAGGTCGATTTGAAACGTTACGCGAAAGTCGAGAAAATACCGGGCGGTTCTATTGAAGAGTCTCAAATTCTGAACGGTATAATGATTAATAAGGACGTTACCCATCCAAAAATGCGCAGATACATTCAGAATCCACGGATCATGCTTCTTGATTGTCCATTGGAATACAAGAAGGGGGAATCTCAAACGAATGTGGAAATTTCTGGAGAAATTGTACGTGTATAGAATAATAATATTGCACTTTGTGTCCCCGACGTAAAATCGATCTTTAAGGCATGGTTTGTTGTAGGACTTTACCAGAATGTTGGAAATCGAAGAAGAGCATGTGCGCCACATATGTGACGCGATCATCGCTCTCAAGCCAGATGTCGTATTTACAGAGAAGGGAGTTTCCGATCTTGCACAGCATTTCCTTTTAAACGCGGGTATCACTGCTCTGAGACGTGTCCGTAAAAGTGACAATAATCGCATTGCACGTGCGTGTGGCGCGACAGTCGTGAACCGTACAGAGGAGCTGCAGGAGTCCGACATTGGAAACGGGTGTGGATTGTTTGAAATTAAGAAACTGGGCGATGAGTATTTCTGCTACTTGACTGAATGTAAAAATCCTAAGGTATGTCTTGTGGTATTCGGTGGAAAGTGTTTGAAATAGCTTTTTTAAGGCGTGCACTATATTATTACGAGGTGCTAGTAAGGATATTTTGAATGAAACTGAGCGTAACTTGCAAGATGCGATGCAGGTAGCCAGGAATATTGTTCTCAATCCACGTCTTGTACCAGGTGGAGGTGCTATTGAAATGGCAGTGGCACATCAACTGCTGCAGAAGGCTACACATGGTCCTTCTAGAGCCTTAGCCCATGCACTTGGTACTTAGTACAACTTAAAAACACAAACTTATGTACTTTTTCAGAAATAATTCCTCGTACGCTAGCCCAAAACTGCGGATCAAATACCATAAGAACATTGACAGCATTGCGAGCCAAGCATGCAGGGCATACGGATTCTTCTAAGCCGTGCTGCTGGGGCATAGACGGTGAGAGTGGCGAGTTAGTGGAGCAAGGACCAAATGGAATTTGGGAACCTCTTACTGTCAAATTGCAAGTGTATAAGACAGCCGTTGAAACCGCAATTCTGTTATTGCGTATTGATGATATTGTTTCTGGTTCAAAGAAACAAGGCGAAAAGGGAGAACCGCCTAAACCCGCTCAAGTAGCAGAAGGTCATGAATAATTCGTTTTCTTTTTTATCACGTTTAGCTTTCTTACTGTATTAATTGTTTATGCTTTGCACCTTTTCATACACTAATAAATTATTCAATAGTAATATAATCCTTTTTCGGCGTAAACAGTTGAAGGTTAACGTGAACTATGTGATTCTTTATTACTTTGCATAAAATTAAGCACCCTTCAGAAGGGATTTTACAATTTACAGGTAGACATAAAAACAATACACGTAAATCCCTGTCTACTTAATAAATATCGCTATGTTGAAAACGGTAAAGCACAGTCATAGATAAAAGCCAATTTTTTTATTGTATTTTGCGCATATAAGGCTAAAATGACTTGTTAATTACTTGATTTTACATAAATGTACCAAATCGTTAAAATATTGATTATCATAATCATCAGGATTGCACATAAAGTTCCACAAAGTCATCTGAAACAAAAAAATTAGCAATGAGTAGCCGATATCAAATCGTTTACCTACCTGCTTAACAAAACCGCGATATACTCGATTATGTCTCAAAAGTAATAAGAGTAGTAACGACAAATTATTCCAATTACGTGTTAATATACAATTTTTAATTGCCCTCATCAGGTACGTAGGCGAACCCCATAATATACGGTCTTGGACCTTTTTATTATTTGTGCATGTTTTTTTCATGTGAACTGCCCGTTTCTCGATTGGCGAAAGTTTGTCGTATTTCTTCTTCGGATCTTCTTTTAATCGTTTTATCGCCTTCTTTAATTTACATCGAGGAATAACAGGTAGTTTTTTTAGTTCCTTTCTTCTTTGTGTTTCTTTGTAGATTAAGTCGTCTTGTAATTCAAACAGATCGTAGCTATCTTCGTCCGAACTAGAGGCCGAGGATTCACTAGATTCTGACATTGTGACCACTATAAAATACAATTTACTTGTGAAAAGAGCGTTGATGCTACCTACCAGGCTATTTTTAATCTACCCGGTGGGTAAAGCCTTAGGACACTAGGAGTGGAGATTTATATTTTAAGGTTATTTTCCCTCCATGTATTATTTGAGGTTATGTCAAAGACTGTGGCTCTCTTTCTTTGTCAAAGGACTGTGGTTATGTGTACCAATAGTATAAACAGGGTGAGTCATCTAACGCATCCATTTACAACGCCCACTTGATTCACATGGTAAGGCCTAATTTAAAACTTTAAATGAAAATTAAATACGTCAGTAAGTAGGGTACACACAATATTTGTTGGTTTTATAGGCGGTTAATCAGCGATTAAAATAATTAGAATGGGAAACATTTGAGCTTATAATACCATAATTTGGATTAGCCCAGTTTAAGATAACAAAATGAATAGAAATAATTATAAACTTATTTATTCTGTTTGTTGTTTGCTTGCTACGCTTCAGTTTCTCATTTAGCGGATATATTATGCAGCAGTCTATGCCCGTATAGGTATGTACTAGATTTGCGCAATATATTTCATTGCCATACCTTTGGTAAATTACTGACTGCGATTTTGAGTTTTGAGTGTAATCCAATTTTTATTGGTAGGTCTCTATAATAAAAGTAGACAAGATGAAAAGGCCAAAAGTCATACTGCGCATGCACAATAGTCAGCTTTCTTACTATCGTGTTCAGATTAGGAACAATTTAAGTTGGTTGGATATACTCAGAAAGTCAATGAATTAGAACATATATTTTTACACAATACTCATAATATACAAATAGGTATCTTTACTGTAATATTGTTCCACATACCAGATGGGAATATCAACAAAACATTTATAAGTAATAAATAAGTAAACCTCAGCTGGTTTGCTAAAATAGGTATAGGTTACAAAAGAGTGAGAAAGTAGGAAGGCAATGCCAAAAACTTTACTCGCTTGAATCAAACATCCATTGCAGAATTTAGAAAGGATTCGAGAAAACAACTATAATACCTACATTATTTAGGAATATCGATTTTATGAAATATTTTATAACCGAATGAATAACAATAATTGGATCAAAGCACATTGACATGAATCTTGTTCAAAAATTTACACTTGATTTGAACATATTAATAATATTTCCTACTTTAAGTGGATACATTATTATTTATTTTTCCTTATCTGCAAACGTTTCTACAACATACTAATTGTTACATATAAAACTTAAAATGTTAGCGAATAACGTACATTACACCTAAAAAAAGTCAGTCTAAAAGTTTCATCAATCGTTCTTTACAGGGTACTTATTTTTAAAAATAAATCATTCCGCTTGAAATCACTTGATTGGCACGACACCGATTGTAATGGAATATGAATCCTAAATGCACGTTTAAACAGGACGGCAGCCCGTCAATGTGCTCCTAGGTAATTTTGGTCATTGATGCTCTAGCACCTAGCGAAACCGCAATCATGCATCTTTCACGCAGAATGATCATGACACATAGAATCTTTGTACAAGTATTAAAGATCAGTTCGTTTAAATGCACACAGTAAAACCAGAAAAGATAGGATTAAGCTGGCAACCTATTCTTGAATTTTAACAAATCACTGAGGTATCAACAACAAAAAAAGTGTTAGAATAGTTATGGTCAGCAGTTTTCACCGTCCTTTACTTCAAACACTTTTCCGTCATTCTCTGGATCACCGAATATGTAATTGGTGTCGTCCACTTCTACTCCCGGACCTCTCAATTGCAGCGTCAGTATGTTGCTACTGCCCTCCGTGGCTAATACGATATGTTTACCATTGGACATTATTTCGCACGCGGTTATGTTGGACCTTGGAGTGTATACGGCTACCAAACTCCCTAAAGTGTCACAAACCTAGTTAAAAAAATCAAAAATTGCGATTAATACCTTTCTGAAGATTCCAAACTCGTATCGATTTGTCCCTTCCTTGCCGGTCACTTGATAGGCAAAAGACTCCTGTGGGATCTAGTCTGAGTGAACTGACTGGTGCTGTGTGCCCGCACAAAGACCATCTGCAGTTTCCTGTTGGAAGATGTATTATGATAAAAGGAACGCACCTGCTTCCATGGAACTGTTAATTTAGAATATTTAGATAAATGGCAAAAGTTTCGTACAACCCTGTGTGGGAACGGGGAAAGAATACTCCCACTGCAGAAGTGCACTGCATGCGGTAAGAGTCCGCTAATCAAACGCATGCCTCGTTGGCTCAAACGTGAATAATCATAATAACGTTTAGACGTATGGGGAAGGTTTTGAGTTATTAATTTCATCATAATAACTACCGGGATAATCCCTCCTTAATTCCATTACTAATTAAATAACGCCTACAAAATGGTTTCATATTAACGATAACGGCCATCTTTAATCACTGAACCGTGTTTTCATTTTTGCTCTAATATTTCCATTCGTTTCCTATGGAGTACGACCGTTGTATTATTATTATTTTCTAAATACCACTATTATTAACCCGAGGTAGGTTAAAATGTGTGTTTTTGGAAGGATTTGATCCGTAATTTCTTTCAGGGTTCAAGATCTTGTTAATTAACGCAGTCGAGCGTGGATCGGAATACAAGAATTTTGGCTCCTCAAGCCATCGTCTTCAAGGACCGAGTGGATTCACTTTGGTTTTTCTTTGTTTTAGATTGAATTGCTGGAAGCGTTGGAACTATAAGCCGGCTAATGGTTGATTAAAGGTAAGACGGTTATGATTATTTTATGGGATACTTGTACTTTCATTTTATCGGCGCCGTTTTGTCTTAAATTTCCGTTTTAAAGCCGTGGGGATATTGAACCTTGTCTGGGGAGACCAACCCCTTCACTTCAGATGGTTTAAAGAACGTCTGGATGTGGTAGCGCGCAGCTTTATCATAGTGAGAAAAAATTGGGGCATGGTGTTAAAGCAGATTGACACAACTTTTAAGTTGTTTTGAGTTCACAACAGAATTAAGTACCCAACAGCAATTTGCAAGGGTGCTATAATAATTGCGGGTAGATAACTGAATCTAACGCAACTTACGGTTTCAGTCACCACTTACCTGTAATTAGATCCCAAACGAGAATTCTTGCGTCCACTAAACCGGATATTACGCAACTTACTTGCGAACTAATTTCTAAGGATACGGTACTACACGAAGGTTTCCATTTTTTAAATAACGTTCCACTTTGCAAATCATAAACGACTATAAAATTTGGGTTTGGTTCATCAATTTCGTGGCATACGCAACAGACGTAATTCCCTGAAAATCGACGTGATACCTTTACGTAACATGCGGATACGGACTTACCTTCATGAGTGATCGCAGCTAACGATGTGTTGAAATCGTGATGGGGTATCCTGAGATCGTACTGTAACTTTTTGGATGTTAAATTCCAGACCAGTAAAGGAAACGGTTTCTGAACTTCGTCTCCGCATACAAGTACCCTAGTGGAATTTGGAAACAATTACCAAAATTTACAAAGCAATAACTACCTGCCATCGCCGGACACGAGAAGTGAGTTAAGGAAACGGTCCTCCCCAACTTTAAACGTGGCAACGCAGTCCCCTAAAATTCGACGGGTTAGTGCCTCTTCGAGCGAAATGGAACCTTACCTGTTTCTAAATTCATTAGATTAACGTACATTCGGTTTCTACTAAGTGCGACTAAATGGGATTGGTCGTTCAACCCAAAGTAAGGCATCTTCTGGTTCATAACACCTTTTAATTTTGTTATAAAGGTGCCTGAATCTAAATTATATATTTTTAATTCTCTTCTACATAAGACAATACACTTTGCTTGGTCTATAGGAATAAGATTTATCGGATGAGTTATTCCCTTTAAAGTTCTTACTTTATTGGATCTGGAAGATTTAGAAAGTTAAATTTCCCGCACGGAAAACACTTACGTTTGTATATCCCACACACATATTTCTTCTAGATTTGTAGAAACGCTAGCTACAAATTGCTCCGTATCAGGCAGACGTATGATTAAGTTTAAAACTTTATTCTGGCACATGGTAACGGTGTCCGGATCACTTGGGACGTTACTATTTAAAAGCACTAGTGACGTAACCGGAGGATTTCTAGTTATATTGAACACATCAGTAATTTGTTTATTAGCTCCGTTCACTCTTCCTTCTTCCGTTAGATAATTATAAAATTGGGCATAGAATTGACGACCGTCATAGTTAAGAGTAGTGGCAAATTTCTCCAGAAAATCCCTTAAAATTACAACAAATTCGTTTGCCTCAGTTTGCGCCAAGTAGATGTCCTCTAGCAGTTGGAAGCTACTCGATCCGCATACTTTTTCATATATCCATTCCAAATCGTTCAGATATGGCGAATGCGCTAATTTGGTCGGATTGAGTTGATGGTATTGGTAGGGCAACTCGTCCAGTTTTCTTCGATTGTAGCTGGAATAAAAATATGAAGTAACGCTCTACGTGTGTAAACGACTAATAAGAATCTGGTGCGCAGTAAATTAACAAAGCATGCAACTGAATTCGTCGCCTCTCGAAATGCAGAAGCTTGGATGGAATGTGAGTAAATATACAGCTTGATTGGTCAAACCAGCGAGACTTTTGGTTCTTAGATTGTTTGGACATCCATTGACTTGGTAAGTTAAAAGGCCCTAATCTTAGTAGATCTGTTCAAAATTGTATTATTATAGTGCTTGCAGGGTTTATATATCACTATTTGGAATTGCAATTGCAAAAGCGGCTTTGTGACCGGGACTTGAACTTTTGTGTTTCTGGTGATTGGTTTAGCTTTCATAGCTAAAATGATAGAGAGGAAAAACTATTACATCTGAATTAGGGATGTTTACATAGTATCTGCAATCGATAGAACAGAATAAGTATGCAGGAAACCAATACAGTGTTGCATTGTGATTGGTATACCCATTACATCAACAATCCTCTCCCTACAGTACACCAACCACAATGAGCACCGTTCATATGGTTTTCTACACAAACTTATTCTGTTCTATCAATTTCAGGTACTATGTAAACATATTTAACTCAGATGTAATACACCGATGATGTGCGTGCAAAAATCCTACTGTATCTATGTTTCAATTTTGTGGTGGCATTAACTTCAATTAGAGATGATTAGGATGATATTTATCAATAGATTGGTGTAAGCTCGATTAAAAAACATATGTAAACACAATTAAACTATAACTTTTAGATACTTACTATAAAAGAAAAAAAAAGACATTTTTTAATTGTAAAGCAATCAAACCCATGCAAATTTTAGAATATAACCCAAAAAATATCATACCATTGTCCTAATAATGTGTGCTGTGTGACAAGCCTCGCAGCCAAATTTTTAGGTTTTTCATTCCACCATTTTCCCTAGAAATTATACATTCTGTACAGTACAAGCAATTCAAAGAACAAGTTAATTGTATAAATGCAGTGCTTTACTATATCGAGCTATGTTCATGTGAAATAATGTGTATTTAAATTAACACGTCTGAAAATGCGCCTGTCGTCAACGTTGCGTTCCCACATGACAGACCTATATACATTGCATATACCATGTACATTCCACGTGGGATATTGTATATCCATAGAATGTGGAAAAGTATGTCGCAAATGTCCGATGTATGTGCATGGGATATAAGTTTGGCAGACTTCACATAATATGTCTTTATGTATATGCATGTATATACATCAGACATGCTAATGTATATTGGTATACTGACAACTGGATATATCATGAATATTCCTGTAATATGCAAAAGATGTTCAATAGGATATTCTATGTATGTTGTATACATTCAGAATGGATGTTCTATAGAGATTCCTCTAACATTCGGGAAGTTTACTAGCGTCCATACCAGAGCTGGGCAGTATTCGATTTTGTAAATACTTTTTAGTATTCAAATCCTTTAAAGTATTCAAATACTTTGTAATTAAATACTTTTATGGAAGCAGTATTTGTATTTGTAACTCAAATACTTTCACAAATATTTAGTATTCAAACTTAACCTTCCTTTTTTACCAAAAATCGACTACACCAAAATTTCTCGGGAAAACACTTTTTCTTATTAGTTTGGGTGCGTAGAATCCAAATCAATTCGTACTTTTTCGATCAGACTTCTCAATCAAAAGTTATAGACTAGAAACCAATTTCGAAAAAAAATTCAAAGGGCTGTAACTTTTGAACTAGTAGCCCAATCTTGGAACTGTTTGAAATTATGGATTCTACAGGCCACATTCTATAAGAAAATTTTTTTCCGGGTCGATCTGAGACAATTTTTTTTTCGGGCCTCAAGAAAAGGCAGTGTATATAACCTTCCTTTTTTACCAAAAATCGACTGCACCAAAATTTCTCGGGAAAACACTTTTTCTTATTAATTTTGGTGCGTAGAATCCAAAACAATTCGTACTTTTTCGATCAGACTTCTCAATCAAAAGTTATAGACTAGAAACCAATTTCGAAAGAAAATTCAAAGGGCTGTAACTTTTGAACTAGTAGCCCAATCTTGGAACTGTTTGAAATTATTACTTTTACTCCCCTTAAATTTGTATATAACAATAGAAATATAAAAAAAGCTAACCCCATACAAAGTATAACTTGATTTTTTAAGTAGTATTAAGACTTTTATCTAGTATACTATTTTACATTTTTAATGTATTTGAGTGACAAATATTTGAATACTTTTTACTGTAATCGAATACTTTTCAAAGTATTCGAATACTTTTTATAGTATTCGAATACCTTTGATAGTATTAGAATACTCTTGAAAGTATTCGAATACATTCTAAAGTATTTAAATACTTATTGTTTAAAGTATTTGAATGCTTTTCAATGTATCTGTATCTAGTATTCGCTTGTGCTGGACGTAAAAATATTTAGTATTCAAATACTTTTTGAAAGTATTCTGCCCAGCTCTGGTCTATACCTTCATAAATAAATTCTTTTCACGGAGTGGAGCTTTTTGTTTATTAAGTCTCTTAGTATACAATGGAAAATGTGCTTAAAAAATTATTATTTAACACTGTAGTCTTGAGTCATTTTGATCGTGTTGTTGTTCAACTGCAAAGGAATCGACACCAGTTCCATATAATACGGATGCAAAAAGGTATTGTGACTTTGCGAATTTCTGCACTTAATCGATAAATCCATAAAAATGAATTTATAATTGATACAATACGTAATTTATAAATTCTTTCAAATGAAATGACTTACCATGTAATAATCGTAAAGCATAGTGTTGGCCCAGGTAGTATATTCTTTGTATCTCGTTTTAACAGCTTGAAGAAATGTGTTATCCCTCCATTGTACTCCTAGTACACCTCCTGTTAAAGTCCATTGCAGGAACGGGGCCAGGTGTTTATTTAATCTTGACCACGTTAGACACGCTGGCGCCCAAACAACTGGAAAAATACCTACGTTGACTAAATATGTGGACATGCATGGTTAGTATTGCTTAAAAGTCATTATCAAATAAATTTGATGAGTAGTACGTCGTCGCCTGGAAGCTCTGGAATCCGTGACCAAAATCACAATAATATATCAAACGCGTTTCAACAGCAAAACTGTCATCATCAGCGAACAACTGGCTCAGTGTTGTTCGCTGTACCTACATATTTAATATATTATTGTGGTTTATTGGTGTTTTTATTATGTTCTGTTTAATAAGTTGGAAATTATCGTTTGTGCTGATTGCTAATATACAGGGTGGTGACTTGCGTAACGCATCATAGGGATTTCAATGTAAAATTCATAACAAGCGATTATTGGTTCCCCAAATTATTTTAGAGCAAAAATTGATTAAGGTTTTTTGTAGAAAAAATTTTTTTACGCCAATCAACTGTATTAGTTTACAATTTTTTGCATAATAAAGATGGAAAATTGGAAAAATAAAACCCGAATCTTTTTCAATAATCTGCGATGCCATGGAATTTTCTAAAACAAAAAGATATCCAGTTATCAATTGGCAGCAGTTCGAAATGGATTTTATGATCGACTTCATGGTTACTGTCTTGCAGTTAATGGTGACTTATTCGAACATTTATTGTAAATTGTTATATTAGGAAATCGTTTTTAGTAATTTGCTCTTTCTTTATGTTGAATTCGCTGTTCTAAATATAATACTTTTTGATAGAATTTGATTTGTTTTATAGCAGACATTCCATGGCATGACGGATATTGGCGTAGTTTTGTTTTACAAAATTTCATGGCATCACAGATTATTGAAAAAGATGCGGGTTTTATTTTTCCAATTTTCCGTCTTTTTTATGCAAAAAATTGAAAACTAATACGGTTGATTGACGTAAAAAATTTTTTCCTACAAAAAACCTAACTCTAAATTAATTTGGGGAGCCAATAATCGCATGTTATGAATTTTACATTGAAATCCCTATGATGCGTTACGCAAGTCACCACCCTGTATATGTACTATCCACCGACGATGTGGACTGGTTTTGAAAGTGTGTACATACCGTAAGTCCCATTGTTGTGGAAACAATCATCGTACGCCAGTAAATCGATCATTTCCGAATCGGTAATACCATCTTTTGTGCAAGTCATAAGGGCAAGAGCATGTTGGACTTGAGTTATTCCTAATATTTTCTCTAATTTCTCTAACATTTGACTAAGTTGATCGATGATATTTCCTTTTGGCACAATTTCGTGTTCCTTCTCAGTATACCAAGATGTTTGCCAAGCTAACACCTACGAATAAGTGTCGGTCACACAGTTCCTTTTTTCGGTACCTACTTTAACGTAGAGAGGTAAAGTGCATTGTTGTACTGAAGTTAGTACACAGTCCTTAATGTGTGAATTAACGCTGTGATTGTACTGCATTACACTCGATAGCAAAATACCGGTCGCTTCTGTCTCATCCAAGGGTGACATTTTAATGAAGTATTTGGCATCTATTTTCCCTTTGATATCCTCAAATATACTACAATCTTCCGCTACAGATAAAATTAATTTGACATTGTCCGGCAATTTATTTGGAAGCCAATCGATTGTGCACGAGTTGTAACATTTTACTTGATCAATTCCATCTATTAAAACTATTAACGGTCGTTGTAGGCAAATTGCGTTTAGTAAAGCTGGAAGAACCTTCGCGTACGTTTCCATATTCTTCAAAACATAAAAATCAAGTTGGGAACCTCGGGGTTGCAAGAACTCACATGTGTTTCGTAACTTTGATGACCATGAGTAAGTATGGAGCATTGGTTGGTTATTGAATGGAGCAGTTGTTGAATTGAACTAGATTGAGCACTGATCCCGACAAACCTAACGATTAGAAATGCCTCCGGTTGCCACGTTAGGCTGCACTGTGCTATTCGGGACAGTAATGTACTTTTTCCGCATCCGACTGGACCGACAATTACCAAAGGGGACGTATTGTCACTTACAATGTACCTAAAAACTGAACTGAAATCCGAGCAATGTTAGTCAAATACCAACTTTTCAATATCGCTCAGCATCTTCTCCCGGTTAATACTACATTGTGCAGCTCTCTGGCAAAATGTCGTCTGCTGAGTTAATTCCTCAAACAATGACGAGTCTATTCCGTAGGTGGGTTTCAGAACGGTTTTGTTATGATGTTCCTCCATAATTGCGTCAATGGATTCGAGCAAATTTTTTTTTAAATAGTCGACGACATGCTCGACGTAGAGCTTGTGCTCCGGAATTTCTTCACTTAGTCCACCACAGACGTATTTAACGGAAATTCGCATTATGTGTCTTTCCAAAAGTTGATTCTGATAAAAAATTATATAGGCAGAATCGTCTCCCAAGAAAACTTACCGCTAGATCTCTTTGTAAATTGTTTAATCTTCTTTTCAGCTCAGCTTCTCGAGGACTCAAGTTTTCGGGCGTCTTCTCAGATGGCGTGTACACCCGATTTAACCATATGCACCGTTTCGCCAGTTCTTGACTCATGAACACTGTGTTGTGCACTTCCTGCAGTAGATGGTATATTATTCACACAAGAAAATGGAGAAAAACGAGTTACCTGCTCTACAACCGTCGTCAAATAGGTGTCTCGTAATTCCTGTGGTAGTATGTTAACAAAAATTGCGAGCATTCGGTCAATTTCACCGCGCCATTCCTCCAACGCTCTTTCCCGTTCTTCTTGCGACGTCTCTTTGAAGCCAGGAATATGTGAAGCTATTGGTTGTAAACGATAACATGGCGGTTGAGCGGCACTGTCTAATTGATACCTGAAACGAATTCCAACAATGGCAATCGAGAAACGGCCACATCTCACCATTTTGACAGTAGCGTTTGAGCAACCTGGCTTTCTGCACTATCTAACGCCATTTTAAAATCGGCACTTTCTATGGTAATTGGTAACAGCGACGTTCCCAGCGAATTATTGAGGAATAAGACGGGAATTATGTACGCGATTTCCATTTGTCCTAAACGCAAACTTAAGGCTTGAAAAGTACAAACAGCGCCTTACTTGTCAGTTCTCCAATGCACAACTCCGGAAATTCATGGTCCTGCTGTTTCTCCAATGGAGTTTTCCAATGCAAATCGACTATATGCAGTTCGTAACCTTTCGATCTACAGTGCGCCCGCAATTCCGGATATATCACATTATGAAGGGACCCTTTCTCCACACAGCAGTCTGAAAATAATCTGTTACAACCGGCGGCAACTTTAACATGTATTCACCTTGAGAATCCGCCGCACATACGTATATAACGATTTTTTGAGTACGCGTAGTAATCTTCGCCTCTGAAATTCTTCCCATGATCAGATTTTGTAGATCTTCCGATAAGCTACAAACTATCGGCGGTAGGTGACTGTGTTCGAAGCCCTTCGGACTGTGAATCCCTGGCGGAGAACTTAACGACATGGAATCTGCTGGAAATGTAAAATTAGAAAATGAGCTTTCGCCCCGGATTTCAATTCTTAACACCGAAACATAGAGACATCCCGTGGACGACAGAGAAACGTACCCGATATACTTGTGGGAGCTACACCTCTTAGCACTTTGGAGAGCGGCGGCTTCTTCCCGTTCATTGCGCTTACTGTTGGTGAAGTGGCAGTGGGCTGTAGAGGTTGCAATGTCGGTTGTCCCGCTGTACTTGGTTCGAGAAGCACTCCGCAGTGTTGTTGTTGAGAGACGTGGTTTAGTAATGCTTGTTGCTTTTCGGATGGTATACTTGTTCGGACGTGATAGCTGCCAGACCTGTAGATAAGTTCAAAAATGCAAAGACTACATTTAACGCTGACTCCGACGATCAATCTTACTTTAACAGTGGCTTTAATAATTAAAAAAAATGCGTTTTGTGTCCCCGTCCATCGAAACCAATTTATGTGGTTTTAAATTACTTTTAAGGGAATTGTCTTAGGGTTTTAGGGTCCGTCTGTCAGGCATTCAGAGTAGATAAGGCTAACTTGATGAGATTTACGTGTCCAGAACTGCAAGGCTTCAAGAAACTGTGAAGTGTTATAGATGTCGTGAATTCGGACATATCAAGTCGAACTGTCCTAAGAAGCTGCTCGACAAGAAGATAATGGACGGCAGGAACATGTTTTGTGCTTTGTCTGGCGCAACTTCGCACATGTGCACGGACACTAATCTCTTCGAAAATGTTCAGTAATGTTTCAGTTGTGAAAATATGACAACAAGGACAATTTGTTGGAAATCTCAATTTGGCTGTGAACGTCAATAATACGAACGGAAGTATGAACTTGAAGGATCTGCCTGAGATTCACACGAATTTGCTTTCAATTCTCAAGATTGTTACCGGTTATCTAAAACAAGCAAGGATGCAGAGTTGTTAATCAAATCGAGGGAATGTTGCTGAAATTTGTTCAACTTGAATAAACCGAATGGAATATTATATGTATCAATGGAGAAAAAAAAATTGGCTGATCTTTGGCACAAGTGTTTAGGCGATCCTTGTCGTAGCAATATGAAGAAGGTTGAAGGCCCAAAGACGTTTCGTAAAAGCTCTAGGTGAGAACTCGCTCAAAAATTTTCTATTTACTGCAAAAATGTATAAAAATTGATATTTTTCGGTCAAATATCTTACTCATGATCAAACTTGGTTCCAATGTTAAGTCATCTAAATTAAATTTTATTAACTATTATATCTTTAGAAGGCGAATCTTTTTCTTGAGAAATCGTGTATAAAAAAACGGCATGTCCCTCATCATAAAAACATTTCATTTCTTCATAGCATCCATCGCCTTTCGCGATTGCTCCATGCCTCCTTTACATATTCTTCCTACGCTTTTTTCTTTACGCATTATTATTATTTATGTTTCTTCTTAACGCAACTCTTTGGTTGCTACTCGTCTCAGTCTTTCAAGTGTGCTCAAACCTACTTTTGGTTTTTTGACGTCCCTACCTATATATTCTTTGCCCTTGCACCTCGCATTTTTCAGGCACCATTTGCCTCCTTTTCACTTCTCTTTCACTCTTTCTAGAGTATTTTTAGCGTTTAATTTCACTTTGGCCGGCTGGCTGGCTGGCTGGCACCAAATGCGAGCCCGTAGAAGAATGCTTGTAGAAAGACGAAGAGTGTACATGTATATACATTTGAATTATTGAACCCATATAACGAATATCTAATGCACCTATCGGAGCCGTGTATTTAGCGACGGGGCTACATTTCGGTCGGCGACATCTGGGCGCCATCCCCGAGCGTGTTATACTAACGTGGTGATTTTTCAGTTTTTTCCTATCTTGTCCTACAGTTTTGTGTAGCAGATCAGTATTCTATTAGTCCACCATCAATAAGATATTGTCGAAGGCTACCACATCCCATTTGTCGGTACCCGTTTTGTGGGATTTCGCTAAAAATCCGGCACAAAATAGTACTCAATTTTCGGGTACTTCTCATAGCTTGAGGCACGAGAAAGAGAGACCGCGATTAAAGCTCTAAGAAATTTTTGGGCGCCCAAAGTCAACTTCCCGCTCGAAGACGCGCGCCTTACAAAAAGTGGTTAATTTCGCCCCTAGGAAAGAAAAACAAAATTCCGCTACGCAGTGTCGGACCAAAACTGTAGAAGAAGATAAGAAAAAACTGAAAAATTCCCAGGTTAATATGACACGCTCGGTGATGGCGCCCAGGTATCGCCGACCCCACATCATGTAACACCCGTCCCTAAAGTTGTTCATTACACGGTCACGAAAGGTACTTACACTCCTCATCTTTCTACAAGCATTCTTCGGTACTTTTAGTATGCTTCACCCACAACTAAAATTCACTTTACGGATTATTTCTTCTATTTTTTCTTCGTTGAGTGCGAGCTGTTAGTTATGTAAGTGGGTGTTTTTGAAATTTTTGATTTTTTATTAAAATTACAATCGAAGATTCATTTCGAAATGGAAGCTCCGTATATAGAAAACAAACGAAGACAATAGCAGATCTAAGCGCAAAGTTCTTTCGTGCACAGACAGACAGACAAACAAACCACCTAATCTAATATTTTCTATTTATTTAATTTTCGACTATGGACTATGGTATGGTGAGACAGTTCTGAGGGTGAACGGTTACACATGGTATAAAAGTTATCGCATTATAAACCATAACGTATGTGATTTATTTCTGTACATTTTAAAATAATTATCTGTTATCACATTTTGTAACAAATTATAATATCGCATATTTTAGGGGTCAGTACTATAAATCATCTTTTGTTTCGTCCTGCCACATTCTAAACGTCTTTGTCACAGGTCACCAAATACGTTCAGCTTTCATATATTTCATTTTTTTCCATAAATACTTTGGAAGAATTATTTCTACTTTGACGCTTCGTTGATTGCCCTTTAGAGCGTAGATATGGTGTACGATAGGGCACCCTTCCGCAACTTGAACCTTTTTCTATATGCTCACCATACCGTAGAGATGATATGACTAAAAGAAATTTGCTAGGGCAAAGATGCATTGTTTCTAAGGTAACAAATATTGCTATAGCGTTGTTCTATTTACAATAATTTGCGCAAAAGGCGATTGCGCTTACAAAACAAACTTGAAAAACTATCCGACGTCATTCTTGGTCATTAAGGGTAAGTGTAACCAACTCGAAAGATGGATTTAAAAAAAAAACCAACGTCCAGCGATATGGAATAATGAATTACGCATGGAGGCATTTGCTGTTCCAATTTCACTTTGCTAATTGTAATAAATTAGTTTTCCAATGTGTCAATGTTGCAAATTCAGGGTAATGACGTCATTGAATAGGAAGCTAAGGCCGATTGTCGAAAAATGTGTGACTTTCAAGGGCCAAAATGAACTCATCTCAGGGGTTAATTAGTTTAAGATAACATGCAGCGTAGAGTGCACTCTATAGAGTGTAGGGGTGGAATTTGGCACAACAAAGTTTTCTAATAAAAATGAACTAAAAAGTATACGTACTCTTCAGATCTTTGGGACATATTATCCTTATCTTTGTGAGCCTGGCCGCTGCTGCAAGAGTTGCCCATGGTGATTTCGGAATATCTTTCTTCACTTTCTCTTGATAAAATCCAAAAGCATTTTGTACTTCACATTCATCTTACTCTTACTTCTATGGCGATGCATTATACTTCTTTAACCGCACAATAGATTTTATTCATAATAAATTTGAAGGGAGATTGAATAAGTGAACCTCGCACATTTTAAAGAATTTTGTAATACAACTATTTAATCCGTTTAAAAAGATACGCGCCACAAATTATTTTAATAAACATTTTTAAAAATATTTCGTTTAAAATTAGATTCAAAAATTATGTGACATTCCTATCGTGCGCTACTTATTTCTAGGACACATTGAAAGATTTTATTGCCAGTAATTGAATAAATTGTTTCTTCGCGATGTTTATAAATTTATAACTACGTCCACTATTGTTATTTAAAATAATAGGTATCTTATTAGTAAGTATTTTGAGATACACGGCACGGATACATATCACGCACGATAATCACGGGTGTAATAATCAATGTTGGCAGACTATACGGGCACGCGCGTCTAAAATGACGTCAAAGGACGCTTTACAGAGGCGGCACTTGTAAAATTTTTTTTAATACGCTCAAAAAACACTTATTTAGCCGTTTGGATCATTACGGGAAAGTGTAAATGCGACTTATTTATTTTAGAAAATTTATTGCCGTATTTTTCGTTTAATTTCTAAATAAACTATCTATAGCTGAACTAAATTTTATTTTTATCCGGGCGCAACATTTTTAAACAAATTGACATAGGTTAGTGCTAATTCACTTACTCCAATGTGATAATAGTCACGCATGAATAATATATTGGCGAAAAATTAATTCCGAAAGGATGATATAGTTATCAGTAAGGAGGTCAACCAGGCCGTCCTTCATATGTTACACATTGGCGTCAAAATTTTAATTGTGCGCTATAATATTTTTATTGAGTTCTGGAATTGCGAAACGACGACATACTCGCCTTCGCGTAAACGACAATCGCCAAAGATTCATCCACAGATAATTAACATTTAGACAAAAGGCACATGTCTTAACATAACGATAATTAAAGTTTCCTTAAATAATGTTAAAGGTTAAATTAATAGCGTCTTTCTCATTCAGCCTTATTAAGATACCATTAAGGCAGGTAATAAAATTATTTTATAGTACTCGTGCATTGAAGTTATATTACTCGTTTAGAAATGTACACGAAGGTCTTGATTAATTTATGGTTAATGTGTTTTCAACTTTACTTTATTGAAAACAAGCCGATAGCAAAAGGTCTGTGTCTCCAGCCGCCCGTACTAAAAACAGTAGTTATGTTTTAAGATATTGTTCCCATTTACTTCCAAAATAAAGAGCTAGCTGGAGAGGCTGTCACCCTATCCCATTTTTGAAACTCCAATCTAAAAATTTGCTAAAGAATCCACCTGCAAAATTTCTTCGTTTTCGAGATATCGTGCTAACGGACAGACGGACCGAGAAAATATGAACTCGCTAGCGGCTAGAAGGTCGTTAATAAAGTGAATCAAAATAAAATCTTCCACTATATAAGAGCAAAGCACACAAGAAATCTTTGCTTCATTAACCCAATCGCTCTTCTCATTGTCTAAATCATTATATATCCCACAGAATACGTCAAATCGACTACAGTAGCCGATCTAATGGCGAATAATGTTGATATTCTCACCTACTGCTATTCGCATCCACCAAAATTCGTCCCCGAAACATTCTCACCTGGAAGATTCGTCCCCAAAAGATAGGCCTTCGGAATATTCGCTCCGGAAAATTTGCCCCAGGAAAACTCACTCCCGCGTACCGGAAACTGGCTCTAAGGAAAATTCACGTTTAGGAAAGTTCGAACATCTCACACAACAAGATACTGCCGGGAAATTGTCCAAAGGGAAATCTTCTGTAAGCAAATAGTCCGGTGGTAAGTTTTCTTGGAGCCAAATATTCCGCACGGTGATTTCCGTCTGGGAATGAATTTTCTGGGGGCGAACGTTCAGAAAGCGAATCTCTCTGGGAGGGAAATTATAAGGGGGAAAGTACCGCACACGGGATTGGAGACGTGTCATACGTGATGGTATAAACTTCAGAACTAATAGTAAAGGCCGATTATTCCTTGGCGACGCGTTGCGGTAAAACGTTCCTTCCAAAAGTTCCTATGTTTTCAAATGCAGCAGTTCTCACCAAGCGACGCATCACAACCCACATGGTTCCAGAAGCGTTGTTGGCCTCTTGTACATGTAAAGGACCTACGGTGGGAAAATCTCAAATAATAATAATAATACCTACACATAAATTGCAGTCTTTAAATTCATTAATTCAAGAAAGAGCTAAATGTCCTTTGGTGCTTTCCATATATAGAGACTACTGAAATAGTTAGGGAGGCTTTGAAGCACTCTCTAGAAAGCAAATTGTAAGGCTTCTTTAGTGAGAGACCTGTTTACGACCTTATTTAGAACACTAAGAACAGTTTTTTGGGTTTTCCAGTGCCTTCTGGGCATTAATCTAGAGCATCTTCTTCCGCCAGCGCTTTCCATACTTTTTCCAGAGCTTTCGATGTTAATATTTACTCCGAATTAGGTTTTCCTGGAGTTTTCCTAATTTGTAAAGTAAATACCGGAGTAGTATACAACAACTTAAGACCTTCTGCAGAGACACCTCTAAAAAGCATTATGCGGGTCACTGTAATTGGGCGCAAGCCTGTTGAGGGTCCAGAACAAGAGATGGATAATAAATAGATATGATTCTAGGTAATGAACATAATTATTTGGCGGAGCATTAAATTTTTTAGAAAGCGCTAAAAGACTTTGGAAAACCTTATAAACACTTTCTACAGTAATCGAAGGTTTTAGAGCCTCCCAGGAGTTTACTTTGAAACGCCTTTCGTACTACCACAGTTGCCTAGACCGTTGTCAGTACTCTTTAGGAGTCCACAGGTTTCGAAAGGGACAGGGATGACTCTAGGTCCCTTTAAACAAGTTTAATAGTTATGTTAGAGCGTATTGTATAAATAAACAATGCATCATTGTATAAATTATGAAATTACGCAAAATTGGTGGTGAAGTGCATTAATGTACCAAGGTGGATGGAGTTTTTGTCTCAAATTAATCTCTACATTAATTTCCCAAAATAGTTCCCATTTCTGCTGGAACACCCTGTACATGTGGCAACGTATAAAACTAAATCAATGTTGGCAATAATTATGTTGGTAGTATAATTTGTTTGAATTTGAGGTTAGTTTTGTTTTTGGCGCTTTGCCTGATATTTGTGTATCCTTATCGGATAAGGCTTATCCTGTATTAATAATTTGATTGATCAGTGAATAATCGTGTTGGATGTGTTAGTGAGAACCTGAATATCAGATAAACCATGGCCTCACGTAAACGAAAACCCTTATCCCAACTTAGTCTTGAAGAACAGGAAAAACGCAAGAGAAACTCAGAGGCCATTTTTACAGAGGGGACTGATGTAATCTAATTTGTTTGTACCTAAAATGTAGCCTTCTTATGGTTATTTCGTTGCAGACGAGAGCTGGCACAATCTCGCGTATGGTCCTAAAGAACTTCATGTGTCACGCTCATTTAGAGGTAGTATTCGATCAGAACATTAATTATTTAATTGGACGCAATGGTAGTGGTAAAAGTGCCATATTAACCTCGTTAGTCATCGGACTTGGAGGTAAAGCATCATTTACAAACCGTGGGTCTAGCGTTAAAGGTACCATTTTAATACTTTTCTCGATTCACACTGCACATATTTTTTGCTAGGTTTTATTAAGGCAGGTAAAAATTCAGCGTCCGTAGAGGTTACACTACGCAATGCAGGACCTTTAGCATACAAATACAATGACTACGGAGACGAAATTACGATCGTACGAAATTTTACAGCTGCCGGTAACAGTAGCTACAAGATCAAATCGGCGACGGGTATGCTTATTTTAGCTCGAATCTTTAATTGAGTATACGCTTGCAGGGGAAGTAATCTCAACGCAAGTTAAAGAAATACATCGCGTCTGCTCTTATCTTAATATCCAAGTCGACAATCCGATATGTTTGCTAAACCAAGATACGTCGAGAAATTTTCTGAACTCCAAAGATCCGCGACAGAAGTTTCTATTGTTTATGAGGGCGACACGTCTCGAAGCACTGTGGGAGGAATATGTTAAGATATTGACCAGCAAGAAAGATGCCGATCGCATGTTTAAGGAGAAGGAGAAGGTTTGTTGCTGCGGTTAGACTGCATCATAATTGGTTTCTTTTTTTTAAGCTACACAGTGAGCTTCAGCAGGAACTGTCAGTTTTGAAGAGGAAAATGATCGATCAGAAGTCGGTATGCGCACTTAAGCAGCAAGTTAAGGTGTTGCAGACAGAAATTTTGTGGGCTAAGGTGAGGGTTTATTCTATTGGTTCTTTTTGTGGTTCTCAACTGAGAAAGTTCGACTTCCTTAGACCTTCCTAGTAGGTAATACACACCACCACAAAAATAAATGTTCTTGCTAGTATAACAAACAATACAGACCTTGCTTCTGATAGTTTTCTAATAAAAACATTAATAAAATTACAAAAGAAAAATGGGGGAAATTGATTAATGATAAAACTAAGCAGGTAGGTAATATACGGTCATGGAATTTAGATAATCGTCGGGAATAACGATGTTGATTTTATTAAAAGAGATGGTTTTTGGTTTCAAAAGGCATTGTTAGCCTTAATTTTTTCTTACAGGATTCTTTGTATTTGATTTTGTTTTCGGCTCTTGCATGTATGTATAAGAGTTTTAAGTCATGTTAGAATTTTTTGTTGTTGTGTGGGAAAACAAAACTAAAGTGCGTAATTGGAGCTGTATATCATTGCACACAGCAATATACAGGGAGCTTTAGTTAAACGTTTCTGGGAAAGTAAAATAGGTAGGTTTTTGAAAATTTGTACTTAGGAGTTACGCTGAAGGCCGAATCGATGTAAAATATTTTCAAAATGGCCGCACTTCCGGAAACGCCGGAAGTAGATAGTAACTTCGTTATTTTAAATAGCAACCCCAATTTTTTTTGGGTTTTTGGATTCTACGTGAAATTTCAGTTCTTTGTATACCCATATGTCGATATCTGCCATTTATGGTTTTTAAGTTATTTTGACTTTAAGAAAAACAATGGCGGATGCAGATGGTACCTTGATTATTGATTATTTGAAAACGGTTGTAGTCATGGCAACCTATTTTTATCAGTGCATATAAAATGAATACAGCTTTCTTTTAGTGTACTTAAAAAAAAAGTTAAGTTGCGTAAGACCGCCCCTATGGAGATCCAAATTTATGAAACTTCAAAGACTAAAAACTCAGTTTTTTTAAATGGAATTTTCTTAATATTGCATGAGATACAGAATCGAAATGGGCATATTTTGACAATACATGTTCCTATAGCTATCTTTAACAGTTTCTGACTTATTCCCATTTTATTGAATTGACACTATTTTTTTCGAATTTTCTTTTTAGTAGTCGGCCATCATTTTATAACAATTGAATTTTAAACAATTCTAGTGACAGTGAATCCGTCACCTACTGTTATGGGTTAACATAAGTTTTTCAAAAATCAAAAAATGACTCGCAGTGGTTTCACCTATTTTTGAATTTAATTGTTATTTATGGTGAAATGGACAGAATCGCGGCACATGCTTGCCGTACATTCATTCGAACACTGGAATGAAATTGTATGAATTTTGGAAATGTTGTTTCCCCCAAATGCCCTACAAACCGTTGAAGCACAAGTGATACAAAGCTCTACAAGAGAATATTTAAGAAAATGAATTGAATTGTAAATGCAAGATTAACAAAATAAATTCAATGTAAAATTTAAAAAACTTCGTTGAAACATTTTTTGTATGGAATTGTTGCTAGAACAGATATCGCATTACCTCTTTGAATTTTTAGACTTATACGTTGTTTAAGAAATTAAGTTGAACGACTCTGTCTAGATTTCTCAAAAATTTTCCGTCCTATATCCTTAATAAATGACTTATTTATTAATGAATTATTTAGATTAGAATCAATGATATTAAAGAATCCTTTTCTTGATTTGTTTAAAATTCGATTGTTATAAAATCATGGCCAACTACTAAAATGAAAATGCAAAAAAAATGGCATCAATTCAATGAAATGGGAATAAATCAGAAAATGTTAAAGATAGCTATAGGAACATGTAATATCAAAATATTCCAATTTCGATTCTCTATCTCATGCAATAGGAAGAACATGGTCATTCCATTTAAAAAAACTGAGTTTTTGGACTTTGAAGTTTCTTAAATTTGAATCTTCATAGGTGCGGTTGTACGCAACTTAACTTTTAAGTACACTAAAAGAAAGCCCTATTCATTCTCTATGCACTGATAAAAATGGGTTGCCATGACTGTAACCGTTTTCAAGTAATCAATTATCAAGGTACCATCTGCATCCGCCATTTTTTTTCATAAAGTCAAAATAACTTAAAAACCATAAATGGCAGATATGGACATGTGGGTATCAAAAGAACTGAAATTTTACGTAGAATCCAAAAATGCAATAAAAAATAGGGGTTGCCATTTAATATAACGAAGTTACTATCTACTTCCGGTGTTTCTGGAAGGGTGGCCATTTTGAAAATATTTTACATCGATTCGGTCTTCAGAGTAACTCCTAAGTACAAATTTTCAAAAACCTACCTATTTTACTTTCCCAGAAACGTTTAACTAAAGCTCCCAAAAAAACACCCTGTATATATTTTTGAATTACTATGTATATAAATATTTGCAATATCAAACGTTATAGTGAATAGGTACATTTTTCATTTATAATTTAAATTTAAGCGAAAGATTCTTCCGTCGTTTCGTTTCCATGGAGACAGTATTGTTTTCTTCATTTTATTTCGCGCTCCGCGTCTCATTTTTAACCTTCATCTACTCTTACTGCTAGGGAGAGATATTTGCGCATGTGGTTTTTATGAAATTTATATATTGTGCTTTACTGATTAAACACACGTCTAAAAAATATTCTTTGTCCAATTGCTTGTGCAACAGCTTTATTAATTGTTTTAATAAGAAAAAATATATATATATGAATTTATTGAGACGATCTATCAAGGATTAGGAGAAAGGCCGATGATCAAAATAAGAGAATAGATTCCTCTGCTTTCAATGTTGATTATTATTATTATTTTCAGGTTCAAGATGCTGAAATAGCAAGAAACAGCGAACAAGAGACTGTAAATAAGCTGAGAGAGCAAGAGACACAGATCGTAGCAGGCATAGGGAATGAGGACAGAATTCTAATGGAGTATCAGCAACAAATTTCGTAAGATTCGCCAACACAATTTGTTTGTATCATGATTTTTTTTTCTGTAATTAGGAATTTACAAAATCTCATATTAACACTACAGCACTCGATCGAAGAACAAAACGAACCACAAAGCATTTTAGTTCGCATCTTAGGCGAATTGAAAGAAACTCTGACCGACAAACGTCGAGAGAAACGAATAGTTATGAAAGATATCGCGGTGAAGACCGGAAATTGTAATATTCTCGAGCAGGAAATTAACAACTTTAACGAAAAGTGAGTTGCCCTCTGCGATTTTGGGTTAATTTTCTGTTTAGTTACGATCAGATAGAACAAGAAAAGGCGAAACGGGCGGAGGAAATGGCGACGCTTGAGGAGAAAATTAGGAGTATTGAAGGTCTATTGGAAACGTCCAAAAATGACCAGTATCAAATGAGGAATTCGGTTAATCGCGCGCAGGAAGAGGAGCGTAATGTGTTAATGGAAATGCGGGGAATCGATTCTGAAATTGGTTAGTAAGATATTTTACTGTGTATTCTCTTCTATAAAATGTCACTTTTTGTTTGGGTCCTCCTCGAATTTGTGTCAATATTGTTATATAAAGTCTATAGTAAAGATGGGTCCGTCCTATACGAGGTAAATTTCAATTTTTTTTAAGGTTAAATGTGGTTGTTAATTTCGATTAAACACAAATTCGATCATATTATTTAAATGTGAAGTAAATATTGATTTGTATGAGAAATATGATGGTTAATTTTGTTTAAATAATCGCCTTGTATTTTAATTGATTTATTGGTCGTTTACGTTAAGAAAGTTTAGGGAAATCTGGAAATAATTGCGTCTTCCTATCGTTCGCTCGTTACAGCCTCGTAAAATCGAATTTATTTAAAGATAAACACGTGTTCGTCGAGTGGGGGACGTCGGCGGTCTTTCTCTTGAAATTTTGCTGGTGTCTAAAGGGAATTTGAGTCGTGAATATTGAGCAAAATGATAAAGAAGTGGGATCGGAAGGAATAGGGAAGAATGTTTTAAATAGGCGTTAAACGGGGCTTTCTGGTGAAAGACAGTCAGTCTTGGTGGTTGTAAAGTTTTTGTTTGCTTTACTCTGGAACTTAGAGATTTTTGACAATAAATTTAAACAAAATTGTAATTGTTGTATGTATTTTAGATAAAACTCAAACACGTCTAAATGCCTTTAAGGCAAACTCGGATGTATTATCACTGTACGGCAGTGATATGCCTCGTATTGTGCAAGCCATAAAACAAGCTGAATCTCAGTTTACTCATGTGCCACGAGGACCACTAGGTAATCCTATTAATTTTATCGGAAACCTTGCACCATATGACTAATTTATTCGTAGGGTCATACATAACTTTGAAAGACAAAAAATGGGCGGTCGCAGTTGAAGGATTTTTGACTACCGGCCTGCTGCGTGCTTTTGCCGTGGATAATAAAAGAGATAATGAGCTATTAATGAAAATTCTACAGAGAACTTGCTCCGGTGGTCAAAAACCGATGGTTATCACCGGGAAATTCTTTTTTCAGGTAACTAAGGAACTAGTACTTCGTAAACTGACCGTTTTGTAGGTACACGATGTCCGCCCAAATTTAGTGAGGCCAGTAGACGGGTGCCTAAGTGTTTTTAGCGCCTTGGAGATATCCGATCCGGTGGTGACTAACTGCCTAATCGACCAGGTCAGTCTAGAAAGCGTTCTACTTATTCCCGATACGAATACAGCGATAAATCTAATGTCTAATCAAAGTCACGTGCCGCAAAATTGCCGACAAGGTATTACAATGAAAGGGGACAAATATTATCCAGATCCTAATTATAAGACTTACGCGTCCCGATACCATACCGCTCAGTATTTACAAGTGAGCACTGCCGATGTGATACAGTAAGTAATTTTGTTTTCGTTGTTTATTTTTTAATGACCGAAAAATAGCCCGAATTGCTTACATTAAAATTTTTGCTGTGTGAGCTGTGGCCCCATCCTGCTGAAACCATGACATTGACTAAACAAAATCTCTGTTTTAAAAAGATCCGTCTTTTCTGCCTCGCCATGTATTTAGAGATTTTAGTGTTGTAGAAAGATTGACAGTAACCTTCCCACTATTACTTAATTTAAATTATGGTCCTTCTTTTTATCCTTCATTTGTCAAACCCAGGTATGTGTCATGACATAATAAGCTATTCTGTTAACAAGACAATCATTCAAGATTATCGCCTCCTATGATTATTATATTAAGTGTGACGTCACTGGTGGGCGGTGATTGGTGAACGTTTCTAAAGAATTCAAATAGAAATTTCCATAAAAAAATTTGAATCGTTAGTTTAATGCTTTTTTGGTATAAATAAGGTTGATTGTGCTAATATCTATAGTTGAAACTCATTCACAGACAGAGAAATCGATTTATTTATATAAAATTATTTATAAATGTTCACAGGAACTAAGACTACTAACGCTAAAGTAAATTTATAAGTCTTTGAGTTATAAAAATTCAATACATATTTATCTTTCCCGTTACTTATCACTTCGACATCGAGATTAAGTCTGAGACTAAACACAGTTCAGTTGCGTTTATAGCATACATTAAACCTGGCCTTTTAAAAATCACTAGGCAATCCGAATTGCAATTCTTGCTTTATTGTCCATCTGATTACAGGCAATTGGAGAACCATATAATGGTCCTTCAGGACAAGAAAAAAACCATGCAATCTCAGCTCCAGACAGTGAAACGGGATTGCTCGGAACAAAGTAGGAGTGCGAAAGATCTAGAGGTGAAAGTGAACAAATTGGGCACGGCCCTGCTCCACCTGAAACGAAAACTGAGCGATTTGCAGGGCTCCGACGAACCCGACGTCGCGAACATCACCATGCTCGTAAGGTCAAGCGAAACGTCTCGCCGTCGTATTATCGTAGCGTACATTTTCAGAAAAACGAATTGGCGGAACTCAAGAGGGCGGTCGAGGCGAGAAGCGAGGTTGAAAGTAAAATTCAAGCGGATCTGGCGGAGCTTCAAACGAAAATTGAGAAAAAAGAGGAGAAGCTCGAAAAAATTAAGCATATCGTTCGAGGGTACGAAGATAGAATGGATCCGTTAAATGTATGAGTGGAGTAGGTGTAATAGTGTGCTAAACGCGATTTTTTAGTTGCAAATACGTGAAAAGCACGCACAAGTGAAGGAGTTTGAGGTTAACAAAAGATTCGCTAATAATCGCTTGGCTGAGTGTAGATCACAATTGCGGCAGGCCAGAGCTGTTTTAGATGAGAAACAGAAACTGGTGCAGTTGAAAGCGACTGAAGCTGGTGAACTTGGATCTAGACCTTCAAAAATAAGGTATAAAGAGTAAGTTTGTTTTCGGCTTCTGTCCGTAATACCTCTTTCTTCGGGAACGATTATCTGAATTATGTTTTACCAAATGCTTCTGCAATTTCCCACATTTACACTCCACTGTCTACTGTAAGGGAATTGCTTTAAAAAAGCTAACAAATCCATTTGCATGCTAAAGGCTTTGATTAAAAAATATATAGATTTACGGTTCTTATGGACACGTTAGAACAGTATATTTTAGTTAGTGGACATGGACACCAGGCGGCCATAACCATTAACCACCACCAGCTCTTCCACTTAACCTTGTTACCACATATACAGGGTGCCCATTATGTATCGAATATAGTGTATATTCTCGGTAAATATCGAATGTATACAAAATTTTTCTACATGAAAGTTGTTTAACATCTTAATTCCTATAATAAGGCAGCATTCCATTGTTTTTATCATGTATTTGTGACTGTTATAAATCAATTTTCGGTAGTTAAAATGAAAGTAAAATTTTTAAAATGGTCCACCAGTAGGCCTTGGATAATCTCTTGTTTTTATTAGTCTTGACAGTTTGTATTTGAAATTGTATCTTGTGTTTCCATATGTTTATAAATGAAAAGGGTTTAATTTGTAAACAGTACGGTGAAATTATAAAACCCTGTAACGGTTGTCCTGTTGAACTATTGTTTTTTTTGTGTGCAATGATATGATATAGACCTTTATTGCACGACTTAGGATTTTAGAACCTTGAAAAATAGATTCCCACATACAGTCTAAATCTATTGTTTCATAGATGGCGATACTGTCATGGGTTTAAGTTTTCAATAATGTTCCATGGGTTTGAATCTTAGACCACAAAATGTTATGTAGGCAACACACAATACATTTCAATCGTGATCCATATGAACGGTACTTCTTTAGTAGTCTGTATTCAAAGCTAAAAGGCAAGGTCAATCCAGAAACTATTGTGGTTTCTTGATGTTTGTGTTACAAGGTTATAAAAATTCTTAATTTCCAGGACCGTACCCGTCGCACTAAAAGAGTTAAGCGATACCGAAAGACACATAAGACGAATCGAATCTAATCTAGAATCGTACGATGTTACTAAGAAAAAGTATGAAGCGTGCAAAGATCAGAATAAGCAAGCGTCCGAATTTATAAAATGCGTCAGATGCGATGTGCAACTGTTAAAGGCGGCAGTAGAAAATTGCCTTACGTGTTACAGTCAAACGGAAGACTATTTCGTTACCTTCATACAGCACGCCTTCGAGGAAGTCCTGCAACTTCGACAGTTCCAAGTATGCGTCGTACAGTTTTGTTTAATCGATTGTCACACACGTTTTTTTTAGGGATCGTTAAAAATAAATATGGGCGAAAAGAAGTTGGAGCTTGTCGTTATTCCGCAGCAGGGTTCTCAGGGGCATACGACAACCTCAAATTTGTCCGGCGGGGAGAGATCCTTCTCGACAGTCGCATTTCTTTATTCTCTATGGCAGTGTATGGATTTTCCATTCTATTTCTTGGATGAGTTTGATGTGTTTATGGTTTGTATTTGTATTAGTTGTTTATTTACGTTGACACCTTGATTTTTAGGATAAGGTTAATAGGACAAAAGTTATGGAAATATTGTTGTATCACGCGAAGAAACATAAAGACATGCAATTTGTCTTTTTAACACCTCAAGACATATCGTTTGTTAATGATCCATTGGTTGCTATTCACAGATTGCAAGATCCTGAAAGAGGAATGATCCAATAATTACAGTTACCATTTGCATATATTTTGTTACTCGTTTTTGCGTTTGTTTCAACTTACGATAATAGCGTTGTTAAATCATCGTATTTATGATTGTAAACACTATTGCATACATTAAATTAGTTGTAAAAGAAACTTTCCTTAAGTGAAGTTGATCAATATTATATGAGTCGTCTAATTCGAAGATATTGTGACTCTCCAGCCTTTTGAAACATTGTAATGTACTCTAAAAAATGGATTTCAGTAGTGATTTTGACTTCATTCACTAAACAGGTTTAGTATGTACCTCAGAGGCGTATTATGTGATATGGGTAGAAACTGCAGCCTTTTTAATCTTTTTAAAGATGAGGTTTTAGAAAACAATGAATTCACAGGATATTCTCTATATAATTCTGAATATGCTCAAGTAATGTGGATAGGTTCATGTAATCGGAAAGGAATATTCCTAGAATATAAGAATAATTTGTGTATATGCCATAAATGTTCTGTGGGCGCGGACATACAGATTTTCTAAAAATATTCTGTGTACACCTATATATTCATAGTCTGTTTTGAGAATATATAAATATATTCCTACAGGCATTATTCTCAGAATATTTTTAGTGTATATTGAGCCATCTGGATTAGGACATTTACAATTGGTCCTGCGCAACTCTGAGCAAGACACAGCAGACCATGCAATGAAGTGAGATTAACAAAAGGTAGGTACAACAAGTAAGTGCTAATTTCTTGCTTTAATTATGTTATAATTGGAGCAGTTAATTAGTAGCACAATTTGTCTCTACACTAGCACAAGGGATGTCTAGTATATTATAACAGGCTATACGTTTGATTTTCTTTAATCACATTAGATACATACTTCTAAAGAAAATTTCAATTTATTCACTTAATAGCCACGTCTCACTCAATTTTCATTAAAGGGCAGTTGAAAATGTGCAATCCCTTGTAGGATTTGTAAAGTAATTGTACTTCAATGATCCAGTATTGGGAATTGTCTTTTGTTTAAGTAATTGCTACGCGTGCGCCATCTCTCTGGTTATCGCTACACTTCCGATATTATTTTTTTGTAATAGTTGAACAAGTTCCAATGAGATGACGCCACGTGCTTATCAACCTTCTAAAGAAAATTTCAATTTATTCACTTAATAGCCACGTCCCACCCAATTTTCATTAAAGGGCAGTTCAAAATGTGCAATCTCTTGTAGGATCTGTTGATCAATTGTACTTCAATTATCCGAAAGAAAATTCAAAGGGCTGTAAGTTTTGATCCAGTAGCCCAATCTTGGAACTGTTTGAGATTATGGATTCTACAGGCCACATTCTATAAGAAAATGTTTTTTCCCGGTCGATCTGAGACAATTTATTTTTCGTGGCAAAAAAAAGGCAGTGTTTAACCTTCCTTTTTTTTTACCAAAAATCGACTGCACCAAAATTTCTCGGGAAAACACTTTTTCTTATTAATTTTGGTGCGTAGAATCCAAAACAATTCGTACTTTTTCGCTTAGACTTTTCAATCAAAAGTTACAGACTAGAAACCAATTTCGAAAGAAAATTTAAAGGGCTGTAACTTTTGATTTAGTAGCCCAATCTTGGAACTGTTTGAAATTATGGATTCTACAGGCCACATTCTATAAGAAAATGTTTTTTCCCGGTCGATCTGAGACAATTTTCGCTACACTTTTCCAAATTATTTTCTTGTAATAGTTGAACAAGTTCCAATGAGATGACGCCACGTGCGTAATGACCTTCTAAAAAAATTTCAATTTATTCACTTAATAGCCACGTCCCACTCAATTTTCCTTAAAGGGCAGTTGAAAATATGCAATCTCTTGTAGGATTTGTAGAGCAATTGTACTTCATTGATCCAGTATTTTGAATTGTCTTTTGTTTAAGTAATCGCTATGCGTGCGCCATCTCTCTGGTAATCGCTACACTTTTCCGAATTATTTCTTGTAATAGTTGAACAAGTTCCAATGAGATGACGCCACGTGACTTCAATTATCCGAAAGAAAATTCAAAGGGCTGTAACTTTTGATCCGGTAGCCCAATCTTGGAACTGTTTGAAATTATGGATTCTACAGGCCACATTCTATAAGAAAATTTTTTCCGGGTCGATCTGAGACAATTTTTTTTGAGGGCCTCAAAAAAAGGCAGTGTATAACTTTCCTTTTTTACCAAAAATCGACTGCACCAAAATTTCTCGAGAAAACACTTTTTCTTATTAATTTTGGTGCGTAGAATCCAAAACAATTCGTACTTTTTCGATTAGACTTCTCAATCAAAGGTTATAGACTAGAAACCAATTTCGAATGAAAATTCAAAAGAAATGTCGGAAGAGGGGTCCATCAAAGGAAAGGTGTGAGGCGACGAGAAGGTCTATCAAAGGGCAGGGTCAAAACTTCAAAGAACATTAGATAATGGACATTACACAATGGACATTGGACAAGAGACATAAAGTCTAATGTCTATTGTCTAATGTTTAATGTTTTATGTCTAATTTATAATTTATTTATTCAATGCATATACAATGCCATGACTTGCCGGACGACTCCCTTACTAGTTTTACAAGTTTTGTGTCAGCTTAATTGATACATTATATCGAGGAAGTGGCATCGTCGCCAAAGGATAATCGATCCTTGTCGATTATCAGCGACATAAAACGAATTCTCGTTTTTCAAAATATTTAATTTTCTAACCTACTGGAGTCGTTAATATCCTGTTCATTTGACGTTTATTTATACAAATTTTTTATTATTATAATAAAATTCTGTGATAATGCTTTGGAGCTTTACTTTATAACACGATCAATTCAATAAATCAGGATGAATTTAAAATGTTTAATTTGCAGCGATTTATTAACTCCATACTCGGAAATCTTTGGCACAACATGCGGTCATCTCTTCCATTATCACTGTCTAATACAGTGGATCGAACGGTAAGTTACGTTATTTTGATAATCTCGTCGAACCGGTATGATTCCAGTTCGAAGACATGCCCGCAGTGTCGTTTCAAAGCGACCGAAAAGACAATTTTTAAGATCTATCTAACTGTTGAAGAGAATACGGAAACCGTCGATCTTGCCGTACTTCACAACAAGCTTGATAATTTGCAGTTTCAAATCAACCTTAAAAATCTGGACGTGAAAAATACGAAGGAGAAAAATGAAACGCTGCGCAAGCAAAACCTGGCCCTAATAGAAGAAAACAAGGAGCAAGAGAATAAGCTTCGAGTGATGGAATCGGCGATGTTCGCGTTGAAAGAGCAAGTGACTTACTTCAAGACGAAGAGTAAGGAAGCGAAGAAACTGGAGACCGATTTACTCGAACTGCAAGGCAAGTTAGATAGAATTAAAAATGTCGAGCTAGTCTTGGCAGGTACGCAAGACGAAGTGAACAGTATGTTGCGAAACAACCAGGATCCTCAGTCACTGTCAATTCTGGTGGCCACCTTAAAGAAGTGAGTATGTTTCTTTTTGTAATTGTAACGTTGTAATCTTATACGTGCAGAGAGTTAATCGAATCTGATAAAAGCAAGAAGCAATTGAAAGGTGCAATTAAAACTGTTCAAGCCGAGTCTGTGGCGTACCGTAAGAAATTTCAAGAGTTAAGGGATGCCTCTGTGCATATGAGGTAGGTTGATTTTTGGTACAATTAGTATTTACGTTTGTTTTAGGGAGGAGCTTGAGAGTCACAAGGGATGTGAAACCGAACGTCAGTATTTAAAGGGCAAACTTGCAGAGTTTCAGAATAAGTACAACCGCCTTTCCTTAGAGACTGCTAACAATGTCAACAGGATTGTCAGTGAAAGCCCTATACCAATTTCAAGACTAACAGAACCTAATACAAGTTCACCGTCAGTTGTAAGTTAGGTACTTCAAAGATGTAAATATACTACAGACCATTGTATCGATTTGGATTTATCCACGTTTCAGGATTAGTAACTTTGTGTTTAAGATAAATTCCATTTTGTATTAGTGTGGATGATTCATTTAGGTTGAACTGATTAAAAAAATCTGTAGTATATTTATATCTGTGATTACTCATTTTTAATTAGAACTAAACTTGTGCGTTCCTTTCAGCCAGAAGTTGTCGAAACTATAGCACAATCAAATTCGCCGTACCTACGTGTGCAAACCAGCAGCATAGGACTCTCCGGACTGCTTACCTACAACAACTTATCGGCTGGACCCAATAAGGTTGCATAATGCGCTTACTATGTTATTACAAATCTCTTTGCAGACGTCGATATTGAAGCAACATCCTCTGCAGAAGGAGACATTAAAACGGCCATCAATTTCGTACGACGGTCTAGGAGGTCACAGCAAAGACGATGACTTTCCATCTCCACGTTCCTCTCTACCTTTCAAAAAACCGAAAATTAGTGTAACTACTACGGCACGCAAATTTAAGAAATTGGCACCTCAGCCGAAGTTATCCTTTCAAAAACTCAACTAGAGTATTATTCAATCAGTATTGTATTTTTTATTTTTTTAAAATTTTATTATAATAATACAAGTACATGTTATTTTTGTCCTTGAGCGACAGCATTCTTCTTTCTTGCTTCTCGCATTGCCATCCTGTATGTAGCGCGTTTTAGTTGTTGTTTTGTATTAAGGTTGTGCTTCTTGGCAAATTTAAGGTTCTTTAAGAACTTGGCGCAGACCTACGATTTACAAGTTATAAGAGTCGAATGAAACATGTAGACTTACCCCCAATGTTGATTCTTGGCGAAAACGTTTTGGTCTCTTGATTCCATTACGATGGTCCTTGCGATCTGTTACATAAAGATACTAGCTACATGATACAACTAAGGCAACTACTTACTTTGATTGTGATTGGTGTGGTTCTTCGATTTAGCCATTGTTTACCTGAAATTATGCTTCAGTAAGTAATTAGCTTTTTGTTGAGATACGGTATAATTAAATTATTATTTAATGCACCTAAACACGTTGCCACAGTACAAAGTAGATAACCTATAAAAGGATAGTAGGGATTTTTAATACTGCAATTTTGGCATGCAATGATGCTAGTACTTTATAAATTCCTTATGGTGGTAACGTGCATTCCAGTGGCGTATCATCAATGTCATTGGTGCATTTTTGCACTATTACATATTCGCCATTCATTGTGAGTAAGTATGGCATTTTCGGAAGACGCAGTTTGGTTTGAAATTAGTTATTCTGAATCCTTTTATTTATAAGACTCATTTTGTACATAAAATTAATTTCGCAAGGTTGTAGTTGAACGTAAGGGTTCTCCTGAAACCAACCATAGGGTGTAAGTAGGTATAGCCATCTAAAAAGGCACTGTCACCTCAGTATTATACGGTCAAAGTGCAAAATATAGACCACAAAATAACAATCTTGGTTCACAACTGTCCATAAAGGTACCTTTACACTATAATATATCTCACATGATTTTTTATATATGTTATATGATATATATGATGAGGTTTAAACAGTACCTACTACAATCTCAATTAGCCACATTAACTATCACTATCTCGCATCAATTGTTAGCAATCTGGACGTTTCGTGAACCATCCTATTTATATCGTAGATTTTATTTCTTTCCTCTTTCTTTCTTCTATCTATATTGTAAATTTTATTTTCTTCCTTCCCGTTGCTGATTTTGGTCCAAGTGGAAGACCAGGAGCGGCGCTTGTGCCTGTCCCTGAACTTGCACCTATTGTCACTTATAAATGTATTAACAAAGAAATGTTATTTATTTGCTGTTTGTTCGGTAGACAATAAAGACATTTATTATTATTATTATTATTATTATTATTATTATTATTATATTGACTACCAACATATTTTTCGTAAGAGTTTTAATGTTTTACTTTACACTTGACAGGTTTTTCATATGACTTTAATACAAGAAGTTACTAGACCCATATAACTTCTCTAAATTAAAATGTTCCAAGTTCCAAGATTGAGCTACTAGTTCAAAAGTTACAGCCCTTTGAATTTTCTTTCGAAATTGGTTTCTAGTCTATAACTTTTGATTGAGAAGTCTAATCGAAAAAGTACGAATTGTTTTGGTTTCTACGCACCAAAATTAATAAGAAAAAGTGTTTTCCCGAGAAATTTTGGTGTAGTCGATTTTTGGTAAAAAAGAAAGGTTATACACTGCCTTTTTTTGAGCCCCGAAAAAAAAATTGTCTCAGATCGACCCGGAAAAAAAATTTTCTTATAGAATGTGGCCTGTAGAATCCATAATTTCAAACAGTTCCAAGATTGCGCTACTAGTTCAAAAGTTACAGCCCTTTGAATTTTTTTTCGAAATTGGTTTCTAGTCTATAACTTTTGATTGAGAAGTCTGATCAAAAAAGTACGAATTGTTTTGGATTCTACGCACCAAAATTAATAAGAAAAAGTGTTTTCCCGAGAAATTTTGGTGCAGTCGATTTTTGAAAAAAAGGAAGGTTATAGACTGCCTTTTTTTTGCCCCGAAAAAAAAATTGTCTTAGATCGTCCTGGAAGAAATGTTTTTTATAGAACGTGGCCTGTAGAATCCATAATTTCAAACAGTTCCAAGATTGGGCTACTAGTTCAAAAGTTACAGCCCTTTGAATTTTCTTTCGAATTGGTTTCTAGTCTATAACTTTTGATTGAGAAGTCTGATCGAAAAAGTACGAATTGTTTTGGATTCTACGCACCAAAATTAATAGGAAAAAGTGTTTTCCCGAGAAATTTTGGTGTAGTCGATTTTTGGTAAAAAAGGAAGGTTATACACTGCCTTTTTTTGAGCCCCGAAAAAAAAATTGTCTCAGATCGACCCGGAAAGAAATTTTTCTTATAGAATGTGGCCTGTAGAATCCATAATTTCAAACAGTTCCAAGATTGGGCTACTAGTTCAAAAGTTACAGCCCTTTGAATTTTCATTCGAAATTGGTTTCGTCTATAACTTTTGATTGAGAAGTCTTGATCGAAAAAGTACGAATTGTTTTGGATTCTACGCACCCAAATTAATAAGAAAAAGTGTTTTCCCGAGAAATTTTGGTGCAGTCGATTTTTGGTAAAAAAGGAAGGTAATAACTGCCTTTTTTTTGAGCTACGAAAAAAAAATTGTCTCAGATCGATCCGGAAAAAAATTTTTCTTATAGAATCCATAATTTCAAACAGTTCCAAGATTGGGCTACTAGTTTAAAAGGACTCCGTCCATCTTTAAGTGCCATTTAAGGAAAACTAAGCCCAAGGTGGCTATTAATCGCATAAATTCAAAAGCAATTTCAAATGAAGTTACGTACGTGGCGACATCTCAACTAAACTTAAAATACTATAAAATGAAATAAGTGTATCGATTACCAACGAGATGGCGCACTTGTACATATCCTCATTGAATTTACAATGATATTATATTTAAAGTAATTAATCAAAAACCGGGGCATTGTACTACAATTGCTCTACAGATTTTGCAAGACTCCGTCCATCTTGAAGTGCCATTTAGGGAAAACTAAGTCCAAGGCGGCTATTAATCGCATAAATTCAAAAGCAATTTCAATTGAAGTTAAGTACGTGGCGACATCTCAACTAAACTTAAAATACTATAAAATGAAAAAAGTGTGTCGATTACCAAGAAGATGGCGCGCTTGCAGCCATTATATTTGAACTAATTTTTCAAAAATCTGGTCATTGAAGTACAATTGCTGCACAGATCTTGTCCGTACATTTTTAACTGCCATTTTACTAGCTATACTCGGCGTTTTCCCCGTGTCTTTTTAAGCATTATGTTAGATGTTAGTGTACCTCTCCGTGCTTTCTCTTGGGCCATTTCTGGACTTCGGGAATCTTGTCTATTTGTCCAGGACTTCCTACGACCCCATTCCTCCTGACAGCTGCCTACTTTTGCCTAGGAATTATGCACCGCCAAGCGCCGTTTAACTGTCGTCAGGTTCTCACTCAGATGACAACTTAGAGGAATCTATAAAAGCTGCCTTTTCCAGTTCCACCTTTAGGCAAAGAGTAGTATAAGCAAAGAGTATTTGGTATAAGTATTCTTGCCTTTAGGCATAGAGTAAATTCTATGCTTTAGGTGTGTTGTTTCCAAAAATTGTAGGAGGTTTCCAACCACCTCCTTCAACTCCTAAGGGTCTGGTTGTTTTCGCACGAGATGATTCGAAGTTTGGTCACTGGTGAGGTTGGGTTAGAGTATACTAGTTAGGTTAGCTCGAAAATCTTGTATCAGGAGAATATAATGTGCGAGGAGATTAAGGTTAGGAAGAATTTTTAGTGAGGTTAGGTTAGGTTGATAGTTAGGTTTGATTGAGAAGTCTAATCGAAAAAGTACGAATTGTTTTGGACTCTACGCACCAAAATTAATAAGAAAAAGTGTTTTCTCGAGAAATTCTGATGCAGTCGATTTTTGGTAAAAAAGGAAGGTTGTACACTGCCTTTTTTGAGGCCCTCAAAAAAAATTGTCTCGGATCGACCCGGAAAAAATTTTTTCTTTTAGAATGTGGCCTGTAGAATCCATAATTTCAAACAGTTCCAAGATTGGGCTACTATAGTTCAAAAGTTACAGCTAGGGAATGCAATCCCGCAGCAAAATCTCAATCCCGGTATTTGCGGGATCGTTAGATGTTAATGCCGCGGGAACCCGGTATTTGCGGGATCCCGCAAAATTTTAAATAAATTGGCAAATAAGCAATTTTGTGCGGTTAACTTCTGTATTAAAATAAATCGCTAATTATCACAATAAGTATTCAACAAAAAAGTACCTTCAGGCTAACTTAGAACTCAAAAAAATCACCAGTAAAGCATAAATAGGTGAACTTCTAAAGTGCCTCAAAAATTATAGTACATTTTTAACGAAAAAGTTTAACAATTATTTTAAAAATAATTTCTCCGTTATGCGTTGCATTAACAAAGCAAACAGAATCGTCCCCTTGGTCGACATTAAGGATTAAGGATGAGTGTACCCTTATTTGAAAGATTACCCCCCAAACATTTGAGGGGTTAATTACCAATCAAGACACTATTTGACAATGTGTGTCTGAAAACACCACTACAACCAGACAACCAAATACCAATATACTCGTAAATATTTATTGCTCAATTTATTGTTTATGTAATTTATTCTTTCATTAGTAACTAATATACCTATTATAATCATTGATTATACACACCTATAAATAATCAATGATATTATCAAAAGTTTACTGGTTTACTCAAGTATTCAGCTTTTTCAGATAAGTACAACAGCAAAATGCGAAAAGTAACCATAGAAGGGCGGGATCACTTGGGTATTTAAAATAAGTCATGTCATTTGTCATGCAGAAATAGAAACATCCCTATTCCACGATTTACGTATTATTTCCATATTATTTCCTTATGATTTGTCTTATGACAGCCATAATACCAAAAATAGTATAGTGTAAACACAAATCTAAATGCATGTTACTTATCATATGACAAATCACATGACAAGTATGATAGTGTAAAGGTAATTTAAGGAGTTTTAGAAATTTAAACATTTTGAAAGGTACAGAATTCGTGAATATACTAACACTATTGAAACTAATACAGGGTGGCCATTTGAAAACGAAACAGTGCCTATTTTGGGGACCTCAAAACATCTACGAAGAAAATCCTCGGACCCGTCAATTTTTTATTCAAGGGGGAACCATTTTTTTGCTAGTTTCGCCTCCTTGAGGGCAAAGTTCTAGCAGGGGTGACAAGCGCCCCCAAATTTTTAAATCGAATGGGGGGGTCGAGTGGTACCTTATTTTGAAGGTATTTGTATGTGGATTATAAACCCTTACGTTTTAAATCGCAACTAATTTGCCTAGCCGATACAGGGGCTAATAAAAGTTACAAAAACGTGGCAACATTTTCTTATGAAAAAAAAATGCTTGTAAATGAATAAATACAACAATAAATATCAAAAATCTTGTTCTCCTACATTCTGAACCGTACCTACTTGTTGTTTTTTTTCTTTTTAATACTCGTGTCTCGTAGGTATTATAGCAGTATTTTGAAGTTTAATAGTGATTGTCAATTACTGTTGTCAGATTATAGTAGTTATTTAGTTGCAAAATTCGTACATTGAACAGTGATAATGGTTTTTATTGCTGAAAGATTTGAAATAATTTCTGTTTAATCTACAACACCAGAATCGACAGGTCCGTCGTAAGTACATTTTGGAATTGGTTCAAAAATTTAGGGAAACTGGGTCTGTGGTTAATAAAAAACGTGAAATGGATAACCCAGTAGTAAATGAAGCTTCAGAAGTGGATATTGCAGGCCATATTGTGCAAGATCCCACACTCAGCACAAGGAAATTGTCAATCGTGTCTGGTATTACTAGAAGCAGCATTCAGAAGATATTTAAAAAAAAACACAAGTTTCATTCGTACAAAATGCATCTCGTACTCGTTCTTTTTCCTAAACGGTACTGTGAATCGTCACAACTGGGCTGATTCAAATCCCAGAATAGTTCGTGAGGTGCATGTACACAAAATCCTGAAAAATTGAATGTTTGGGCTGGCATTTTTGGTAACCATATCGTAGGCCCCTTCTTTTTACCTGGCAATTTAACAGGAGAGATGTACTTGGAGTTATTAGAAAATACGATTCATCGAGTATTATACTAGAAAATAACGAGTACTTGGAAAATCGTCTAGTATTTCAGCAAGATGGTGCGCCACCCCATTATGCTGCAAGGGTTCGTCAATATTTGGACCAAACGTTTCCGGGACAATGGATCCGAAGAAGAGGAGCTATTGAATAGCCTCCTCATTCCCCGGACTTAAGTCCGTTAGATTTTTTTTACGAGGCCAAACTACAATTTATGGTAGTCAGCCAACTGGCGACAAAGAATAATTGATGAATGTCGTCAAATTACACCAGAAGTTAAAAATGTACGGGAAAGGTTCGAACAAAACCTGTACTATTGAATGGAAGTCGAAGGCCAACATTTTCAACATTTACTTGATTCATTTTAGCTTTAAGCACATAAAATAAAATTGATTTAAAACTGAAGGGTTATAATCCACTTAAAAATACCTTCAAAATAAGGTATCACTCGATCTCCCATTCGATTTAAAATTTTGGGGGCGCTATGGCTTTGCCCTCAGGGAGGCGAAACTAGCAAAAAAATGGTTCCCCCTTAAATCAAAAATTGACGGGTCCGAGGATCTTTTCGTAAATGTTTTGAGATCCCCCAAATAAGCTCAAATGGCCACCCTGTATAGTTACTTATTAATTATTATAGATGATAAAGGAATATTTTAGCAATCAAGTGGTAGAATTCACAAGTGGCGAAGCCATAGAAGTGAGTCAAAATACATCAAACAAAGTTTTAGTTAAAGTAATAGTTTAGGGTGGATACTGAAACTCAGGTCAGTCGTCCAATCTCACAAATTCCCAAAATCTCGACATGAAAAGGAGGTTTTCTTATAGATTTTACCTGTAAAAATTGATCTCTTCCCATAACTTTTGATGTAGAGGTCCTATCGTAAAAGTACTGAACGTTTTCCATTTTACGTATTGTATTATATTTTATGTGTGAGAGCACCTAATCCTTTAAAGCTGATGTACATTAAACGTTCATTGTAAGTACATACGGACCTTCTGTTCCAACACTGTACATACGCGTATAATACACGTAATGGACGTCCATTGTAGGTCCAAACGTCAACGATATGGATAGTATAGTGTATACATACTGTACGTCCTATGGACGTTCGCTACCGTTTTATTGCACAAGATTAACAAATAAAACAACTACTTTGAAAACGATATCTATTCAAACACTGTTGATGAAGAGATGAAGGGTCACAAAAAACCGTACGCGAATAAAAGGAACATAAAATTAGAATTAAAATAGATAGGTTATTAAAGATACATTGGAGTAGTAGGTGCTGGAACGTCGCTCTGTGATGATAGGTAAAAATATCATGCCCAAGATCTTTATTACTGTAACGAAAACGCTCCAGACATGACCTCGCCTTTGGCGCTCTGGAATTTTCTACGCCCGCGATAGTGGGATTTGTATAGGAATATTCCAGACTTATCCGGTAATTACGCGAGTGTTCTGGACTTACATTGCTTGCGTGTATAAATGGTTGCGGACCGAACATCGCAGGCAGTTTTTACTACCGAACGAGATCGAGTACGGACGAAACATTGAGCGCGAAAATCTGATATAAATTGCGAAGTGTGATATAAATAGTCGATATAAATTGTACAGTTTTTATAGTGTTTTAGTTTTGTTTAATAAATATTGATATAAATCGAACTTTAATTTATAAATCACGTTACATTACTAATTATACTAGTGGAAGGATCGATATTTGGCTGACTGTGCCGAAATCGTGAAGTCTAGGTACAGCTATTCCAAGCTCAAATCAGTTTTGTTGTCCGCGAGATCCGCAGCTACCAATGAGCAGTTACTACTTCTTCTGGCCACTATATTTTTACAACTGGGACTTGTGTTTATGAATTGCATCTCGTAATTGTCGACGAAGAATTTTACCTGCAGGAGTTCTGGGAATATGGAGTATAAAATGGACACTTTGTAAACGTTTGTACGGTGCCACTTGCCCTAAACATGATGAATAATTTAACATAAACTACAAATACAATATTAGTACCATTAATAAATTCTTTCACTTCTTTTTCTGTCAACTCTATTCCTTGCAATTTTACTACAAAGGCTATGGGTATTTCTCCATCTCTATCATGAGGAATACCAATTACTCCAGCATCCGCTATTTTTGGATGATTTACTAGTATGGCCTCTAATTCAGCTGATGCAACCTTAAATCAAAGATTTGCGACGAGTTACGTACCTCTGAAAATGTCACCTGGTATCCTTTGCACTTGATCAATTCTTTTATTCTGTCCACTATGTAAAATGCGTGGTCGTAATCGTAATAAGCCATATCTCCCGTATGGAGCCATCCGTTCTCATCAATGACCGCTCGCGTAGCTTCAGGATCATTATAATATCCCTTCATAATTACGTCTCCACGACACCATAACTCTCCAACTTCCATCGGACCCAAAGATTTTCCCGTATCGACATCTGTTATCTTTACTGACGTATTTGGCATGGCACGGCCGCATGCACCTGATGCAGTTCTGTCCTTCGAATCGCCTATTACGGAAAGAGTTGATTCTGTCATGCCATACGACTGTCGAATATCCCTCACATGTAGCCTAGGAAAGAATATGCAAATAGTATCCTTTCATGTCACCCACAGTCTTATTAACATATTACATTCTTGCAATTGTAACAAATTTTTTGTAATTAGGTACCTACTGTAGGTACCATCTAATAACTTTCTGCAGTTTTAATTACATACCAAACTCTGTAGTAAACACAAAATATTTACCGCTTAGTCAACGCTTCTTCAGCAACCTTGGTCAGCGCCGCAGAGCCGCAAGACACCGTTTTCAAACTTGATAAATCGTATTTGTCCACCAGTGGACTTTTGATTAAAAAATTTGCGATCGATGGTACGATGGACAGCCTTTCGATTTTGTAATCTTGTATTGTTTTCAGGTAGACGTCTGGATCGAACTTCTTCATTACTATTCCTTTTCCTCCACCAGAAATTCTTAGGCATCCCAGGAACAACCCATACACATGGTATAATGGTATAATTATCAAACTGACTTCACTGAGCGGATCCCTTCTGGGCCTAAAAAAATTTTACTTGTAGAAACCTGTATTTAAGGCTAGCAACACTTACTTATTTATTGTAATAGTCGTAATGTAATTTAAATGCGTCAACATGACGCCCTTTGGCAATCCCGTTGTTCCCGATGAATATAAAATAAATGCAACATATTCCTTAACGTTTACCGGAAACGGAGAAAATGTGCTTACATCAAAACTTGCTGGTACATATTCCATTATGAAATTTTGAATCGACTGACACCCTCCGTAATCTGCCTTCGCATCGATGGCTACAACTTTAGGAGTCCTCTTCAATCTATCTTTCACCTTCAGTATTACGGAACTTGCTTCAGTGGAGCAAAATATTACTGATGGCTGCGAAATATTGGCAACGTGAAGGAGTTCCCCTGAAAGATTGTATGGGTTTTACCCTTGTCAGCATAGTAGTAAAATTGAACAGAGCCAAGGGGCGTGACAATACATTTTTTTGGCCATCTTCTTTCTTTTATATTAATAAATCCACTAAACATTTGAACATTATTGATTTAAAATACATTTGGAATGATAAATCTTGGAAAACCCACTATCCCTGCCTACCTACCCTAACAAAATTCAACTCTCAATCTTACAAAAATAAAAAAAATCCGTTGAAGGGCTCCCGTTACAAGACCTTGTCACCTTTAAAATTTTAGAATATTTTTATGTATCCCTAAAATCTACTACTATACCAAAAAACAAGAGATTCATGGAATTATGTGCAGAATACACAAAGATTTCGGGATATTTAGTAAACTGTGATTGGTAAATCTACGACATTGACCTCATATTATACTTACTCTCGGTGTAATGTGGACTAAAAAGGGAAACGATGATGCCCGAATACAATCCAGCTAAGACAGGATCGAAAAACTGCACGTGATTTTCGCTACAAACTGCAATTACATCATTCTTCGCTAATCCAAAGTTTCGTAAGCATTGACCCAAAAAACAAGAATTTCTCAGTAGAGTAGTGCTCGTCATATATTCACCAGAGAATGCGTCTATCTGAAAACGAGATTTGCAATAATTTATGAGTTCGATCGAAACCCAATAGTGAATAAATGAAAAATGAAATTTCATTCAGCCAATGAGTCTCTCCCAAGATAATCTGTATATTGGGCACAATAGTAAATGACGGATGATCCCTTAGAAGTGATGGGTTCCGTCTCAGTCGCTAGTGTCGTCTTATAGAGTTTCCTTACGAAAATTGCGATCACGCGCACGGCAAATCGAAATAGATGCAAATAGGATAAATAATGGGCATAGATGATTATATTTCTCACATAAACTCCGAAATGGCATATGTCTTCAACCTTTTATGATTAACAACCATTTAAATGAGTGGGTTTATTTTAATACGTTTGAACAGGTAATTTGACCTACCCTGTGACTTATACTTACAAATAAGGGCGTTTCTTCTCTGTCATTTAGTGCTTTATACAATTGTATTCCCAGAGAGTCGTATGCTATCGGAACTGTAACTCGCGGACCATGGATAATAATTTCATCTTCTCCCGTCATTATGCTGAAAACTAAAATCCTTAGCTTTATGTATCAAAGCCTATATTTAAATTATTTGTTTACGATAGCGTGCTACCTATTAGATTAGCGATGTAAAGGTCAGGTTCAAATACTTTGTGGCATCATAAACGATTACATTGTAGTAGTAGCGTCTGACTAAAGGTCATTTAACACGCAATTATACTGTAACTGTATGCAATTAATTCATTAATTTTTCATAACTTAATCATTATCGATAACATTGATCGTGGTACTGTAACGGGCTCCGTTATAATTAGGGTTGAAGACCATTCTTGCATATATAATAAAATTGAACCTCTGCGGCACTGGAAGAAGTTTAATATGACAACCAATTTTATGACTCCCACGGCTAGCTCAGTAATAAAATTGTGGTATTATTACGGCGTCTAGGTATTCCTTTTAATAAGATGTAAATTATTCCTGTAGTGAATTTGTTCCAAGTGTTATAGATTTCATATTACAATAATAGTTCTTCGTTTCGCCGACGGAAGTCGTTCAGAGTTTTTTTTAATTCCTCTCGGCGGACGCACTTCTTTGTACAAAATGACATTTAACTATTACCTACTTGCGGATAAATTTTAGGGTCGTTTCGCTATTGGGGAAGTTTCACCGCCATCTTATCATTTTATGAAAATAAATTCAATACACGGTGTCCATTTTTCGAGTGCCACTATGGGGATCTCACTTATCTTAAGAGATACAAAGTTGGTTAAATGGGGGCAAAGTTGTCAATTTTCGTGCTGAATAAGAAACTGAAAAGACATTTCAAATATCTTCAATAGTTTTGAAGATATCTCAAAAAAACAAAAATTTCTGATTTACGTTTTTATTTTTTTTATGATAAAATAATCGTAGTAGACATTTCTAATTAACACATTATTCGGACACTTTTTAATGGAGATTTCAAATAATAATAATACTTTATTATCCTGGCGGAGATCAGCTGTAAGCTGTTTTTCCCAACCAGTAGAATTACAATTTTCTAGAAAATACTGATTGAAAATAACAAAAATTAAAAAAAGGTATACTATTTCAATAACTTGAGTTGTACGAGACTACATGAAAAGAAAATAAATGAAATATTAGAAGAAGACGACAGATTGACAAAAATGACAAAATTTCTCCACGTGTGTACATATCTAAAAGAAGTATATAGAAGAATACATATAGAAAGATTAGGTAACAGAAACTTGGTATACTTAAAGGTCTAATTATTGTTCATTGTAAATCATACATATGGCATCCTGTTTTTAATAACTCTCCAGATGACGGAGAAATACGTGGCAACTTTAGTTTTTCTTATGGGCGCCATTTTGAATTTTCACATTTTGAGATTACGTCTTTTTTTCTCTTTACAACGATATATCACACATAGTGGTTCATTATCACATTTTTCCTAAAAATACAATTTTTAATTTTTTGAGAAGAGTGCTTTGGAAAAACAAAACGTTCTTTTATTGTGAACAAAAGGTTGACTTATTTCATGTAGTGTCATTTAGGTTTATGCTAGTTGTAATGCGAAAATGCCTTTTTCAAGTGCAGATCAAAGAGATATGATCCAAATTTACTACACTTCTCATCGAAATGCCCACATGACTGCTGCAACATACTTGCAGCGTTATCCAGAGGGGCAACAACCTAGTTTGAGGTATTTTTCTTTGCTGCATAAAAACTTGGGCGAATGTGGTTCTTTTAAAAGATGTAGACAGCAATATGGTGATAGACCCAATTAAAATGAGCAGGCAATTTGGCAACCAGTTGAGATGAAAATCTAATTTCTACTTCTCTGACAACGCTGCAACCAGACATGGATCAAACTGTCAAACTTTTGTTGACAACAAAAGAACGTTTTGTTTTTCCAAAGCACTCTTCTCAAAAAATGAAAAATTGTATTTTTAGGAAAAATGTGATACTGAACCACCATGTGTGATATATCGTTGTAAAGAGAAAAAAAGACGTAATCCCAAAATGTCAAAATTCAATATGACGCCCATAAGAAAAACTAAAGTTGCCACGTGTTTCTCCGTCATCTTGAATGTAATTAAAAACAGGATGCCATATTTGAAATCTCCATTAAAAAGTGTCCGAATAATGTGCTAATTAGAAATGTCTACTACGACTAGTTTATCATAAAAAAATTAAAAACGAAAATCAGAAATTTTCGTTTTTTTGTGATATCTTCAAAAGTATTGAAGATATTTCAAATTTCTTTTCAGATTCTTATTCAGCACGGAAATTTGCAACTTTGCCCCCATTTAACCAACTTCCTATCTCTTAAGATAAGTGAGATCCCCATAGTGGCACTCGAAAAATGGACACCGTGTATATACCTTTTCGTCTGTATTAACTGAATCAAGATCCAGGAAAAATTAGGATGCGTTGGAGACAGGTTTTTTCGTCTCGTGCGCTACAATAATTTCAAGACAAGATTTTAAAAGCATTTCTTCCAGAAAACAATTAGAGCTTTTATTAAATTAACAAACAAACAAAAGATAACAAATATAATAACAGAAACAGAAGGAATAAATAAAATCTTTATAAATTTGACTTAAGTTTCTTAACTTCATCTCGTAGAAAACGACGTAATACCTTTCCGCTGGGGTTTCTAGGAATTTGGGACACAAAGCGTACACCCCCACGAAGCTGTTTGTATGGTGCAACTTGATCTGCAAAATAAAACCTGTCGACTTCATCCAAAATGATTATAAGACGTTTAGTAAATTTTGACATACAAATGGTTTTTAGTATGGTTTAGTCAATTATACCTGCAATAAACTTCTCCACTTCTTGCTCGGATAAATTTTCACCGCGTGTCTGGACAATAAATGCCATCGGCACTTCTCCGTACCTTTCGTTTGGAACACCAATGACACCACAATCTAATATCTTGGGATGGCTCAACAGCAGTGTTTCAAGTTCAAGTGGCGCTACCTAAAACGGTTGTTCATCATTGCAACAGAACCATTACTGGTAATGGCAATGAGTTGTCGCTGGTGGGTCAAATTTGGGCCTTTTGATTATATTAGATACCAGTATTAAAGAGTTTTAGAAAAAAGCTAAGTAATGCAGTGGTATTTTACCTGTAATCCTTTACATTTTATCAAATCTTTAATCCTGTCCACCAAGAAGAACCTATAGCAACTATCATAATAGCCGACATCACCCGTGTGCAGCCAACCATCAACATCAATCATTTCTTGGGTAGCTCGTGGATTATTTATGTACCCTTTCATTACCATAGGGGTTCTGCAACATATTTCGCCAGTTTCAAATGGACCTAGTGCCTCTCCTGTCTGTATGTCGACTATTTTCACGGAAACGCTTGGGAAAACACTACCGATGGATCCCAGTGGGTATTCTCCCGACACACTGTGTCCCATGAACCCAATCGTTGTTTCGGTCATTCCGTATCTCTGTTTCACAATCGGTACCTTAAACCTTCAGAGGGTGGCTTCTAACACACGTGCTTCTTCAACACTTACCGCTTCCGTAACTCTTCCTCGGTATGTTTAAGTAAAGGCGCACTGGCACACATTACCGACGTAACGCTGGACATGTCGTACTTCTCTAACAAATTAGTCTGGGCTAAGAATTGTGCAACAGCTGGGACTAATTGGAGCGATTCGATTCGATAATCCCTTATTGTTCGCAGGTAGACGTGAGGATCGAATTTGACCATTACTAGCACGTATGACCCGAACAAAACTGTCCTTATTGTTAGACTCAGTCCAGCTGTATGACAGAATGGATGGAACGCTATACATGGATTGACATCTAGACTGTATCGTCCATCCCTTAAAGCACACATTTAGTTATCTCACGAGAGTTTACATTTATTTCAATATGATTGCATCAATTAAGCTGAATACTATTCGACGTAGCTTAAGGTCTGTCACCACGAATGAATCTTTAAATATATCTGTCTAGTGAAAGCGACTGGTAGATTGGTAGATTTTTAAAGGAAACGGCATTATATGATTAAAGTTTCATTTGGTGGATTGATCAATTGCTTTTATTTCTGCATATTGAAATTCTATAGCGTGTTGACTTCATAATGAGTTCCGGAAGTCGTTGGAGGTTGCAGGTGCACCTGTCAATTCTACCTGTAGTACGTGACTTGTCAAGTGGACCTGGAAAGTGACCTGACGCTTTCCGTGATAGTCGACAGGTCGCAGGTACACCTGCACCCTTCGATTTGTAGTGTGTATGATTTCCTGGGCCGGTAGTCCACGGTAGATTTGCTCCGTTCTCAAACAATTTTAACCAACTGAAATGGACGGTGGATCTGTTGGTGTAAATTAAGAGCTGTTCACCTGCTATAGATAGAATTGACAGGTGCATCTGTAGGTATGCAGCTACTACAAACCTACTAACACTTGAACTGCATGTACGGTATTGATGTTTAGATGCGTTAACATGACACCTTTCGGCAACCCCGTCGTTCCCGAAGAATATAAAATGAGGGCCACATCATCCTTTACGTTCACAGGAACCGGTTGGTATTCGTCAATGTTAAAATCTTTGGAAACGTTTTCCGATATAAAATTCTCGACGGATTGGCAACCTTTGTAGTTCTCGTGTTGGTTAATAATTATGATCTTGGGTTCTCGCTTCAGTTGATCTTTGACTTTGAGCACTGTGGAACTCGCCTGGACTGAAGAAAATATTATCGAAGGCTGTGATAAGTTCGCGACATGAATTAATTCCCCTGCAAGGAAACAAGAGGGATTATAACATACACGGTCAATAAATTGGCATCGGTGCAAACTCTAATCTGTCTGTACGTACTTCGTTTTGTCTAGTTGGGTCTAGTCTTATTTTTATAAACATTACCTAGAAGCTTATCCAATGAATTAATTTGTATTGTTGTTGCTATATCAATGCGCTTGCGGTATTTTTCTGTACGGGATTTGGTGATGTATGGTAATGATCCTAACTTCTTGTAGAAATCGTACAAGTATCTGTATGATATTTGTGACGTATGTAAGTTTGAATGTGGGACAATATTTGTTTCGTGTAGCTGTAGATTAAGAGGCTGGTAGGATTTCTCCGCATATGTTACTGTTTTGTGTAGAACTGTCTGATTTGTTATAAAAGTATTGTCGTAAATTGTGTATTTGTGTTTGGTGCAATAGTTTTATGTCTCTAACTCCTATACCTCCTTCCAAATGGGACAGGTAAAGTCGTATAGTAGAGGAATGGGGATGATGTGCATGGTGTTTTGTTAATAGTGTACGGGTGTTTCTCTGTATTTGTTCTAAATCTGTATTTGTCCAAGGTATAATCCCAAAAGAGTATGTCAGTACCGGTATGGCATAAGTGTTAATAGTTTTGATTGTATTTCTACCGTGTAATCGAATTTTAAGCAGGAAATGAAACACTAAAAATGACCTAACTTAAACGTTAAACCCCTCCAAAGCTATGTGCCTAGTTTAATTCTGAAGGGAAGTTTTATTGTGCGTCCAATTTTTGGCGATCTTATATCCCGACACGGGTCAAATTATTAGGCTCAAAAACCGATGTTATACACTTACCTTGCGTATACTGTGCGCTGAACGTGGTGACGGCAATTCCAGAAAAGAAACCGGCTAGGACGACATCAAAAAAGTGTAAGTTGTTTTCACTGCAAACACCAATTATATCATCCTTCGTAAGACCAAAGTTGATTAAACTCCGACCTAAACGAGATGCAGTCCTGAGAAGCTGCTTGTTTGATACGCTATCACCAGTAAATGCGTCTATCTGCAACAAAAATGTGAATGTAAGGTTTAAGTAAACGGTTGCTGCGGTTTTCATTATTTTATCGCGTTTTGCTACATTAGCCGATGAAAAATCCGTTAATTCCATAACGAACAATTATAGAAGCATAACTTGTGTAAGTCTGTTGTGCGCCAAATAAAGTTGTGTCACCCAAAAATGCCATCGGGTTTACCAAGAAAAAGTAAGTAACATATTTCTAATCTTATTCGTTATTTTGAACGAGAAAGAGATAATTGTGGTCCACTTTTACCAGTCGCAGCTACTTTAGTAATAGGTATAAGACTTCATATACTTAACAAGTTTCATTTCACAGAGAGTTGCGGATGACAGTTTTCTTAAGTGGTCCTGGAACCCATTTGCTGCCAAATTTAAAAGAACCATCGCTGATTATTATGGACAATGTTAGTTATCACAGTAGCTTACTGGAAAACTTGCTATAAATTCTTCCTGGACAAAACGACAACTACAGGCATGGCTACCGCACAAAAATTTGGAGTTTCCAAATGAAGCATTAAACTTGGTGGAGACTGTTGCAATTTATGTTGTTAGTTCAATTTATATTGCCTGTTTGTAATCTCTTGACATTTTATACCTTATGATATGCTGTGACAACCCAATAATACTTTGTAATCGGTATGGGGATAAATATAACTAAACTAAAACTAAACTAAGGTTTGTTTCCTTAAATTTCATGCAACATGGTTTATTCGTAGCCACAATCAAATAATTGACCTGCAGAATAACCTATTCGCCATCATACATTGTACTCGTTGCAGGGACAAAGATTGTTAAACATATTTATTCTCAAAATACTCAAATACAGTTTGCTTATAAACTTGAAAAAGTGTACGACAATTTCTTCACATTTGCTCTTATTGGATACACCGATGTCTATCCGTTAGTCAAAACTAATAGGTACTGTAAATTTGGCTTACTTACAAAGACAGGCATTTCCATTGATTGCTTCAAGGTGTTATGCAGTTGAATTCCAATCGAAACATTTGAAATTGGCACCCTAAGTTCACCTCCACAAATAACATTTTCTTCTGTCATAACTGATTCGATAAATTTTGAACAATTTGTAGCAGTCCAGCGATCCGCTACGTGTGCGACTTTTTTTAATAATGCTGTTTAACGAGAAAATTGATAAGTTAAAGACATAAATAGTTTAATTAATCGTTTTTGTGGACGTCCATTTATCAATATTTACTTTATACTGCTTTGATGGTGAATATGACCTGACGTGACCGATTGCTACGTAAGATCAAAGGCTTATCGTGTATAATATGAAGAATGGTCCAAAAGTATGGAATAAGTTCATTATTAGCGTCACTACCTACCTACTATTGAAGATGCACGATTTTTAGTCAGAATTTGATAATTAATAGTATAAAAATATAACCATCAAACATTTAAATGAAAAAGGTGGTGGTGGGGCACTTTTTTTGAAAAGGATTTTAATTCTCTTTTTAGGAGTTTCTTTCAATTTGCATCTCTAGCTCTATCCGCTGGTAACGGGAGTGATTCCACAATAAAAAGTTTCGCATCAAATCTTCTACAGATCACACATTTTTTTTAGAACTGATTGAATATCTCTTCTGCCTCATGACCTTGAGTCAAAGTTCAAGGCCGCAATCTTGGAAAACCCAGGACCATGACCTATTCTTTACGTATATGACTTCTACGATGCTCATCTAAACCCTTTATACGCGACATTAGCCAAGACATAAACCACGATCGAGTTACAACCTTCAATGGTCATAGTTCGGAAACACATTAGTTTAGGCAACCGACCCTTTAGGTAATTTTACTTGACCCTAGCTCAGAACCATTTGACCTTGACGTTAGCGCAGATCTACTGTAGTTCAGGCAAGAAACCCCGTCTACGTTTTACCTTTCAATGACATCGATTTTAGCAGAGTTTCAAACCCACGTCCACGTTTGACCTTTCAGTGACATTGATTTTAGCAGAGTTTCAAACCCACGTATACGTTTGATTTGATGAATCCACCGTACATTTCTACTGTCACTAGCAACTTCCGTGAGAAACCTTTTTTATTCTCGTCTTTAGACTAGGCGAAGCAAGAATAACGATAGCACGAATATAATGCCGCAAACCCGAAAACTATACGATATCCCGTTTCCGAAATTTCGATCGATTTATACAAAGAAATACGTTAAAAAGATACTCGTATATTTATTACATAAATATGAAGTGACCCCTTTTTGCGTCCCCTATGGTTGTGAACTGTTTACATTCTGATGCTATCGCGCATGAGTGGTGTTCTACTTACGGTGCAAAATATAGTTGTCTTTGTTACGTATGTAAATCGGGTCTGTGGATCACAACAATCTTTATTAATCCGGTCTTTAAATTCTCCCCAATCCTAAAGGACGACAGTATACAGGGTGTTTTTTTTGGGAGCTTTAGTTAAACGTTTCTGGGAAAGTAAAATAGGTAGGTTTTTGAAAATGTGTACTTAGGAGTTACGCTGAAGGCCGAATCGATGTAAATATTTTCAAAATGGCCGCACTTCCGGAAACACCGGAAGTAGATAGTAACTTCGTTATTTTAAATAGCAACCCCAATTTTTTATTGGGTTTTTGGATTCTACGTGAAATTTCAGTTCTTTGGATACCCATATGTCGATATCTGCCATTTATGGTTTTTAAGTTATTTTGACTTTAAGAAAAAAAATGGCGGATGCAGATGGTACCTTGATAATTGATTACTTGGAAAACGGTTGTAGTCATGGCAACCTATTTTTATCAGTGCATATAGAATGAATACAGCTTTCTTTTAGTGTACTTAAAAAAAAGTTAAGTTGCGTAAGACCGCCCCTATGGAGATCCAAATTTATGAAACTTCAAAGACTAAAAACTCAGTTTTTTTAAATGGAATCACCATTTTCTTAATATTGCATGAGATAAAGAATCGAAATGGGCATATTTTGACAATACATGTTCCTATAGCTATCTTTAACAGTTTCTGACTTTCCCATTTTATTGAATTGACACTATTTTTTTCGAATTTTCTTTTTAGTAGTCGGCTATGATTTTATAACAATTGAATTTTAAACAATTCTAGTGACACTAATCCGTCACCTACTGTTATAGGTTAACATAAGTTTTTCAAAAATCGAAAAATGGCTCGCAGTAGTTTCACCCATTTTTGAATTTAATTGTTATTTATGGTGAAATGGACAGAATCGCCGCACCTGCTTGCCGCACATTCATTCGAACACTGGAACGAAATTGTATGAATTTTGGAAATGTTGTATCCCCAAATGCACTACAAACCGTTGAAGCACAAGCGATACAAAGATCTACAAGAGAATATTTAAGAAAATGAATTGAATTGCAAATGCAAGATTAACAAAATAAATTCAATGTAAAATATAAAAAACTTCGTTGAAACATTTTTTGTATGGAATTGTTGCTAGAACAGATATCGCATTACCTCTCTGAATTTTTAGACTTGTTTAATAAATTCAGTTGAACGACTCTGTCTAGATTTCTCAAAAATTTTCCGTCCTATGAATGACTTATTTATTAATGAATTATTTAAACTAGAATCAATGATATTAAAGAATCCTTTTCTTGATTTGTTTAAAATTCGATTGTTATAAAATCATGGCCAACTACTAAAATGAAAATGCAAAAAAAAATGGCATCAATTCTTTGAAATGGGAATAAATCAGAAAATGTTAAAGATAGCTATAGGAACATGTAATATCAAAATATTCCAATTTCGATTCTCTATCTCATGCAATAGGAAGAACATGGTCATTCCATTTAAAAAAACTGAGTTTTTGGACTTTGAAGTTTCTTAAATTTTGATCTCCATAGGTGCGGTTGTACGCAACTTAATTTTTTTTAAAGTACACTAAAAGAAAGCCCTATTCATTCTCTATGCACTGATAAAAATGGGTTGCCATGACTATAACCGTTTCCAAGTAATCAATTATCAAGGTACCATCTGCATCCGCCATTTTTTTTCATAAAGTCAAAATAACTTAAAAACCATAAATGGCAGATATGGACATGTGGGTATCAAAAGAACTGAAATGTTATGTAGAATCCAAAAATGCAATAAAAAATAGGGGTTGCCATTTAATATAACGAAGTTACTATCTACTTCCGGTGTTTTCCGGAAATGTGGCCATTTTGAAAATATTTTACATCGATTCGGTCTTCAGAGTAACTCCTAAGTACAAATTTTCAAAAACCTACCTATTTTATTTTCCCAGAAACGTTTAACTAAAGCTCCCAAAAAAACACCCTGTACAGCAGACCAAAAAAATAGCGATTTTTATTACGATTTGATCTTCCTATTTTTTTATTCAGCTTATTAATATTTTGTGAGAAATGCTCAGTAGATAAATTGCAACAGGGGTTTAGTGTGATTGTTCTTCGCAAGCGTGGGATACATAGCCGCTATTGATGGTTAGCTTCATGTAGCACAGAAGTAGATTAAAATGTAGGCAATATCCTTAAAACCTCTCTAACTATCCATAGGATAAAAACCAGTAATTTTACTCTAGGGAAGTGAAAACGTCACTAGGCTTTACCTTATAAACCTAATCTAACAATCTCTGCCAATAAGTATTTTAGTGGAGGACCATTACAAATGTGCCATGAAGCACTGCAGAAATAACTTAGGTACTAAGCCCGTTTGTGAAAAGTGGCCAAACCCATAAATTTGGCAATGACAATAAAGAAGCTAAAATTGTGGTCAAACTCACAAACATTTTTATTATATACATTTTAGTAGCTGATGCTTATAAAAGCAATATTTAAATCGTAAACAGCAAATAAAATAAAATTTAAACGATGTGATTAAGAGCCAAAGGTCCTCTAGAAAAAGGTATTTAAGCAACGGAATTCCTTTGTGTTACATTCTTGAATGTCGCTCGCAGTGACATTAGCATTCCGGTACTGTTGGTAAAATGGAAGACGCCAAAAACATAAAGAAAGGCCCGGCGCCATTCTATCCTCTAGAGGATGGAACCGCTGGAGAGCAACTGCATAAGGCTATGAAGAGATACGCCCTGGTTCCTGGAACAATTGCTTTTGTGAGTATTTCTGTCTGATTTCTTTCGAGTTAACGAAATGTTCTTAATGTTTCTTTAGACAGATGCACATATCGAGGTGAACATCACGTACGCGGAATACTTCGAAATGTCCGTTCGGTTGGCAGAAGCTATGAAACGATATGGGCTGAATACAAATCACAGAATCGTCGTATGCAGTGAAAACTCTCTTCAATTCTTTATGCCGGTGTTGGGCGCGTTATTTATCGGAGTTGCAGTTGCGCCCGCGAACGACATTTATAATGAACGTAAGCACCCTCGCCATCAGACCCAAAGGGAATGACGTATTTAATTTTTAAGGTGAATTGCTCAACAGTATGAACATTTCGCAGCCTACCGTAGTGTTTGTTTCCAAAAAGGGGTTGCAAAAAATTTTGAACGTGCAAAAAAAATTACCAATAATCCAGAAAATTATTATCATGGATTCTAAAACGGATTACCAGGGATTTCAGTCGATGTACACGTTCGTCACATCTCATCTACCTCCCGGTTTTAATGAATACGATTTTGTACCAGAGTCCTTTGATCGTGACAAAACAATTGCACTGATAATGAATTCCTCTGGATCTACTGGGTTACCTAAGGGTGTGGCCCTTCCGCATAGAACTGCCTGCGTCAGATTCTCGCATGCCAGGTATGTCGTATAACAAGAGATTAAGTAATGTTGCTACACACATTGTAGAGATCCTATTTTTGGCAATCAAATCATTCCGGATACTGCGATTTTAAGTGTTGTTCCATTCCATCACGGTTTTGGAATGTTTACTACACTCGGATATTTGATATGTGGATTTCGAGTCGTCTTAATGTATAGATTTGAAGAAGAGCTGTTTTTACGATCCCTTCAGGATTACAAAATTCAAAGTGCGTTGCTAGTACCAACCCTATTTTCATTCTTCGCCAAAAGCACTCTGATTGACAAATACGATTTATCTAATTTACACGAAATTGCTTCTGGGGGCGCACCTCTTTCGAAAGAAGTCGGGGAAGCGGTTGCAAAACGGTGAGTTAAGCGCATTGCTAGTATTTCAAGGCTCTAAAACGGCGCGTAGCTTCCATCTTCCAGGGATACGACAAGGATATGGGCTCACTGAGACTACATCAGCTATTCTGATTACACCCGAGGGGGATGATAAACCGGGCGCGGTCGGTAAAGTTGTTCCATTTTTTGAAGCGAAGGTTGTGGATCTGGATACCGGGAAAACGCTGGGCGTTAATCAGAGAGGCGAATTATGTGTCAGAGGACCTATGATTATGTCCGGTTATGTAAACAATCCGGAAGCGACCAACGCCTTGATTGACAAGGATGGATGGCTACATTCTGGAGACATAGCTTACTGGGACGAAGACGAACACTTCTTCATAGTTGACCGCTTGAAGTCTTTAATTAAATACAAAGGATATCAGGTAATGAAGATTTTTACATGCACACACGCTACAATACCTGTAGGTGGCCCCCGCTGAATTGGAATCGATATTGTTACAACACCCCAACATCTTCGACGCGGGCGTGGCAGGTCTTCCCGACGATGACGCCGGTGAACTTCCCGCCGCCGTTGTTGTTTTGGAGCACGGAAAGACGATGACGGAAAAAGAGATCGTGGATTACGTCGCCAGTAAATGAATTCGTTTTACGTTACTCGTACTACAATTCTTTTCATAGGTCAAGTAACAACCGCGAAAAAGTTGCGCGGAGGAGTTGTGTTTGTGGACGAAGTACCGAAAGGTCTTACCGGAAAACTCGACGCAAGAAAAATCAGAGAGATCCTCATAAAGGCCAAGAAGGGCGGAAAGTCCAAATTGTAAAATGTAACTGTATTCAGCGATGACGAAATTCTTAGCTATTGTAATATTATATGCAAATTGATGAATGGTAATTTTGTAATTGTGGGTCACTGTACTATTTTAACGAATAATAAAATCAGGTATAGGTAACTAAACGGATTGAACGTTTCTAGAAAATAACATTTAAGATGCCTTAGCATTGTCGTTTCACATCAAGCGTGAAAAGTTCAGGTGAAATGGACAATTTCGTAAGTTTTTATTTTCCTTGCCAAAAGCTGCACCTTTTGTGGAATTTGAATAACCCGGATAACCCCGGGTGTTCCTATTAGGTGTATGGATGCGACTCGTGGCTGACTCATCATCTACGTAATGTATACCGCCTTTGGGCCAGAATTTCTCCAAATGGCTACATTCCCGACTAGTATCAGATTATATTATTTTATTCTATTTTAGATTATAATCCTTTTTATGTCTTACTAACCTATCATAGCACATTTTATATCTGTGATACGCGGGCATAAAGTACCACATTATGCCCTAGGGCATTAAGTATCACCATAGTAACTCATTTATACTTAATGACAAAACAAACAAATATTTGCAGGTCATTGAAAATTAGAAACGTCAATTATTAATTGTCAATACCTACCTACTAAATCACAAGATTTTCCTCTCCTAAAAAAAGGCAAAAGGGCAAATAAAATATTATATTTGCAACCCTTTAAAACTTTCGAAATGTGTAAGTCATGGGAACTATACGCCCTTTTCTTAATATTCTCTCAAAAAGCGAATGGCTTTGTCCGATGGAGAAAGAGTGATGAAGAAATTAAATATTAATTATTCACTATTTGTGATATGATGGTTAGTGATGCCCCCGTTGGTCTCGTCTCGAATTTTTGAAACGAGACCAAGGTTCAGTCTCGTCTTGTCTCATCTCGACGAGACGAGACTAACCATCAGTCTCGGGCTCTCGACTCTCGTTTGGTCTCGAAGTTTTTTTTGTTTTATTTTACTGTTTTTTTTTTAAATTTTAATCAAGAAAATCCATTGAAATAACATGCATTCCAATTGTTGACATAAACCGTTCCTGACCTTACTGATTTAGGACTTAATTACAATAGGTGTTATATTATACAACTGTAATTTTTCTTAAATCCAGGAAGTCTTCGACAGCTTTATTTTATTGGCGGACAATTGATTTATTAAACCTGTACCCTTATCAAGAGATTTGGTAATAATACTTAATAGAATTGCTTTATATTAAATGCCCTTAATGCTCTCATTTTATTTTCACAAGTTTATGGCATTAAATCCAATCGTTTCTAGGTATATAGGTATAGTGACTCAATTTAGAACAGTGGATACAACCGGGTATCTCGTTTTTGATTGGTAGCTCGTTCTGGTCGCCATATTGGGGCTAAAATGCTATACCTAGGTACTTTAGTATGAGTTTACACTTTTTTGTGTTCTTGCGAAATTCTGGGAACAAAGGCGCTGCTTAAGGTAAAATGTATACTGTGGACATATGACATATTCAAATATAGTTACTGTAAGTATAAGTACTTACATATTTACTGCGTAGTTAAGACCATAAAAGTAAGATTTTACAAAATAACTTGGACAGATTATCTTTAAGTATTTAAGTAACAAAGAATTCAGTGAGACTTTTCTATACCTAGTTACAGTAGTTACATTACCAGTTAAATTTTACGAAAGCTAATATTTTTTTAGCTGCAGAATGGTAAAGAAAATCCTTATAATACACATAATTATGTTTCGTGATTAGCAGATAGATAAGGAAGGTCAATATTATTTGTTATGCCTTCGTGGTGTCTTTTATACATGCTTTACGCCATTTTTGGATAGTATGGCGAGACCACGCGAGACCAAACGACACTAGACGAGACGAGACTTTGAAAGTCTCGTCTCGTCTCGTCTCGCGGCAACAATAATGATTGTAACTGATGCATTTATCTCATGTACATTTACCAAAGATTCAAAAATAGAACATGCAATGTAGAAAAAAAAACTGCTCTTTAATTTCGATTCTATAAATTTTTTTACTCAGATTCACTTTACGAGATAATCGCCGCAAAAAAACAGTGGTGGGCTCATTTTTCTCTTTGCGCTGAAAACTATGCTTATTTTCCAAGGTCATTTACGAGCGTTGGGTGGGAGATACCCAAAAACAGTAAGAAACATCTTTATAGAGAATTTAATGAAGAATATAAAAAGTCCTATAACATTTTTTTGTAGAAGTTGTGGTTTACGAGCAAAACCCCGAAAAATTCGCGAGGTCACGATTGGGAGTGGTGTTTTGGGCAAAAGGGGAGGTGGGAACTTTTCAGATCTGTATTTGGGTCCCTACTGAGAGTTCATATCCAAATTTTTAAAACTTTATAAATTTTTTCTTCTATTCCTTGTTTTACGAACTAACTTGCTTACACTATTAGTGACAAATTCCTGCAAGAACTACTAATCCCTTTTAACTTTTTAGAAATTGTGCTAAAATAGAATAAAACGTTGTATGTACCGCGGGCATAATCGATTATGGCCCTCGAGAAATTAAAAGCCCTCCTTCGTCGGGCTTTAAACATTCTCTCGTGCCATAATCTTTTGATTATGCCCTTAATACATAAATAACTATTTCCTACGTTTAAAATACGATATTTACTCATACATATTAACTATACAGTTTATTTTCTACTGTGACAACATTGAAATAAGCTTTCCTATTTTACGGTGTGAAGCACCTAGTCCTGTTTTTGACGTACCTTAATAGTAGGGGAGCTCAATAGGAGATTTTGAGCTTTACTCGAGTAAGGGGGGTTGATTACGTGTTGAAAAGTGCATTTCAATAATCTGGTGCGCCCGAATAAATCCCGTTTCTACCCTTCGGTACCTACAGTCTTCCATTAAGTATGCGCGCCATCCAGCCAATCCGTGGCGGAGATTTACCTACACGATGTTTTTTATATTCCATACATAATGGCATCGATATACCTTTCGAACAAGTAAACAATTTCGATATCTCACACAAACATAGGAAGCGCTCAATGAAATACTCTGTAGAATGCAAATGAAACATGTTCCATCAAGAATAAAAGGAAAAAATATCCTTTATGCAATTAACCGGAAGACTTAAGTATAAGAAAATAAGATAAGGGATAAGTATGGCTCATAACATGATAATTTTACCATAATTTTGGTATTGACAGAAACGACGCCATGGTGTAAAGGTCACGCACAAGATAAACGTGAAGCTTAAAGTACTGCTTATCAAAGTAATTTATTGAACCATTAGATATCGAAGTATAACTAATTTTGATTATAATTAAATTATTATTTACTACGTCACTTAATCGCACAGAGTAGAATTCTTTTATTATTCAGCGCTATGGCAGCAAATGAAGATGGTATTCTGTGTGGTCCGCAAGAAGAATTTAAGATTTGGTTCGACTCTCTTGGAAAACACTTCTACGCTTGCCTGAAGGATAAAGACCCAAATGATATTATAGCGGTATGTATGATTGTATACGTCTTTGGTTTCGGGCACTCAGAGGATGCTTGAGATTATTACCTATACGAGTACCTACTGTAGTACTATCATCAGCAATTGTCATTTCTGAAATTGTTAACAACCACACAATCGGATTGTGCCGCTTATCTGTTATCGCGCAATATTCATCGCAATTACCATCAGAGAGTCTTGTTTCAGATTGATCCAGTTTCGAAAGAGTCCATAACGGCTGGAGACCTGTTAGACAAAAGCGTCAGGTTATCATGCGCCTTACGACGGCTGTCTGTACAAAAGGACGATATAGTTGCCATAATTTCCGAAAACTGTATCGGCTACTATGTGGCTCTACTAGCCTCATTCTATTGTGGAGCAATCAATTTCCTAATCAACGCCGCCTATGTGCCACGTAAGTGGAGATTTTTCGCAAATGAAATCTTAAATTCATAACATTGCTGCAGGAGAATTAAAGCATGCCTTCACTATTGCGCAGCCTAAAATAATACTGTGCACCTCATCGTCGTTGCCAAACGTGTTAAAAGCTAAAGAAGAACTCATGATTGAATCTACTATCATTTCAATTAACGAATTTGTGAATAACGATCTAGAGTACTTATGCATGAACTCTTTGATTCAAAATGAAGCAAGGGTCGATGACTTTAAAGTGGAAACTGTTGATAGCAAAGATATAGCTGTGCTCTGCTTGTCCTCGGGCACTACGGGTTTGTCGAAATGTGTCGAGCTCTCACACCGAAACTTCATACCATTCGCCAATGCTCTTCGGTAAGAAATGATCACCGTAATCATAAACCTGATCTTTATTTCTAGAGATGAGCGATATCTCAACTTAAAAGATGACGTGATTCTATCAGTTCTACCATTTTTCCATATATACGGATTACTAATTTGCACATCCGCAATAATGACCTCCGTCAAAGTAGTTGTAATCTCTTCATTTAAACCTGACATATTCTTAGATTCTATTCAGAACCTAAAGGGAACGCAATTATTTCTCGTGCCTCCTTTGCTTCAATTTCTTTTAAAAAGTCCCTTAGTTAACAAGTACGACATTTCATCCGTGAAAAGCATTGTTGTCGGAGCTGCGCCAATCGGAAACGATTTATATAAAGAATTCCAAAATAGGTATGTATGTCTTTGGGTTTGAAAGCAACTAAATGAACCTGCAGGTTCAAGGATATAACAGTTCGACAGGTTTACGGCTCAACGGAATGTGGCGGTTTAGTATCAATTCAAAACTACACGGATCACACCGAAAACGTGGGGTCACTCATTTTCGGCTTTAAGGGCAAGATCGTTGATCTGTCAACCCAGAAACCGGTTTCTTCGTTACAAATTGGCGAATTATGTCTCAAAAGCATGTCCATTATGGTCGGCTACCATAATAATGATATAGAAACTCGAAATTCATTCGATGATGATGGTTTTTATCATACAGGGGATATCGGATACTATGACGAAGAAGGGAAGTTGTTTATTATCGACAGGATAAAGGAAATTATAAAGTATAAGGGTTTTCAGGTTGGTGTGCGCGATATTGGAAAAGTGTCGTAATCTACGCGCTTATTTTTGTATTTTAGGTACCCCCTTCGGAATTGGAGGATATCATCATGTCGCACCCTGCTGTACAAGACTGCGGAGTTATTGGTATGCCTCATGACAGAGCTGGTGAAGTTCCGGTAGCTTTTGTTGTTGTACAGGATGGCATGAAAGTTACGGAGGAGGAATTAGTGCAACTTGTAGCAGGTATAATAATCAAATTACAAGCCGCAAGTACCTACACTTTGAATTTCAGAAAATGTATCTACCCATAAACATCTTTATGGTGGTGTACGTTTTATGGAAAAAATTCCAAGAACGGTGACAGGAAAAATCTTAAGAAGAGAGCTCAAAACACTTATTTAAAAACACTTTTAATACTTAGTTCCCAAGTGTAGTTGGTACAATTAAAATTTTCATCTTTTGAAAAATTTGAAGTATGTTTCTATATGGTTTCGTCCAAAAACCACCTAAGTTTACATTTTGTTACGTTTACTTTAGGCAAAATTGTCTTAGATAAGCACACGATAAGCTCAGGCAAAGTAGAGGTGGGTCGGGGTGAATATTGGGGTACAAGCAAAAATAAAGCAAAAGGTAATAATAGTGGTAGTAATCTGAATTGACGCCACTTAGTGTCTTAAATGTCGAGAAAGGACCAAATACTTACTAAAAAGGGGAAACAAGGCAGACTAAGAGATCCTTGTTCTGATTTGGGGAGCTAAAAGGGAATAACACGCTGAACAATAATTGACGTCACAATCGATGGTTATTTAATCCAATGATCTCAATAATAAATCAAGTAAGATACTGTAATATAAGATCTGCTATGCCAATAATTCAATTTTAATTAATTTTAGAAAAAAAAGGGAGTCAACACGTAGTCGGAGAGAATATTTATCCAAATAGGTTTCCGCAAAAACAACGGAGCTATAATCGTAAAGTGAATTTCAAGCAAATGTAACAATTACAATTCGATGGTATCGAAGACCAATATACAGTGTGTCCCATATCGGGTGGGATTGCATGGGTAACTTTGTTATTATTAAGGATAGAGAATTGGTTAAATGGGCAATGTTTTGCAGTTATAGATGCTTATTTAAAATTTCCTTTTGGAAATTCAAAATGTCGCATAGGTTCGACGTAAATTCAAAAAAACTAAAATTGGTCACTCGATTGGTAATTTCCTTGAATGTCTTATATCATCGAAAGTATAAGAGATATAAAAAAAAGTTTTATATAAAAGTGACTGTCTTTGATACGCTTAATTTAGAATTGATGTAAAAAAAATTCAAGGTGGCCACTTTTGAGGAACATTTACCAACTTCCTAAAGTTAAATTATAATAATTCTCTTTTCAACCAGCCATCATAAGCATAACATAAGATTGAAAATAAGATACCAGTTATATCAACGGTTTTTATATTTTAATTAAGTAGGCTGTGATGAATTAAAAAAAACAAAACAAAATCTATTCAAGGCAACAAAACAATGAAAATAATTACATCAGATGTTTAAAAAAATCAGGGACGCACTCATGAGAGGGGGGGTTTGGGCATTACAACTCCCTCCAAAATTTTATATAAGCATTAGGTCTAGAACAATTTGATTTTTATAACATCACTTATTGACTTATTATCCATACTTACATACCTACAAATGGTCACTTGATTAAAATACAAAAAACCGTTGATACAACTGGTATCTTATTTTCAATCTTATGCTATGATAGCTCGTTGAAAAGAGAATTTAAAAATCTATCAAGTAATCTAAAAATCCAATATGGCGCCCATTTAACTTTAGGAAGTTGGTAAATGTTCCTCAAAAGTGGCCATCTTGAATTTTTTTTGACATCAATTCTAATTAAACGTATCAAAGACAGTCACTTTTATATAAAACTTTTTTTTATATCTCTTATACTTTCGATGATATAAGACATTCAAGGAAATGACCAATTTTAGTTTTTTTGATTTTACGTCGAACCTATGCGACATTTTGAATTTACATAAGGAAATGTTAAATAAGCATCCAAAACTGCAAAACATTGCCCATTTAATGAATTCTCTATCTTTAATAATAACAAAGTTACCCATGCAATCCCACGCGATTTGGGACACACTGTATAGGCAATCAAACGTTAAAGTAGGGTAAATCGACCAAATTAACAACCTTTACCTTTTGAACTACAGGTCGCAATGGCCTTGTTGAGCACAAGAAGGGCGCGTATACTGCAAATCTGTAAACAAACAACAAGAGGGGTAATGATTGGGCCACGTATAGCAATGTACCGTCTGACACTGAAACTAATCGTATACTGAGAACTGCAATTAATATCCTACTTAAAATGACTCAATAACTCGAATGACTTTAACCTAGCAAAAGTAAAATTTGTCTCGACTACTAAAATAATTGTCCTTATATCCGTATGTGAAAGCCAAGTATCGTAATTTAATACCTACAGCGCCAGTATATTCCAAAAAATGTCGACAAAATTATCAAGTAAGCAATGGCTTTGGGGACCATGCTCGAAGGCTGACTGTACACTGCCGTGTGACCATACTCCCCCCCGAGAACAGGCCATTCAAGCATTGTTGCATTCTGAAAAATAAGGGGTTTTTGAATAGCAGAGGTAAGATAATATTCTGAAAATTTTGAAGATACCTACTTTTAACAAAAAATACACGTGATTTTGGGTAGGAGAGGGGGGGGGGGGAATCTTAAATTTCAACACGTATCGCCAGGGAGGGGGGTTTACAAAATTGCTAAAAAACATCACGCAACTTTTCTTATCCTTTATTCTACGATGCGGTATTGATACCTACGCATCATTGGTAGTTTATGTTGATTTAATAAACAAATGTGTTTTTCCTATACAGTTACTTCAAATATTGATAACCTCTTCGTCGTGCTATGGTAGAATCTATAAATAATTTCATGGTTAACCTTGTCGAAGGGAAAAGTTCATGCAGAAGGCTGCCACACGGTCACATGCATTTGAAAACGAGATGAGAAGTGTGGTCGCATGTCACAAATGGAAAGCTTGGTCTATTGCATTAGTGGAATTACAAAATTGATAAGTTAAAGTGATAAATCCATTATACTTGCATGTAGTAAGTGAACTTAGGTACTTGCTAATCGGTGTGCTAAGCTGAATGTTTATTAACGATGGCAACAAACAATAGTTGTATTATTTCTGGCCCCAAAGAAAAATTTAAGATATGGTTTGAATCCCTAGGTATATATCTGTATAACTGCCTCAAAGACAGAAAAGCGGACGACGTTTTAGTGGTATGTGTCCTATAACATTGTAATTTACTTAGATTAGAGCCTGTTTTATCACATTCTAATAAACTTAACTGACAGATAACCTCCATTATGAAACTGACGCTTAGTTAATTTAAGATTTTCAATTGCGTTTTTTGTCTGCTCAATTTTAGTAAATGGGGTTCAGGCCCACCTAGAACGTGGTCTTACCCCCTCTGGAAGCTATGGGTAATGGTTCCCGTACATAATAGTTCCATAAAATTTACACCCTTCACAATAGATAAATCGTTGCGTTAAAGTGTAGAAATTTACTGATCTTGTTACCCTGTAACGACTGTTACAACTATTAGAAAGAATTTTCTTAGTTTTCTTCTTTTATTGTCGTACGTTGAGAGCTACCTTTTGTACTTTACTCCTCAGCTCAAGTAAAAATAGATAAGAATAGGAAAGAATTGAATTGAATTTTCCTTCTCATTGATAATCAAAAACTTCATATAACATTTTTCAATGTGAAAATTGTTTAACATTTCAGAAACAAATTCAGATAACAAATGAATAACGAAAAACAATTGAATTTTTGTTATAGGTTATACCACTGACTTGCAATTAATGGTGAACATTTTGAACATTCATTGCGATGAAACCCATTTTAGCTAATTTCGTTTTGTCTTCAAAGTTTAATAAGAAACGTTCACGTTCATTTGTTTTATTTTGATGTAGGATATCTGGATAATAAATTTTTTTGGAAACTTTTCTTGAATACGGGTACTAACATGTTGGAGTGCTGCCATTAAAAAAAATTCAATTGTTTTTCTTTCCTCATTTGTTTTCTGAAATAAAAACAACTGAATGTTACTTTATTATGGGAAATAATGTTAAACAACTTTCATATAGAAGAATTTTGTATATACTTTGAGATATATACTATATTCTATACATAATGGGCACACTGTATATTATATTTATATTAAAACTGCCGTTTTCGCACGACTCAATCTTATCTGTTGTCCTACATACATTAAGATACATACTACAATTACCTACCTAAATTTGTTTCAGATAGATGCTGATTCCAAAATCCAATTAACATGTGGAGATGCTCTGAGTAAAAGTGTCAAGCTCTGCAAATTTCTAAAGTCTATTCCACTACGAAAAGGAGATGTCGTGGGAATAGTCTCGGAGAACCTCCCAAATACATACGTGGCGCTCTTAGGAGCGTTGCTGGCAGGCACCACTGTGTTATTATTAAATCCCAGCTACACTCGACGTAAGTTTGTACGGTTCAGTGAACGCTTCTAATCTTTAACACAGGAGAACTCGTACACGCACTTGGCATTGCAAAACCAAGCGTTATACTCAGTTCGCTAACTGCGATACCAAATTTGTTGCAAGTCAAAAATACATCTTCGTTAACTTTTGACATCATAACGATCGATGGCTCTTGGGACAAGAACAATTCACGGTTACCAAGCATCGATTATTTGATCGAAAACCTGAGCGAAGACTTTGAAATCGACAAAGTCGAGATACAAGACATAGCTTTCCTCTTGCTGTCTTCTGGAACAACCGGTTTACCGAAATGCGTCAAAATTAGTAATCAAAATATGATCTTGGGAGTAAATACAATTAAGTAAGACAAAGATTGTCAAAATTTGATGATAATTAGACATTTTAGTGATTCGAGATACTTAAACGTTGGACCGGATGATGTAGTCATATCAATTTTGCCTTTTTTTCATGTATACGGGCTTTATATACATTTGACACCAATTGTTGCGTCCACGAAGGTAATACTTATGAAAAAATTTAAACCGGACCTCTTTTTACAATCAATTCAAGACTATAGAGTGACAAAATTGATAACTGTGCCCCCCATAGTGCATTTTCTACTGAAAAGTCCGGCGGTTAGTAATTATGACGTTTCAAGTATCAACGACATGCCAGTGGGTGCTGCTCCATTGGGACAGGATATATACGAAGAATTTCTAAAGAGGTTTCACGATTTTCTTGCAATATATATATAGTTACTTATAATCCCCTTCATTAGATTTCCACATGTTTCTATTCGACAACTGTATGGTCTCACTGAAACTAGTGGTATATGCACAATCCAACAGAGTACAGGAGGCGGCGCAGATGTGGGGACACCCTTATGTAATTCACAATGCAAAGTGATTGACTTATGCTCGGAAAAACCCGTTAAAGCTTTACACGTTGGCGAATTATGCATAAAGGGCATAGGCGTTTCCAGTGGTTACTATAAGGGGAAAACGGAAGCAGATGTTCCCATCGCTGATGATGACGGGTTCTATCATACCGGCGATCTGGGATACTATGATGAAGCAGGAAAGCTGTTTATTGTGGATAGACTTAAAGAAATAATTAAATATAAATGTTACCAGGTAACTGCCTACTTACGTATCGAAAACAAAAGCGACATTTATTTCTTGTAGGTATCCCCTTCCGAACTGGAGGACGTTCTCTTAAGTCATCCGGCTGTGAGGGATTGTGGAGTTATCGGCATACCTGACGAACGAGCCGGAGAGTTGCCTCTGGCATTCGTTGTTCGGCAAGATGATACAAATATTACCGAACAAGAATTAGTCGAATTTGTCGCTGGTAAAAATCATACACGTGCCCCTGAAGATAATCATCACGTTTGATTCTGTTTCAGAAAACCTATCAATTCACAAGCATTTATACGGAGGTGTGCGATTTATCGAAGAAATACCAAGGACGATATCTGGAAAAATTTTAAGAAAAGAACTTAAGAAAATATGTTATTAAAATGTAGGTTTTACTGTAAAATTTAGCGTAATATAAAAAGAAGGGCGAGCAAGAATTTCTTCCTGTTCACACCGCCAGCCTGTGGCGCAGTGCTTGCGGGGGGGGGGGTCTGTGGATTCAAATCCCGCTGTCGACTGCTCTGTCTGGGGTTTGTCAGGGCGTTTTAGACGTTCGTAGCTTCGCATAATGCTGAAATCCTTGATGCGATAGTTGGAGCAGTCTGCAGTACTTTTTCCTCTCATCACCATCTCCACTCCCATCCCTAACTGTACCCATCCATACATCCCAGTTAATCATATGGTCAGTAATTACGTCTATTGTGGGGATAATTGAAGGTGGAATAGAGGACAGATTTAAAGGTGAAATAGAGGACACACAAAACAATACATAGTAAATACAAGTAAAATGTAATTCAATTAGATCGCACTTATACAGGGTGATTTCTAACCTCCCTGCCAAACAGAAATGCTACCTAGAGGGGATCAAAATAAACGTTTTTTTCAAATAAAGTTTTAATCAAATTCTAATATTAAGAAAGTTATTTACATTTTTCAAAATTGACAGTTACTGGTTTTCGTTTATTGAAAATCGCTGATTTAAACTAATGATACTTGATTATTAAAATTGTAAATGTCAAAAATGACGTATTAAGTAATTAATTTGTTAACACATTAATTTGTCTGCAATGGCGAATTACAGTGACAATGAATACGTATTTGATCAAAACTTTATTTGAAAGAAACGTTTATTTCAATCCCCTCTAGATACCATTTCGAGTGATATATGGAAACGGCGAATACAGCCCCGAGGAGAGTCAAGAAATTGTTAAAAAGTATGAGTTAGGTGAAGTAATATGTGATTATACGTATAGGTAAGGGATGCCAAGTTGGAGTTGTTTAATGAATAGTTGCAAGCGTGGAAGAATGACTCAGCACCCGATGAAGAGATTCTTAGGAAGTTCTAGTTCCCTTCACTAATCTAAATCTCAAGGCAAAAGGATTAGAAGCAATTTAACCCATCTTAATTTATTCCCACAAAGAACTTAAGAGTAAGATGTGAATTCATGGTAACACTAGAAGTATTATTTCTCCTAGAAAATAGTTACCTACCTTGAGATAATACTTGTAATTATCATTCTAAAATTAGATTCTGAAACAAGCAACAGTAGTGTTTGGCGCATAGGTATGTCCTTCAGCAGTTGATCGTTACGCTTCATATCAATGTGTAATCCATAACTCCTACTCTAAAAATCACAATTAAAATGAAACCCCTAGCTTCTTAAGTCAGAAGTTGTAGTGGTTGATGGGGCCCCTTATCAACTAACACCCCATTTTATAACTGTTCTAGCATGATGATGTTTAATATTTAATGATTTTCAATTTATAAATTGTTATAAATTAATTTTTAAAACTTATACACGGCGAAAAAAATTATCGTGTAGAAGGTACACGATACTTTTATCATTGTTTAAAATTTAAACAATGACCTTAAATAAATTTTACGGGTTGTATCAGAGTTTAAATGCTAACTTCCAACTTCTAACAAAAATGTTTGTACAAAAGTAGGCACTGAAGCAATTTTATTTATTCAAGTAACCAATGTAAAATGTATAAACAATACTAAGCACAAATTCCTCCACTAATGTACCCAATTCTGACAAAGGGCTATGCAACTATCACAACAAAAGTATTTGATTGTGCGCATCGCCATGTATCCAGTAATAGCAAAACCAACACCCCAAGATATTCCTCTAGCCGGTTGAGGAACAACATGAACAGCATAAACTATGGTGTGGGCAATTCTTGCCAATGTGTATGTGCTGTATAGAGCGACAGCCACTGACGGATTTGGATCAGTTAAGGCGTATCCGATACCAGCCATATAGAAGATCGGAATGTTTTCCAAATCGTTCAAATGCGCCCTGAAACCAACAAAAGGTCAGAGAACCCAATCTAACTTTTATCTTTATGTATGTTGTTTTGCAATCGATAACAGACCTTCGAACGCGATCGACATCCGGATGGGATTCAATTGTCTTTCCTTTTAACAGAGTAAGATCTTCAGGTGACGCGGGGACCTGCAACAAAATATGCTTAGTCAAAGGCGTAGTAACTGGCAGGCAATAGCGTTAAGCACCAGGCACCTATGTAAAAGTGTCGTTTACATTATTTTAGTTTTCTCTCTGATGCTTTTCGTCAGACATAGGGAATAATGAAAATTTAAACTTCGTCTGAATGCCAGTAGAACGCTTCTTCGCCACCGGGGCAGCTTTTTTTAGTTCGTTTAACCTACTGACGTATTGCTTCACCCCCAAGATGTATTTATTTCCACTGAGAACATTTAGAAACAGTTCATGCACCTTCTCTTGTATTAGTTGGTGCAAATTTTCTATCACGTTTACATCGAAATTCGTTAGATGAATTATTATCAAATGTTGAAGAACTTCTTCTCATCATTTCTATTCCTTTCCGCTATAGAACGTCATTTCAATTTTCTCGTGACACTTCGTCCAAGTTCTTCAGATATTCATCAAGTAGCGTTCGTCCAATGGCCACGTTAATTGTTGGTGATGGTTAAGTACACTGTTGAGTTGACGGGAGAGTGTTAATGTATGGGTATGGGTATGGGAGACATTGACAGTTTGACGGGAGATGAAAGTCCATATTTATGCAATGTGTACTTCGGTCTGAGACAATCTCAAGACCGTAGGAAAATTCGTAACCTGAATCGCAGGCTTGCAGTTCATAACTTGTTAGTTGGTAATAGTCTACACCGATAAAATAGCAATACACGATAAGTGGTTATCATATTTACATTGCAGTTTAGATTAATTACAATTTTCTTTTTATTTAATGTATATTTATATTATCTATATCATTTATAATATGCCATGTATTGAACCAAACAAAGACGAGAACATAGAAATCAGTAGTGTTGAGTATAAAAATGAAAAGTAATGGGCAAGATGAATGAATGAAGATGGTATTACTAATTCCCATAAAATAATCTTGACCTTTCCCTCATCAGCAGGGACTGCGCACTAAAAAACACTTTTATTTTATTTTTAGACGTACGGTCAATAAACTTAGGTACCTAGCTAGGTTACAACTTTCACATTATTTCAAGTGTAAAAAGCTATCTACATCTAAAATGCATCACTTACACCGTGTATTTTTCGTTGTCTTCCTGTCAATATAGACATGCCCATCATTTTTAGGACTAATATAGAACTGCATGTTACAAATGCGCAAAACACTGTATTGTCGGTATCCAATACTTTTGATAAACCAGCCATTTCGTATTCAGCGTTAAACCCTCTCGTGTGTTTTCTAGTCTGAAGAACAAGTATTACCTAACTACCCGACTGTTTACTAACGACTGAACGCGTGATTATGATTAACTCTAATAGTACTAGTAGATCCTACTGTTAGAAATTCCTTTAGACGCTGCATGCAGTTAGTTTTACAACATATAGATGCCGCCATTAGTAAGAGATACTGTTTGTTTGAGAGAATGGTGACAAGTAACGGGTGATAAAAAATGAGTTGCTGTCGAGTCGCCTTTGGAAGTTCAATTTAAGTACGATTTTCCATACAAACAAAAATTCCAAAGGTGACTCGACAGCAACTCATTTTTGATCGCATAGTATTAGGACTATTATAGCGTTTGCTACTTAAATTTCTCCTAATAAATCTTGTGCAGTTATTGAATATTGATTGAGGTAGCAAGTAAATAATTGGACTATTAACCAGGGGCGGACTGGCACGGGGGGGCGGGTGGCGATTGCCACCTAGCCTGTAGATCATAATGGCCCGTTGGAAATTTATAAGTATGTGCTGTATTTAGTTTCTTGCACTATTAATAAATTATTAACACGTTTCTCTAATTGGGGTTGATGTTAGGTTGTTAAAAAATTCTGTTTTAATTGAAGTGTTTTACAATGAATTTATCATTGTTTGTCGTAGTATTTTGAAAGTGCTGAAATACAATGATAGGCGACGCACCTCGTGTGGATTGTATATTTTATTACTTTTAATTATCAGCTGCAATTTAAAAAAAACTTTTCGAGAAAGGAGTACTTTAAAATGTTTTTGTGGTGCACTTCAGAGCTATGTAATAGCCCTACTATTACCGTCTCACGTTTCTGATTGATAAAAAAATAAATCTACATAAATTATATTGAAAAAAAAATAAAATAAATCCAAATTCCACTGCACTCACAATATTGATTTTCTTTTTTTTATATTAAATCTTAATTACTCAATTACTTACATCTATTCTGAATCTGAATAATATTTAAATTTATTTAATATAACACTTAATTAAATACCTACAGCAATGAATATCCTTCTAACTTCTAACTTATATTTATCCTATCTATATAAAACCATTCGGCAAAAACAATTATAAAATGACAAAATAAAAATTTTATATGAATAAATTTCTAGGTGAATAACTTTTCATAAAAATAACTTACATTTAAACAGTAGTATTCTTCCCCTTTTTAGATGGTGGGTATTGTAGTGGAGGATGATTTAGATTATTCTCAATCTTCATCTATTAAATCCAATCGCGTAATCCCAATTGAACAACAATTTCTTAGCGCAATTTTCGTACTTTATATAATTTCTGAACGGAAGTCTTTCAATCGCACGTTAAACTAAACTGCAGTTACTCAATGATTAATACTTTCCGAACAATTCACTATTCCAGAACGACCAACTTGTTCCTGGTTAAACAATACGATTCTAAATTAATACGCGCAACAAATTTTATTTGGTTTGGGCCTTTTTTTACTTAAAAGCTGCTTTTTCCGCGATGACACTCGCCCGTGCGAATGTCTACAAAAAAACTTTATAAGTGGTGGCCGCGTTTTCCGCGGCGGTATCCACGCTCCGCGTGAATATCTACGCAAAAAGCCCCTCAATTTCTGATCATTTTGGTTTTTATATCGCGAGTAAACCAACGCCCGTAATTAACGCTCCCATCGAGTTTCCGGAAATAAACAAACTCATAATTTTTTAGCCTCGCTATTTTGTTACATATTTTTCTTAGAATCTATTGCGTCTTTTAACCGGTGACCTTTTTTAAATCACGTACTAATCGTTAACTCGCCCAAAATAGGAAGTCCAAAACCAATAACTCATCTTATATTTCACGATATTTGAAACTTAATTACATCGAAAAAAAAAATGTTTGTTAATTTTAATGAAAACTACAACTTCACAGAAATCTGAATCATCGATACGCATTTATACCCGAATATAATTTTGTAATCCACAAAACTTGAAAAATTCAACAAGCTTCCGTTACAGCTACCCCCCTCCCCGCGGCACCTTCATTACTAAACTAATACGCCTAATAACCTTCCTTTTTTACCAAAATTCGACTACACCAAAATTTCTTTTAACTTTTGAACTAGTAGCCCAATCTTGGAACTGTTTGAAATTATGGATTCTACAGGCCACATTTTATAAGAAAATTTTTTTTCCGGGTCGATCTGAGACAATTTTTTTTTCGGGGCCCAAAAAAGGCAGTTATTACCTTCCTTTTTTACCAAAAATCCACTGCACCAAAATTTCTCGGGCAAACACTTTTTCTTATTAATTTGGGTGCGTAGAATCCAAATCAATTCGTACTTTTTCGATCAGACTTCTCAATCAAAAGTTATAGACTAGAAACCAATTTCGAAAGAAAATTCAAAGGGCTGTAACTTTTGAACTAGTAGCCCAATCTTGGAACTGTTTGAAATTATGGATTCTACAGGCCACATTTTATAAGAAATTTTTTTTTCCGGGGCGATCTGAGACAATTTTTTTTTCGGGGCCCAAAAAAAGGCAGGCAGTTATTACCTTCCTTTTTTACCAAAAATCGACTACACCCAAATTTATCGGGAAAACACTTTTTCTTATTAATTTGAGTGCGTAGGATCCAAATCAATTCGTACTTTTTCGATCAGACTTCTCAATCAGAAGTTATAGACTAGAAACCAATTTCGAAAAAAAATTCAAAGGGCTGTAACTTTTGAACTAGTAGCCCAATCTTGAAACTGTTTGAAATTATGGATTCTACAGGCCACATTTTATAAGAAATTTTTTTTTCCGGGGCGATCTGAGACAATTTTTTTTTCGGGGCCCAAAAAAAGGCAGGCAGTTATTACCTTCCTTTTTTACCAAAAATCGACTACACCAAAATTTATCGGGAAAACACTTTTTCTTATTAATTTGAGTGCGTAGGATCCAAATCAATTCGTACTTTTTTGATCAGACTTCTCAATCAGAAGTTATAGACTAGAAACCAATTTCGAAAAAAAATTCAAAGGGCTGTAACTTTTGAACTAGTAGCGCAATCTTGGAACTGTTTGAAATTATGGATTCTACAGGCCACATTCTATAAGAAATGACAATGTTTATTTCGGGGCTCAAAAAAAGGCAGTGTATAACCAGGGGCGCAATTTAAAAAAAAACTGTATGGTAATTTATTTTCGAGTACTTTAAAATGTTTTTGTGGTGCACCTCCCCCCCCCCCCCGATCACCATCATTACTACACTAATACTTTAATGGCCCTATGCAATTCCACCTGGCCCGCAGTTACCCAGTCCGCCCCTGCTATTAACTCAAAAAGACCAGCATTTGCTACTAGCGATCTTATCCAAAATGTGAATGTAATCGGGGGTCCCTTGCTTTGTATCTGTATCACATCCTGTCGATAATTCGATATATTCACCTTGTAGCTAGATAAAGAAAATGGATACAAATTCAGTCATGCTCACTCTAAACATGAAAAATAATAGTATTAGTTTATTTATTCTAAAATGGCCCTAAACCTTGGTTTGCACACTTTTCGCCTTCCAAACTTCAGCGCTAAGCATTACTGTAAAGAAAGCTGCCCGATATCATTTCAAATGTTTATTAATTTACCTGTTGTTTTCTTTGCCAATTGCCAAATGGAATTTGGAATATAATCAACTGCTATTAATTGTATGTAAATGGTAAAATAACCTCACTAGTTTATTTGCAAATATATTACAATATTATACATTACAGGTACTAAGTCGTAGTGATCCATTTCAAAAATAAAGGATCTACATATATCTAATTCTTACGTCTATATAATATAGTTACTTAATTGCAACAGAAAAAAAAACAACTAAACTAAATAGTTGTCGGATTCAGTGGGGTGTGGAACAATTGTACCAAGAGCACTTTTTTGACGATTGACTATTGCAGATATCATCTACAGGTAATACTGCACCATTAGTCAGTTTTGGCTCAATTGTCACATTTTGCTCGTAATAGTTTGGAGGAACAATTACACGAAGGCATCGTCAGCATTTTCTGGCTTGGTGTTCGCAGCTTGACCGTTCGATTTTATCATTAGTAACGGAATAGGGTGGGAATTATTAGCAGTGTGTAGAGACGATGTAGTTAAGGTGTATTGCTGAGCTGTTTTTCTGCATAAGCCGCATCTGTTGGAAGAAAAATGAATTGAAATGTAAAAGTTTGAGATACGTACCTCGAAAGTAAAAGGAAGAAGTCTCTTCGGTATTGCGAGGTCATTATCGCGTATAAGTAGGGATTGGCACATGAATTGAGAGGGTAAAAGAAGACGAGCAGTATTTTGCTTCTTGTCACCCCTATTAGTGGATATCCAGCTAGCGCAGTCAGTGAAAAAAACGCTATGGGTGCCCAACAAGCAAAGTCGGTGAAAACCAAGAGTGCCATCTTTTTTGCGATTGTCATCTCGCCATGAGTACTGCTGTGCCTCGTCTCGTAACCGAGACTGAAATAAATCTGCGCGTAGCAAAATACGATCAACGCAAATGCTATAGTGTTCAATACTATAATTGTTATTAAATAAGCCTTATCTACTATATGATTCACTTCCATGGGAAGACAAATACTGAAACAATCAAAGTAGTAGGTAGCACATACGGTCAAGCCACAAGTACCTGGTACTACTATAGTTGCTCACCCCAAAAAGGGGAAGAGCAGCGATCAAAATGGAATATAGCCACCCCAAGCACATTATCTTAGATGCGGCTCTAATGCGTATCCTTCTGGTTAAATGCATCGCGTGCGTGATGGCAAACCATCTCTCCACAGTGACAACGGTTAGTGTAAATACCGACAATTGACTCGCAAACATCGTTAAAAAGCCCGCAATCTGACAGCCGACACCTAAAAACCAGTTAGCTGGAAAATTTCATTGTACGTGATCTTGAACGTAACACAACCCAAATTTGAATAACTTACCGTACTGCCAATCATACGCGCTGTTGAAATAAGTCCCGACAGAGTGCAAGTCCATACTCGCAATAAATAATAGGTATAGTCCCATAAAAAAATCGGCGAATGCTAAATTGCATATCAAAAATCTTTGCACCGTTATTTCCCCGCCGCTAAATATTACGACGATTATCACAGCCATATTTCCCATCACCGCCAATATTACCACGAACCAAACGCTTATACGTAACCAGTAGGAACCCATGATGTCTTCACAGGGATTAAGGGCGTTTGGTTCTGGATAACACTTAATGAATCGGGTGCTGGAAAGAAACAACGTTAAAATTGATGCGCGATATCTACAACGGCTTTTTGACTTCTCTTCATAGTTAGATTTAATAAAGTGTGTAATTTTCATAACCGAATTCTTTAATTTCGAGTATCTACCACTCTTCTTGTACTTAAACTGTTAGGTCTACAGTCTAGGAGCTACTGAACATTATAAGGTCCACATTCTGCCTGGATATTTTAACTCGTATCTATCGTCCCCTCCGTGCCTGGCACTTTAAATTTGAGGCATAACTGATAAAAATAATTATTAAAAAGTGAGTTCAAATTTCTCATTCCACTTTGTCACTCAGTAAAAATTAGCGACCTTACAGTTTTTCTGTTCGTAGCAACTGTACATCAAATAAATCGGACTTTCCCGAAAATATCTTAAAACGGAACAGATGTGTTTTCAGAATAACCGTGGGTCCTTAATTTAGCTCTTTTCATTTCGTGTGTGCCTCCTGTATAGTTACAACATTGTACACATAAAAAATGCAGCCTCTACGTTATGGACTCCATGCTATATGCTGCGGTCTTGCTTGGAGATCAAAGAAAAATTAATAATCATTGCACTTCGATTTGATTTGCTTTATTGAGCAGAAGGAAAAATGCAAAGGAGTTATTGTTTTCGCAATATCTGATGCGGTACGAGTGAAAGAATTATCTATTAACTACTTATTGGTTATATTGAAGACAAAGATACAGTGCTTGTCATTGAAATTCCGAAGGCAAAGCTCAAGTCAATCATATTTTCACGGTAATTTCTAAAGGTACGTCTAGTTTCATAAGCAGTTCTCGTCGAAAAAAACATTTTTGACCGTCTAGCTTCAAAAGGGTCAGAAATGGGGATCAGTTTTTTCTATTTCGTCGCGAAAGTACCCTTAACCTATTAAAAGTGCGCAATTTAGGACACCCTGCACTAACACGCAATTTTAAAGAGTCATTTTAGGCGTTAGATGTTCACAATATTCGTGGTGTCTAAATGAGTTTTTAATACTTCTTGGTAGTTGGTACGTAAATTACTATTTTTTATCAATTATGTCTCAAGTATGGAGGGGTATGATGGACATAAGAAGAATTACTGACCAACAAGTTCACGAGCTCCTAGAATACTATAACAACCCCGTTGATCCGATTAAGCCACAACCTGCAAACCCCAAGACTGAACCACGTATCCGATCTAAGACACTTGTTTCGAAAACCCTATTTAACCCAATTTAAGATTCGCAAATTAACACATACGCGCATCTCAACATGGTAAGTAGGGTTGGATCAGAAGTACTCGATCTCACGATCGGGTCCGTTACTCAAGGATGAAGTTAAACTGTGGGTCGCAAGTAAGGATCCCCCTCAAACTGGTGACCTGATTGACCAACGATCCAATTCCATTCACGAACAATTATTTTCCTACTAGAGAGAAAAACCGATACTTAGTGCCGCGTTAATAATAGCGGTAAAAAATAAATAAACAAAACGTACTTATCAGTGAAATTCCCACAGAAAGCGTCAAATGGCTTGTTTTCCGAAATTTCGGCGGATGTTTGGTGAAATGTTCCAAAATCTTCATCCAGTGGACTCGCAACGCCTTCAACATATTCTATTGTGTGCCCTCGTAGTGGATTTAAATGAGAATAGTCGGTCGGTCTTCCATTGTCATTTAAATTCCAGTCGATATGCGCGTTCGGAGCATGGTGTTGAGTATCATACTTAACATCCCCATACCCTATGTCCCTGAAGCGTTTGAATGCACTACGTTTTGTAATGTGTTATACTCACTCAAATGGATCGGACCACATTCCGACAGTTCTAATACTTCTTTTCTTGAACTTTACGAACTGCCCGGTATCTAAGGCGGGGGCTGCGCGATCACATGCCGCTCTTACAGTTTCTTGATATTGAGCATATCCAATGGGATCGTGCTGTGCGGGATATTTAAATGCGCAACAGTGAAACGGGTGAGTTAGATGAGCTTCTTGCAAATGCTGAAAGGTAATAATAAAAAGTAACGTGTATACTCCCCTCGATACGAAAATAAATTTGGCATGCGAGCATACTATATTACAGGCATACGTACCCTTAACTCGTAAATGCTGGGAATAGTTTTCATAGTTGGAGTATTTTCAACTTTGAGAACTTCAATTTCGCTCAAACCAGCCACAGGTATGCTCCGTATGGACGTTCCTGATAAATCTCTAAAATCATAAAACTGCTACCGTTTAAAAGAAAAAATTTCAAAATCATACTGTAAACGTACGAAACAGTTAATAAAAATGAATACAGTTAATTACACTTACAGCTGCTGAATGCTACTCAGGCCCTGAAACGCGTATTGTTTGATTTCCGATAGTCGTTCATTTCCTTTAAAGCTCCTAAAAACGAAATCCATTATCAAAATCCTGGGGGATGGTACATTTATTACTTACAAAGCGGCAATGTGAGAGCCATTGAAAGCGTAATTTTCAATTACAGTTATTTCGTTATAATTAAACGTCCTGAAAAATTGTCGGCTATTTAAAAGACAGATTTTAAATGTTACCTACACTTGTTCGGCGTTAATCTTGACTGCATTGTTGGGTATTCTTTCGATTTTATTACGATCTAATTCGCTGAAACAAAAAATTTAATATTAGAGTTACGGGTTACACATATTAGACATAAAATGCGCATTTCAAATTACAAAACTGATGTTAGATGTTGCCCTTGCAATTGGGTCAATAAATGAGGATACAAATCAGAGTTGTCATATTTAAATTCCTTCCATATAAATTTGATTCCAAATTTCTTTTACTACTTTTGAATTATGTTAATTGCTAATAACACGGGATTAACAAAACCAAATATGTTTGAAACTGTATCTCAGTCCAGGCGTCAGAGATATTTTTGCCGAAAAAAATCCTAGGGAAGATTTTTTTCGCCAATTGCTTCGTTTTATCGTGATGATCTGAAATTCGGCCCGGAAATATATTGTTTTTTAACTTGACCAAAAAAAATGGGACCTTACCTGTTCTTTCTTAACCTGAGCTGTTTCCATTCATCTTGAGGCAGGCGGAAGTTAAAATAAGCTGTAAAGAATTGGCTATTTTACTAAAGTTTCACGTGTTGAGAAAGGAGGATATATTCTGAGGGTTAACAACCAAAATAATGTACTTTGCTGACACAAGCCATTCAAATTTTCATTATGAAAGTTAGGTGGACGAATTCATTGGACCTACAAAAAGAAAGTGAATATATAAATTGTAGAGAATTTTATTCTCTTCAATTTCTTATAGAAATATGATTTATTTAATAGTACTAAGTTTGTGATTTATTATATTGAAAAAACATAAGTAAAACCCTTTTTTGGGTTAATTAACATACTTATTCCGGGTCAAAATTTTGGAAGAAACTTTTATGGTATCGTTTATAACGAAAAAAGAAGCAATTGACGAAAAAAGGGCTTTCCTGGGAATATTTCAATCGCACGATTTTCGATCTCTGACGCCTGGACTAATACTGGCTACCAAAAATATAATCCTATAGCGTAGGTGAATTCTTTCCAGTTTTTTCACAAAGCGTGACTCTCAATATCAGAAATGAATTAGTAATATAAGAATATTGTAAAATCCGTCGATCTCCACAATGTTTCAAGCTGTCTACAAACAACCCCTATGATATCCGCAACGGAGGATTCTTGTAACAACGGTAGCTTGAAATTTGGAATTTTTTGAATGTTTTTTCCTAAATATACGTAAAGTTGATTTTTTTTTAATTTAAAGGGTTAGAAAAGGTTCGGCGTTAAATGTTATAGAACGTTTATAAGGTGTCGGAATTTAGAGGCCAGATTTTCCAATAAATTATGTGGATAGCGGAATTTCAAGAGTAAATCTGTAAGTAATTGGTGGATTTGAAGATTGTTCTTTCTGCTGTTAATTTCCGTAAGACATTTTGTTCATAATTGACCAAATCGATTGGAGATTTTCTATGATAAGGAAAGTTGGATGCAGCAGGCTTTACTTTGTCAATAAACACATCGCACTTCAAATATTGTAACCATCCGTTACAAACTCCAAAAGTAAATTACCATTAACATCAGGTCTTCCACAGGATTCAATGTTAGATCCGATACTATTTATTAAATTCGTAAGTGACATATTTTTAAGTGTGCCATCCCAAAATCTTATAGGTAGACAATGCTACATCTATAGGCCAAATGAGAGATATATGAGGTAGGTGATTATGCGAGTTCTTTGTAACAAAATTTGAACAGGTATTTGGTTTGATCACGTACGTTTTTGTATTACCAACCCCCAAACTAAATCGATTTTGCACATTTTAAATGCAAGTTGATTACGAGTGGCGTAAAGTGTAGGATAAGTAAAGAGGCCAGTTATTGTACTGACTGTGTTTGTGACAAGGGGTGCTAGTAAAAATTTCGAAAAAAATAGCCTATACAAACAATATTTAATTAGCATGCCTAATTGTTTACTACAAGTATGTATGGTAATCCGTCAATTGAGTTGTAATAGAATGTATTGACGCAATTTAATATCCGTCTTGAATCGTCGTCAATTTAAAGCTCAAAGTTTGTTCATTGAGCTGTAAAAGTGTAGGCCTTCATCCTTCAACATATTGCAAGGAATGCTTAAATCGATTTTTCTCCACCTTGTATGCGTGCCTTAGTTTTTCACATAAATTCTGCCCCAGATGATGTTTAAATGGACACAATGGAGGCATACTTACATCATTTGTACAATATTGTCGTTATGTAGGTTTGATAAATTTGGAATTTCCTGTAGGCCAGTCCCCACTATCCGCCTGTAACAAAATAAACACTTTTCAAATAGGTAATGCTCGTTTCTTTTAACAGTTCAATTTAATCTTTCTGTGCCTAATTTTACAGTAACTTAATTAAAAGTGGAAAGCGAAACTTGAAAAAAGTGGATAAAATCGTTCGTTTCGAGGATTATCAAAGTTATAAAACAAGGATAACGAACATAGTTATTAAAATTTAAATAAGACATACATTTCTTAAGATTCGATTTAAATTCTAAAAGTTGGGTAATTAAGGTTAGTTACCTTTGAGTAACTTTTTAAATTGAAAAACGTATAGAGGAAATGTAAATTGGAACCAGGTAATTATTTAAGATTTTTAATATATGTATAGATACAATACTTTATGGTCATTTGGTGTTTAATTTTGCAAGTAAGCAATTTTCAGAGAAATCTCGAGAATTTTGCAGTGAGACTAAAAGTTTAAACCGAAATCAATTTTCATATTTTAAATCCTGGGGAGGCGGCGACGCCAGGTATATGTCAAAGTACCAAGTTGTTTGTTATGCTTTAGTTGTATCACAGACAACATATACTACAGACGGTCAATCTTAAGGGGAAAAAGCACGCCAAGTTTTGTTTCACATGTCCCCTTATTTAAAAACCTGCTATCCCTCTATTTTGCTCTATCTATTAGCGCATACAACAATGTGTTGGTTCTTCTACAGATTTCTTATTTTGGAATGGTTTTGCAAATTGTCTAGGGAAAGAAGTATTGATACTTTATTATTAGAAAGCTGTCCCACTCTCGCAAGAAATCCCCATATTTACATCTGGGCGAAGTGCTGATAATCTTTGCAGGTACACATACAAAGCAAATATCACTTCATATTCGCAATTACGTATTACTCGTTGTCTTTGGGTGCATAAGAAACGATATAACTTGCACCACTTTTCGAATTCTCGAAAAAAGTGTAATCTCCGTGTTTTTTTTATATACCTACGTACTCTACTTGCCTACTTGTCTCTCCGTTTGTGGAATAAATCTTGCAATCAGCAATTTAAATTCATTTAACTTGGGTAAAGAAAACCTAAACATAAGCAATTTTCGAATGAATATTTGCCTCATCATGTAATAAATCCCATTTGAGGTGTGCAGTTATCGGTCAATTACGGCGGTAATTGCATTGTAGAAAACGAAAGAGCCCTGCGCTAATTGCACATTTCATGGGAATACACTTAACAATTTGATAAGTAGGTAAGGTGAGTTTGTAATGTCTATTCGGGAAATATTCCCCCGAATTACACTCGTGCATCAAAATAAACCTGATAATTTTTAGCGCATTTTCCAACGAAATTGGGTGCGCTACTGCAGCCACTTTCTCTGTCCGTCCGTCTGTCCGAGGCCTTAACTACTCCTACAGTTTTCAAGATATTTAGTTCGTTCTTTTTGCATTCGGTAGCGTATCGCTCTGGCACCTGAGTCAAAGAAAATCTTGACGATTGAACTGCGCAAAGGCAAATATATCGCATATAGTAAAATTCAGATGTGCGCATGCGCAGACTGCGCAATGCAAACTTTCTTATTTATGGAGATATTTCTTTGAAATTTTAACCAAAGATACTTATAGTAAAAGCAAACGTATTGCATATTGTAAATATCAGATTAATAAGCGCATGCGCAGGACGCGCAATATCAACTGCGCAGTAAAGTGTCAACTTCCTTATTTATGAAGATATTTCTTTAACATTTTAACCATATATGCATCTAGTAATGAAAAACGTAGCGCACATAGGTATGGCATTTGGGGAAGTATTGATCAATTTATGGAAAATGCGCTGAAGTTACTCGCCTTAGGGCGAAAACCTTTTTACTTGTTTATTCAAATATCTTATCAGTAAAAAACTGCGTTCGGTTATTTTCATAATTTGTTAAAAGAGCATTTTGATGAACTTGTGCAATTACCTACGAAAATTGTCACAAAGCAAAGTTTTAATAGCGATCCTCGAGATGGTTTATAGTTTTGTATCTATTACTGTCTGCCGGTTTAGTGTGTTGTCACTTCACTCAACGAAACAAGCGCTCGTATGAATAAAAGTAAGCAAATGCTTATACTTACAAAATTCAAAGTAAATACTCGTAACTGCCCCTTCATACTGGTCTGTTTAGCATGGTTTAGCAGCGCTGCACTGCGTCCTGTCCTTCTGCTTAGAAGCGCTGCTAAGTCACCCAGTGCGAAGGAGCACTTACGAGTATTTACTTTGAATCTTGCAAGTATAAGCATTTGCTTACTTTTATTCATACGGGCCCATGTGTATTGTATGCAAAAAATCCCCTGAATCCGTAAATGACAGTCTAGCTGACCGGAAACTCCGGGAACATATTGCTATACACAAGAAAACGAAGAAAAAATGGGAAAATATCGTTTTTTCGCATTTAACTTAATTAGGTATCTCGTTAACTATTCCTCTTACGGAAAAAATGAAGAGAACGATTTGTTTAGAATCGATTTTTCTATCAGATACAGTTGGTATGATTTTTATTAAACAGAGTGCCAAGGGCCTATTATAAAGTTACTTTCTTGTTCTATTTCTGGGGTTTCCACTAAACTAATTCCACAGTCCGTCGATTTGCAAAACTCATCGGGACAACAGAGACAATTGTTGGAATAGGTTGTTTTACGGTTCCACCATCCATAAAAATATTGAAAACGCTCTGGGAGTCATCCAGTTTGAAAGACAAAGCATCGAGAAGGGCGTATCAACAAAAACAAATGTTAATTTTTGGGATTACTTTTTTTGTATTTTTCCAGAAAAAACAATAACATTTAAAAATGAACGGTTCTGTACCAACTGAAAATTCTATTCGAAACAAATTCATTTCTATGAGCTCGAGCATTAGTTGACGAGATAATTGGAAGTCAAATGCGAAAAAAACTGCATTTTTCCATTTTTTCTTGGTTTTTTTGTGTATATAGCAATATGTTCCGGGAGAATCCGGGCAGGGAACTACTTAGAATACACTTGGTTTCGTTGTGTGAAATGCCAACATCCAGTTTAGAATACTTTTGGAGCTAATTGGCTGGACTATGTTGACCCTACACATACATTGACATAAAATAAATAAAGTTCGTTAAGTGCTCCCTTCCCTAATCAAAAAATTTTGTGATGTTATTATCACAGATCATGCTATAATAAATATCACATATACATATAGGTAGGCAAGGCCGTGCGAGGGGGAGGGGCGAGGGGGGGCCCAGGCCCTGGACGCCAATTCTGGGGGGCGCTGAAGTGAAGTCGCCCGTCGTCGCCTTCGTCGGTAGCGTCAAAGGCGTGAGTGAAAGATTTACCTCGAATTATATAAACGAATCGGTAAATACTCTTGTTTCGTATTTGATAAATTCAGAATCAGTAAAAATTTAAAAATTAAAAACTGTCGCGTTTATAAAGTCGGTAATTCCATGGAGTTAGGAAATCAAACAAAAGCGCCTGCATTTGCCATGTTTGATTTCAAATTGCCATGGCACCACTGATTTTCTTAAAAGCGCAAGTTTTTAGTTATCCAATTTCTGGAATTCAAAGTTCAGAAAATTAAAAGCTATAGTATGCATGGATTCGTAATTTGTTTCCCTACAAAAAACCTAAATAGACTTTCTCTCTAAAATAATTACAGAAGTCAATAATCAGAAATGAAAAAATTACTATTGCAATTCCTATGGTGCCTTGTTCAAGTCACCACCCGGTATAATAATATATTTATTATGGAAAAACAAAAATTATGTTTATTATTCTAATAAAATCTTTCCTTGTCCAACCTCATAATTTTATATGTGGAGGCTAAATTTAGTTTCCGCCCTTGTATAACCAAATTCGCTCCATCAATTTTTTAAATGTTTAGAAAAGCGAAAAATGAAGAATTAAAATGTATCCTCTTTCATGTAATTTATGATGTTATACAAGTGAGCGGTGAGCGCTTATCTTATCTACGTAAAGGCCGGCGTTGAAGCCGAGGAAGTAAGGTTTGAGTATATGTATTTTATTTTTACAAAAATGACTCCATCTATTACACACTTTTACCACACACAACAGTTTTCTGTGCGTCTACCACATTTTACAACAAATTAATTCGACTGCTTCAAGGTAGACAACACACTAACCGTACTCTATTAGGTGTTGCGTTTATTTCTACAGCATTGCATTGACCGTCTGTAGTATATGTTGTCTGTGGTTGTATGTAATGAATTAATTCAATCCACACTGTACTGCTACTAATCAGATTTCGTTAACAATACGAAACTCATTACTTTCCCTGCAAAAAGCGTTTCAATTTGCATATATTCAGTTTGACATTCATGCGTATGCGTTTATTAATTAGTTTGACCGGGTACCAACGTCACTGAGCTGGGATTCGAAGCTGTCTCTCACCCTTCGACTTCTCATTAATTTCTCTCGATTATTGGATATTAAAAGTAGTAGGATCAATAGTTTGAGTACATAAAAAGTTCCTGCGTTACCGCATAAAAACAGTAACCGCGTTCTTCCAGATTACTTTTTCTTTGATTGAAAGGGCGCGAATACAATGCAAACTTTTTTATCGGCGTTGTAGCACAAATTACCTTTTCACCTTTATTATCAGAATATTTGATCTTTCATATTATTCTTTCGTTCATTGTTGTACGTCTATAAATTTTTCTTCCTTTTTCCCAATGGTCCAGTAGTTTTGTTATCAAAATGTTTCCACAAAGGTTACTTATAACTTATAACACACCGTCTTTTCTTTGTTTTCTTTGGCGTGGCACAAATAAGCCCTTTCAAACGCATGTATCCACTTTGAATCGTATTGCTTTTAAGGAAAATGTAAACACATCACGTCTAAATTCGTGTTTAACCGCACGAGAATGGAAAATAGAGCAAACAAAAAGTGAAATTTTCAATTGGTGTTACAATGTAAAACATTGTTTAAAACCTGGATGATGTTTTATATGTTGCATTGCTGCCAGACTTTCGGCACAGTTTGTAGTGGTGTTGTCAAAGAAAAAACCTAAATAATTCTGGCCTGACTTTAAAGTTAGAATACTTTCTTATGCATATTATGGATAAACCTGCGGCATTCGTTCACTAGCACTCGATACACAATTTCAAGCATCTTGTGACGAAGAAAACTAGAAGGAAATAATAAACCCAGCACTACGGCTCCAGCTGCTCTCGGTGGTAGGGGTGGTTCGACGATCTTGAAAGAAATAGCTATAAATGCTCCGAAAATTTAGGCGCCACTAATTTTTCGATAGTTCCAAGCCGCACAGGAAAAAAATTAGAAACCTGCTCCTGTTGGTCTGGAAATGCAGGGGTAAAACTATAAAAAAAGAAATAGAGAATAGAGAAAGATAGCGGGAAAGAAAAGGTATTTATTCTTCAAGGAAATCAAGAATTTAACACAGATATTGTAGGGCGAATGATGATGATTGATAATGGCACGGAATGATAACAGGGAAATAACGGCAAAAAAAGAAAACGGTACGAGATCTCGTCTCACAGTAAAACAATAAAATTTGACTAAATTACTTATTATGATGTAGGGTGGCTGAATTAATGTGATGGGTTTTTTTTTTAAATAAACTTAACGGTTTTTTTTAAGGTAGGTAGGTAACTTGAACACTTGAACTTAGCTGTTCTGGCTCCTGAAGTTGTTCGGCGGACTTGGCGGTGGTAGACCAGTGGCTAAATACAGGGCAGATTAAGGATAGGGATGCGGGTAGAAGGGAACAAGGAAAAAGAAATTTGAGGGTATCGAAAGAAGATTGAAGACTGAAGACGACGACTGAAGACTGGAGATGGACGAAGACGAAGATTTCTTAGTAGTAGATAGGTACGTATAACAAGCATAGACAAGAAATAACTAAAACTACAAGGCCCTAGAACAAAAACCCAACATTACGAGCTACAACTATCACAAAAAGGCTACTTACGAGATGGTGTGGGCCTTAACGTAGAGACAATATATAGATATGTATGCTCAATTAAATTGGTGGATGGTGAAATAAAGCTCGGATCCTAAGAGACAACGAAGAAATAGAAAAGGATACAGACAACAAAAATACTTACACAAGGGTTGAAATCCGGCGAGCAAGGGTAACATATATATATTGGTTGTAGGTAAGTTCACAAATACAAATGCGCTTCCTCTTCCACTCTTAATCCCCAAAACAGGGTTTCCAAGGAAGAAATACCAATTCCTTGCAATGAGTAGAGACTTTATGACGAGGGTAGAAATCCCAAAATTGTCGGATAAAAGCGGCTGCAAAAATTCCGCACCTCACAAGCACACCATAGGTACAATTGACAATTGACCAAAACGGAAACGAAAACGTAGAAGATTTTCAAAAAAACGAACAGTAATACCAATAATTAAGGAACATAAAAAGTTGGCGGGAAAAGAAGAATAGATTTTTGAAAAGAGCGGGAAAGAATAGCGTAGTTTACAAGAACTGACAATAGATGACACTGAAAGCGGACCAGAGGCGTAACATGGAATAAAATAGTACACATAAGCTTCGAAAATTAGAATAGTGAAAACAGTAAGGAAAGGAAAAGCGTTTAAAGCGTGAAAAGGTAAATACAATTGTAAGAAGAGAGCAAGAATCCAAAGAAGCGAAGAAATTGAAAGAAGAAATTTAAGAAAATAGGCACGCCTATGTGATGAAAATCAAAACAAAATAAACAAATTCCTAACCTAAAAATCAAAATAACTAAAGCAAAACTTAACTAAAAATGGACCTGTAACAATCTGCTACCTAATTGCAGTTTGAATGTGCTGATTTATAAGATATTGTATGTATCGGATCTATTCAGGGAAGAAATCAATAAATTGTAACTTTCTAGCGTTGTGCACTTTTCGATTTTTATTTAAAATTTTCATTTTCCGCATAGGACACATGTGTTCAGTCGCGAATTTAATTTGATTTAGTAAGTTGCTACGAGTTAGGAAAAGTTTCTTCTGTGTTATGTTTGAATATTGCATACAGGAGCGCGCTTTGCAATTTTTCGAATTTTATATACACGATGTCCATTTTTCGAGTGCCAAAATGTCAATATTCAAAATGGCGCCCATAAGAAAAACTACAGTTGCCACGTGTTTCTCCGTCATCTTGACAATTATTAAAAACGAGATGCCATATTCGAAATCTCCATTAAAAAGTGTCTGAATAATGTGTTAATTTGAAATGTTTATCATAAAAAAATCAGAAATTTTCATTTTTTTTCAATATTTTCAAAACTATTGAAGATATTTTAAATTTCTTTTCAGATTATTATTCAGTACGAAAATTCGCAACTTTGCCCCCATGTAACCAACTTTCTTACTCTTAAGTTAAGCGAGATCTCCACAGTGGCACTCGAAAAATGGACACCGTGTATGGACAAAATTGCATATGTCGGTTCCTTTTTGCCGAACCGAAAACGCAAAGTAGCTAAGAATCGGGGCTTTCGGATTGGAAACCTTCTTGGAATAGGAGATCCAAATAGGAAACATTTTTCCACTATCTTTATGTCACTACGAATAGGGTTGCGGTCAAGGTTCCGGTATATCCATTATTTTTCGTAGCCCTAGTCACTAATTAATGGTGTAGGTAGTAAATCGGATTGAAATTAATGTTTATTTACTTTATAGCCATAATTAACTCCTTACTTACTTACAAAGAACGAAATTTCCTGGCCGTCACTCCAAAAAATACTCCATGCAGAGATTTCATTTGCGGCGCATGCGATATGTACCTGAAATTATAAAATAAAACGAACTCATTTATTTGTTCATAAGCTTATTAGAGGAATTAATCAAATGAAATCCTCAAAACACACAACAACCCCTTGAAATATTTATATCTCCAAGGAAACTCACCCTCGTGATATTCGCACCTAATGTAGGGGCTCCAAAGTAAATATTTGGGAAACCTCTTGCTCAGTTCTAGAAAATTAATTAGCCATTGTAAATTCCCACCCGCAAATTCACTCTCGAAGGACCCTTCTTGGAATGTTTACCCTCAGAAAACTGTTTTTGATTTTTCCAACTAAATATTCCGACCCAAATATTGCAATCCCACGATTTTCTGGCAGCGGAAAATTTTCGATTGGACTATTAGCTTCTCTAATATTTAGTATCATGCATAAAGCACCACAAAATTCGTTCGTAACAAGACTCAGCTTCCACCATGATGCCGTCCCTCCCCTCTCCCATTTCTAGGAAAACAAGGTACTAGCCACATTTTGAATATTATCACCTAAGTAAATTTCTGACCAGACCATTAAGGAAACTTTTACGACAACTGCAACGTCTCAATATAGAATCCATACATTATACTTTGCCTCTTCGATGAATATTTACGAGTTACTCAAAAAATGGGGTTGCCCTTTATTACTGTTGGCTGGTGCATCTGGTAGGTTTGAGGTTTTCATTTCACTCACGACCGTATATGAAGAAAAAAAAACATATTTACTCACAATGTTCGCAAATTTGGTGTATCCATAAATGTTCCCTCCTCAATCACTTGAAGGAAAGGTAAACTTTCAAGAATTCTGCAAAGAAAAGATGTGTCATTAAGATTCACAATGGAAAAAGAGGTCTTATTCAATGAGGTAGTTAAACTTAATTTTCAACGTTTACTTAGAAAAAGGATTAACAAAACGGGTTAAAGAATTTCTTTTCCCTGAGTACAAGGCTTAAGAACAAATTTCTTCACTTTCAGAGCAACTTTTTAGAAGTTCCCTTTCTTTTTGAACTTTTCTGTTTTTATATTTGCAAAACAGTTTTGTTCTCAACGCGCGTGGCCTCTTGATTATAAATTACTTTTTTGCTCACTTTAGCACTTGAGCATACTATGATTATAGAAAGTATGAGAAAAATTACGCTACTTTAAGAGGTAAAGTGGAAAAACTACTAACAATATAGCAATCTTGCATCTAAAAATCATAGAAAATAGACTTGTCTTACAGAAAAATGAATATTGCTGAAAGATTTAAACCCGAAGAGCTGAAAATTACGCTATACTGTGGTTAATAAGAGGTAAAGTGGAGAAGCTACCAAAAAATGTAGTAACAACTAATTATAATGTAGCTACCTCAATCTCCTATACTTTGAATGAGCTAGCTTCTAAAAGTTACTTCAAGTAACTCAATTTGTATAGGGCCTGTGGAAATTAAATTCTTCCCTCATAGCTTGTGCGATTACCGTTTATAAAATGCGAGAAATGTTATTTGCATTTTCAGACAAATTTGTTCGTACTATTTTCGTTTAGTACTCGCGTATGTATATGTACCCACCGAAGTTTATAATATTGCTATTGTTGTCTCCAGATTTGAAAGTTACATAACAGAACTAGACAGAATCAAGAAATCGTATAGGTATACGTATACACTATACAATGCAGCTTTTAACATTTATTTAGGTGCACGGACAATAATTTTTGTATTCGTCTCATAAACAAGAATTTTTCTACATCAATTGCTTCTTTCAGAACATCAGCTTACCGAATATACCGGAATATACCTGTAGTATGTAGGTATGTATTTGTACTGCAATATTTTTAAAGAAGCAGGCATATCACTTATTTAGAAAAGTTAAGCACCGATGGATTACTCTTGGTAGGGCTAGTCTTAGCAATGCATTTTCCTGCAACATTATAATAGCTGCAATTTAGTTCAAAAATCAACGGTCTTGTTTGCATTCTAAATTTGTGTAAATACCTATCGCAAATAAAAAACCCTATTTATTTAAACCGGACCCCAGAAACATCCCTTATAGGATTTCTTTCATTGTATATGTGTGTATAGTAATTGTGTGATTGAGAGTCACGAAATCTTATCGACCTAACACCCTCAATTATTGTTTTTGTAACAATAATGTAACGTGATTTATAAATTCGGGTTCGATTTATATCAATATTTATTAACAAAACTAAAACACTATAAAACCTGTACAATTTATATCGACTATTTATATCACACACTTCGCAATTTATATTTCCGCGCTCGATGTTTCATCCGTACTCGATCTCTTTCGGTAGTAAACTTCCCGCGATGTTCGGCCCGCAACCATTTATACACGCAAGCAATGTAAGTCCAGAACACTCGCGTAATTACCGGATAGTCTCGAATATTCCTATACAAATCCCACTATCGCGCGCGTAGAAAATTCCAGAGCGCCAAAGTCGACGTCATGTCTGGAGCGTTTCCGTTACACTAATTTAAATTTCGTCGCCGAACTACAGGAAACGTTTTATAATGACTACATGTCGATACTAGGCTGCTGGCACAGTAATCAGTAACGGAAAAAACATGTTCACCAACCATCTTGATCTCCATAATAATAAGATGAGCTAAGAAAATTCCTTTTCGTCTCGCGAATAAAATTAAGACTGTATTTATAATGTCATGATATTAAATTTCAAGGAAAGTGCTCTAAAAACAATAACATAATTAAACGATAACAAAATGGCACATGAAAGGAAACTGAACTTTCAATCTTTTAAGTGAGCACTAACAGTGATTAAGTGCGTTCTAACCTGGACGAATACAACTTTTAATAAGCAAGTACTTTGAGTTTCAATTAACATATAATTTTAACTTTACTGTTTATTACCTCTAATATAAGTTTCGTTGGCATCACATGCAACATGCTACCTTTTCATACTACAACAATTAATAGAGAGTAATAAGGGGGAGGAAATTCACATGGTATTCATGGATCTTGAAAAGGTATATTGCTCAATTCCACACTCGACAATTTTGGAAGCCATAAGCTGAATTGCGATAAGCGAACATCTGATAAAAATTATCAAAGAGCAATATACAAATAATATGGCATACATAAAAGAAGGGAAATATCTATTAAATCCTATACAGGTCACAAAAGGTTTATGACAAGGTTGCATGTTTATCTCCAATATTTTTCAAAAATATTAGGAAATAACGTTAAAGGAATTGAAAAGGAAATGTTCAACGATGGGGATACCAATATACAAGCAACATCTATGCAACCATTTTGCAGACGATCAGGTCATCTTGGCACAGGATTCGTACGATCTGAAATGCATGTTGAAAAAATTACAAATTAACATGAACAAGACAGAATACTTTGCCACAAACACGGATGACTATTGTCAAATTTTGATAAAAAATCCCTACAAAATCTATTTATAATCTCTTCAAAATATCTTCATGTGGGGTCTAGTGGTCCTCTCATTACAAATCCTTGTTCTGGTATTTTGAGGAACTTGGCTTATGCGATAAGTGAAAAAGTAATGGAATTTGGACGAATCCAAGGAAAAAGGGGGTTCTACGGGCAAGACAAAAGGTTTATGGGACTAGTAATAAATAATACCACCTTCATAACCGTTTCGAACCATAATAATTAATGCATAAGTACAAATAATGGATAAATGCAAACGTCAGCCTGAAAAAGTGTACTAAAATAAATAAAATGCAAGATTGCGCATTTATTTTTCCCAAAGGCTCAAGTATAACGATGTATTTTTAATCAATTAATAAAATTTAGTTTTCTGAGATTTCCTCAAGTTGAATACTAATTAACTACTGACGCATTACAATGGACTGCGAACTTTCAATTAAAATTACAAAAATTGCCATTGTCTTGCTTTCATACTGATAATGAACAACTTCTCCTTAAAAAATTTGCGTAATTGGTATTTAAGTTGCTCAAGTGTTTACGGGCGCAAACTTTATCCCCACGAAGAAAAAAGGTTTCGCTAGTTCTTGAGACTACTTGTGAATAAGGAGTTTACTCGCACCAAAATAAATGGAAAAAAATAGCTTTCCAATTGAAAAATATGGACTGAAAACGAGTAATGGTTATAGATATAGATGCGCTTACTAATAAAAAATAATAGTTTCCCCTAGTCGTATTGATTTCTAGAATTTTTTTATAAGTGTAGTTACTTTCTTCTCTAGACACCAAATTATACTGTCAAATGACATCGCCAAGTTTGTTTATTTACATATAACGTAAGGTTGCGGTTAGAAACAAATAACATTCGATAATTTAGATGAAAACTGTACTTTCAAATGCATTTCCTTAGCTACACTAACTCAGGTAATGAACAAGAACAAGCCAATCATATTGCTGATATAACAAGAAAATTAGATCCAGTTTGAATGTCGCTTTACAGTTTCATCATTTAGAAGGTACTTCTGTTTATATACCTACTTAGATTTGTGACCACCTTACTGGGTAATTACCTTGACTAAACTACCTCCTCTTTTCTCTCTGCATGCGTGCAGTTATATTTCTTTTTAGGAGCTTATTGCTTCGGAGAGTACCCTTTATTTTTACATTACATTTACATTAAGAGGTTCAGAGGCAGAAAATGGATTGAAAAAATCTGATTTTCAGACGAAACAAATTTATCATTGCGTCAACCAAAAGACCCCCAAAACAATAGGGTTAATGAGTCCCGACGTTATCTTCAAACGAGATGGCACACCACAAGTAGGTACCATAGCCTATTTGCAAATTGAAAATACGACAAGATGTATAGATTGGAGGACAAAGAACTAATTTTATAAATGAATATATATATACTCGTATATGCATTATTATTTCATACTCAACCTTAATTAATCAAAATATAGTCCAATATTGTTAAGCAGTTACTGTACTACAAAACCATCATATATGTAAATCAGTGCTAAAAATTACGTGCATAAGGACTTCGCTTTAGGATAATCCGAAATTTTGGTTTTGGTTTTTACAATTTCGTGAAGTTATTAATTAATCCCAAATTACTTACACATCCCGCAGCGTTTCCTTGTATGGTTGAAACGAATTCTTCTCAATAACTTTTATTTCAGATTCGGTCAGCGTTATTCTCTCCAACTTTTCGTCGAGGTCAGTTGGAATCTCGAGAAGTCCCCTTCCGTGACATCTACATTCCAATTCCAGCTCCATTCCGTACGTTACATTATAACACTCACAAGTCCACGTTAAATTTTGCGCTCGTTTCGATTCCATTTTCGAAATAAACATCTGCTGTTCTTCTAACGTTGCAATTGTTGGACTATTCGTAGTGAACGATATTTCCACGCTTATAATGACGAACCAATATAGGGCATCGCGTCGGTTCATCATCTGTAACAGAAATAAAAGCAATTAAGCAAAGTTAAAAATCCTTGAAGTTCATAATAATGTGTACACACCAATTTGGACCAATTATCGTGTCAGGCCTACAAAGTTTTGAGGTGATCGTTAAGAATTGACGTCAACTCGTTGTACAGAATCAACAAAACTGTTTACTCACTCGCTTAATAAGCGAGTAGCCCAATTAGATTATGGGTGAGATTTTAACGCATTCATTATTGCGGAGGTGAAATTACTCGCATCGATCAAGTGATACGCACGCATGAAAATATTACGCTAATTTTTCTAACAATGAATTCTTCATTGTCTGCTGTGAAAGTTTCTCCCGCCCAAATGTCGCTCTAATCATCAACACGTTTATTTATAAAACTACCCATGTGATGCTATATGTTTCAAGGGTGGGGTCCTAGTTCCATTTCGAAGATACTTAATTAGTGAAGAATTCTGATGAAGTTGATAGGTAATAGCAAAGAGTAGATATGTCACTTTATCGAGGGCTGGAACGAAATATCCAAATTATTCAAAAATTAGAAATTAGATATTCATATTTCCGTATCACTCAAATAGACAAATCCCCCGCTCTATACCATATCTGGATTCTGCTACATTACATAATTGAAAAGACACTGCTGATATTTTACAAACAAACTGTTCATTATATGTGCACTGTGTTGCCATATTGAAGTAAGAAACAATTATTTTAGATTAATCTTGGGTCTTCAACCTTTATATAGCAGTTATCCATTTCCCGACACAAAGTAAAGATCATTAATAATTCAGACAATGTAATCGCGAGCCTTCTTCTGTATTATTATTTACCTTATTCAATCTATCAGGGATTGAAATATGCATGACGAATACAATTTTAGATGGATAATGTTCTTTACAGCCGAATGTATTAATAACCCCTGCTGCTCACAGCTTTTCAAAGAATTTGTATATCAGAATGACATTTTCGAGTTATGATATTTTGCATATTTCGTCTCAATGTATATAGTGAATTGTTAAAAAAACCGCGTATGAGTACCTACCTATACTATGCATACGTGCAGACTGTCCAAAATTCGAGAGTGAGCATAGGTAAAGTTTCGTATTTTAGGGACGAATTTAACGCTGCTTGGAAAGTGAAGGAATTCCGAATAGGTACTTTTCCGTTTCCCAAATATTTTTTGTGACTTTATTTAAAGAGATTTTTTAAGCAACAAACATTTTCTCATTAATACTTTTTCTCCTCTACAGCTGGCAAAATTAAATTTTAAGTTCGACGTTTCAGTTTTTTGGGGTCATCATCATTCGATTAATACAAAAAATTTTCGATAAAAACGCAGCTAGCTCGCATATGATGCCTTCCGACATTTAAATGTATGCATAGACATTTAGCTCATTGGGAACGTAGCTCAAATGACCAAATTGCCATTACCTGTTTATTGAAACTTTCGAAACGCTTACCGTCAAATTTTATGAAATTATTAAAAGAAGTCACACGCACGATCCAAAACTCGACTTCAAAGGAGCTTAACATCAAAGAAATACCGAATAAGCCACATGAATAGATTATTATTGTTAATACATTTAGCGTTTCCTTTGGAAGATTTCTTTTTTCGTTTTGCATAAATCCTCGGTATATTTCGAAAGGATTAAACAAAGCGAGGAACAATGTTTTAGATATAAAACATACAGAGATTGTAATTGCTCATTAATTTGGAGCTTTGTTGGTTAACAAAATTGATTTTCCATTCCCTATATTGGCTTTAGTTCAAATGGAACGCATTTAGATGTTTCCATAATTGCATCAGAAGTCAGTTAAGGTATACCGCTAGCAGTTTACTCAACAATAAAACTCGATGCTATATTAATATAAAGTAATACCTACAGCTGTAAACTTGAATGTAGTAATGCAATTACAAAGCACTTCACTAAGTGTCACTAAACTTCACGAAGGTTTTGGGTCAGAATGATGGTGACCAACGTAAGTAGATTATGCTGAATGCTCCTATGAGCAAAATAACGTCAGTACCCATACGCTTTGAAAGCATTGTCGCGTTGTAAACACGTCAGAAAAGTTTATTTAATCAAGAAAGCAACTTTTCATTTTCATTGATGAAACCTTGCACGATTTGACGACAAAATTATCTTCGTTCATAAATAACAAACCCGTAATTATCTTAATGTATAACATACGTAATCCCAAACTGCATAGTAGGAATAATTTTTAAGTCTTATTAAATTGGAAGTAGGTATTAATCGCGATGCTCAATAGTTATCGAATGTAGGACTGACTACAGCCTTTTGAATTTTCTTTCGAAATTGGTTTCTAGTCTATAACTTTTGATGGAGAAGTCTAATCGAAAAAGTACGAATTGTTTTGGATTCTACGCCCCACAATTAATAAGAAAAAGTGTTTTCCCGAGAAATTTTGGTGCAGTCGATTTTTGGTAAAAAAGGAAGGTTATACACTGCCTTTTTTTTGCCCCGAAAAAAAAATGTCTCAAATCGACCGGGAAAAAACATTTTCTTATAGAATGTGGCCTGTAGAATCCATAATTTCGAACAGTTCCAAGATTGGGCTACTGGATCAAAAGTTACAGCCCTTTGAATTTTCTTTCGAAATTGGTTTCTAGTCTATAACTTTTGATTGAGAAGTATAATCGAAAAAGTACGAATTGTTTTGTATTCTACGCACCAAAATTAATAAGAAAAAGTGTTTTCCCTAGAAATTTTGGTGCAGTCGATTTTTGGTAAAAAAGGAAGGTTATACACTGTCTTTTTTTTGCCCCGAAAAAAAATTGTCTTAGATCGACCGGGAAAAAACATTTTCTTATAGAATATGGCCTGTAGAATCCATAATTTCAAACAGTTCCAAGATTGGGCTACTGGATCAAAAGTTACGGCCCTTTGAATTTTCTTTCGAAATTGGTTTCTACTATATAACTTTTGATTGAGAAGTCTACTCGAAAAAGTACGAATTGTTTTGGATTCTACGCACCAAAATTATTAAGAAAAAGTGTTTTTCCGAGAAATTTTGGTGCAGTCGATTTTCGGTAAAAAGGGAAGGTTATACACTGCTTTTTTTTGCCCCGAAAAAAAAATTGTCTCAGATCGACCGGGAAAAAACATTTTCTTATAGAATGTGGCCTGCAGAATCCATAATTTCGAACAGTTCCAAGATCGGGCTACTGGATCAAAAGTTACAGCCCTGTGAATTTTCTTTCGAAATTGGTTTCTACATAGTTTGGCTATTACACCTTACAATGGTATCCACGTGTCCGTTAATGTAGACGCACAAAACGTGTGTTGGCGCATAAAACAAACACAAATGAATGTGTTAAGGACTTTTCGGTTCTTGAATTTGAGGGAACAATTTAATGCACGTATTTAAATCGACGTGTTTTTTTTTAAATTTTTTCTGTCAAATTACGAATTACATGACGTACTTATTTGTTTTGCAAATGAAGGTGCGTATACGCTCACTACTGCCACAATGTACAATACCTAAGTGCCGTACGTAGATAAAATCCTCAAAGGGCTTTCTCTAAGATAGGCATCGTTAGTTATTAATAAGACCAAGTCACTTCATAACACAAGACTTACTACTCTTTATAATTTCTGAATGTATAGAATATGCAGTAACTTAACTTTGATCCATCTTTGTACAAGGAACTTCACCTAATTAATGTAGTCATTAATCAGTATTACATAGTACCTACTTTAGATTGTAGCTCGCATGCGAAAAAGAAAGCTTCTTATCCTTGTGCTGTGGTGTAGGTACATTATTAATTATTCCTTGGTAAACGGTCTTAGAGCGTAGTTAACAATCTCATTTCCTTTAATCATCTTATGAAGTGTTGCGTAACAGAATTACAGCTTTTGTCTTTTGATAAACATGTACCTACTGCTCATTTTGTGGCTTTGTGTCGTTTTCAAAGAGATGTGGCAATACTAGTAAATTTCCACGCGTAATCCCCTTGCTTTCGAAGGAGGTGAAATAAAGATTGATTACGTTAGTATCCGAAGGTGATTTAGGAAGGTGAAAACCCTCTCAATCTATTTTTTACTGCAGGTCGATGGTTTTTCTGTTTCGGAACAATTAGGGTTGAATACCCAACGGGTAAGCAACTGGTGTTTCCAACGCTTAGGGTCAACAAGTTTGATTGGTTAAATTTTCAAGTTTTCCAATTAACTTTCTTGATCCACGAACATCCCTTAATTCAGTTTAACCACTACACGTAGTAATTATAAAGGGCTCTTTTTGTTGTGACTACACAAAAAGTCAAACACCAATTGCAGGAAATAGCTGACATGCCTAACGAGAACAAGTCTTTGTAGTGCAAAGGGTGGATGACGCATAGATTGCAAGCGTTGACCGAAAAGGGGATTAAAGTTTCAGATTCCAACACACTGAGATTCACTAACTTTTGTAATAGCTTTTTTAATGGGGGCTTGTCTTCATACACATTTCAATTACATGTCTAGTTTATTCTAAACTTCCTGGAAATAATGGAAGGAGACGTCGCTAAAGGGCGGTGTTTGTATGTTACCGTTAACTCTATATGACAGTTAGTTTTTACAAATATATTCATATAGGAGGTTATTTATTAGATCAGTTTAGCTGGCAACCGGCCCTTATTGGAAAATGTTCAAACGTCAAAATATTAGGTCATTGTCCGACTGAGTAGTAGGCGCCAAGTTTTCCTGTCTCCGGAGGGAAAAGTGTTGTTATGGAAACACAAAAATTTAATGTTTACTTAGAGAAAAAGCACCCACCTACTCATGAAAAGGAAAACAAACTTCGCTACTTGACAATGACGTTTAATTTAACGAACGTTATCAATATCCCATAAAAGCCTATCACAGGCACGCCATGAAAAGTAATACTTCTCCCTTTTCCGCATAATTGAAAGTGACAACATCGCAAACAATTTCACGCAAATAAATGCTCTCGTTACAGTACCCCCTTCTGTTTCCTAAACGAAGAAAACCTGATCAGATTTGAAAAACAACAATAAAGGAAAAAATTTTCAAATATTCTAAAAAATTCTAAGGAATATTCAACAACTACCTAACCAATCCCAAAAAATCCAAAAATTCCAACCTAAAAAAATCCTAAACTTATTCACTAAAAAACCTAAAAAGTAAATATGTACACTTCACTTCATTTCACTTCTTTATCAATAATCTTCAGAAACTTCAATCTATCAAATAACTAATTAACACTTCACTTTACTAGAGCTAAGATAAACTTAACTTCACTAAAAA